ACACACACACACACACACACACACACACACACACACACACAAAGTATCTACATTCCAAGTTCTTGAGTCCTTGTTAGAAAATTCTTTGCCAGAGTCAGAAAGAGCACAGGAAGCATATAGACATTCTGAATTTAGAGTAATGAAGGCTATGGGGAAAAAAATACCAAATACTAACGAAGATATTGTCAGTTATACTAGAAAACACCAAATATGCTTTGAGAATTTTTTTAACAAGAACAGTCAGGTTGGGGTTCAAGTTATAGTCTCATGAGTGGACTATTAGGAAAAGAAGGTTTTTCCTTTGCTTGAAGAGGCTCCCAGGATTAGACCATCAGCAATGGCAAACAGGCTGGTAGGAGTCGTATAAAACCACAGGCCATCCTTTGCTTTATAGCTGTTTTTCCTTAAAAAAACAAAGTTTAAGAACAGCCTCAGAAATGAGCATTAGTGTGATTTCAGGCTGTCTCAACAACAAGTTGAAAAACAACAATCTCCTTCACCTGCTTGTTAATGTCTTTAATAAGAAGATAAAACCCTTCATTCCTCAGTCAAAGATAATGACCCTAAATGCTCATGCTGGTTGAGGCAAGGCTTTGATAATGCTTATTCACATAAAGGTGTAATTCCATTCAATTAAACACATGTAGACTTAGCATTTACCATGTACAAGGATGCTAGGTGCTATGCAGGATGGATTTGAGAGGCATTTCAGAAGAGGAAGAGACAGAGCTTGGAAGGTTTTATGCGACATGAGGATAAGAGAGTGGAGGTAGTGAAGCTGACTGGGATTGTTGTTGTTCCCTGACTGGCAGGCAGGCCTATGACATGTACTAGGGGAACGGGAGAGGTGGGACAAGTTTTTGGAGGAGATAATGAATTTGATAGGAAATGTTTTGAGTTAAGTTTTCCAGCAGGATGCCTCTGTGGATATGAGATGCCCAGTAGGTAGTTGAATATTTAGTGCTGACACTTAAGAGAGAGATCAAGGCTATTGGGGCACCTGGGTGGCTCAGTCATTAAGAGAGAGATCAAGGCTAGAGATAGATTGAGAAATTGTCCATGAGGTCATCATCGAAATTTTAACAAATGCTGTCTCCCAAGGAAGAACTGTTTTGCAGAAAAGATAGAAGCTGGAATTGAATGCTGGACATTGCTTACATTTAAGAGGCTGAAGCAGGAGATGGAACCAAGGAAGGGCTGAAAATGTTTTGTGCTGGTGTGAGGCCATCAATAACTAATATGGTATCTGAACTAGCCCTTGTGGTTCTTGTTATGATTGCAAGACGCCCTTCAGAAATAACCATCTGGAAATTTTGAAAAAAATAAAGGTTTATTGCTTATAGGACCTGGAAATTATACAACACACTTGGGGGCCCACAGGAGGTCATAGGTAAAGAGAGAGAGCCAGCATGGGCCTGGGGTTCTGCTTTTATTGAGGTAAAGGGTGGGTGCCTAGGATTTCATGGGCTCACTCTTTGTTGTTGAATTTAAAAAATAGGAGGGTTTAAAGCAAGGGAAGAGAAAACAAAACAAAACAAAACAAAACAAATGGCCCCAATTGTCATTTATTGAAATCAACTAAGATTTCTAAATTTAACAAAGGAGTCTCAGTGGGGGAGGTGGCCTGGCTACCTGGCTCTTTATCTAGTTGTGTGGCTGGCAATGTATTTATTAGAGAAAGCCATCTCTGAAGTGGATGCTTTAGTAATCAAAGCTTAAGTCAGACTCTTGCATTACAAGGAAAGGAAGGAAGGAAGGAAGGAAGGAAGGAAGGAAGGAAGGAAAGAAAGAAAGAAAGAAAGAGAGGAAGCAGCCCACCCAACTGTCATAACTTATTCTACAAAAAGGAATAGTTCAGGAGGTGAAAGTCTGGAAAAGTGCATTGCCAAGGGAAGTGAGAGGATCACCCGGGAGGGACTGTTCAGCAGTATCAGATGCTAGTGCAAGGTCAGGCAGGGGAGTTGCTCAATTAAGAGCAACAGAGAGGTTGGGTAGGATGAAAACTAAGAGGAAACCTTTAGAATTGGCAGTTAGGAGGCCACTGATGAGTTCAGGAGAACTGTTTTTGTGGTGTGGTGGGCCAGAAACCTTTTGCAATTGGATAAGAAGAAAACGTAAATGAAAGTGGAGAATTGGAATAAGCTAAGATCATTCATGTGAAGTTTGGTGGTAAAGACGAGGATGGCAGAACCCTGAGGGGGCAGGCAGGCTTCAGGAAAGCGTGTTTGAGGGTGGAGGGAAAGGAGACAGTGGGGAGGGAGAAACTGAGGATACAAGCACATTCCCACGATAATGACACTATAGTGGTAGAGCCCGGAGGATATAGGAGCACACAGGGTGGAAAGAGGGGGTTTAGAACATTTACTGTCAGGAATGTGAGCAAAGAGACCTCAGGGATGAGCGGAAGTGTTGCTGAGAAGGACTACTGACTAAGTTGATATCACATAACAGCCATTTGTGGGTGGTTCTACCCAGTTCTTCAGGGTACGGGCCACATTTGACTCATCTTTATATCCCAGGGCCTCGAATAGTATTTTCTCCATAGTAGGTACTTGGCAAATGCTGATTTGAATGAAAAAGAAAGATCAAAGGAGGAGAAGAAATAAGTGGATAAGTGACTGACCATTGTAGCAGGGATAGACAAAGCAGCCAGTGACATCTACGCAAGGTCAGGCAAGCTGATTACGGCTTACGATAAGGGGTGCAGACTCAGAAGTTGTAGAGAGGTCACTATTGAAATGACTGACCAGTGTGTGAGCTCTTTAGGGTGGGAAATGGAGCGACGAGGAGGCAACAGCCTGGACGAGTTGTCTGCATCAGGTACTGATGATCAGTCATCATGTGGACACAGAGTTCAGTATGAGTTGCGGGAGCAGGAGAACTAACATTTTCCTAGCAAATATAATTTCAGCATTTAACATGGCGGTGAAACGGATCATGATCAAGTGGGAATTACTGATGTCAGATCCTGTCCTGTTTTTTAGCGATAGAGGGTGGACCTGAAGCTTAGAAGGGGAAGTTCGTCACCAAGTAAGGCTGAGAGCAAGGAGGGGAATATTGGAAACAAAGAAGGAAGGCTGCAGATTTCACAGTTTTGCCAATAATTGGCACTGTTGACTACAATTTAGAAAAGATAATTAAAAATAATCCAAGAGTTATTAAGACTCTGCCTCCCTCCCACCTTCCCTCCCTGCCTCTTTCTTTTTCCTTTTCTCTTTACCCATGGTGGATTTTGCTATAAGTGACCCTTATTTTCAGAAAGTTTATTAATTGAAATATTGGGCCTGTTTTCCAAACTTCTGAATATCTTATCATGATTTCATTACGTTGATAGAAAAGAAGTTTGTATATTAGAACCAGAAAGTTTTACTTTACCAATAGTTATTTTTATGTATCTGTGACATAATATGTCAGCAGATTAATTTTCTTAGTTGCTAACTTGTTGTTAAACATAATCTTTAATTTTAACTTAAAGAGCTGTGTGGGAGAAGTTGTTCCACAAACTTTTGCTGCTGTTTTGGGATCACTATGTAGATATTAAGAACAAATCAATCTAAAAAGGCGTGTTTACATGCTAACTCATTTTATATTTATACTTGTAACATTGTTTACTTCCTTTTGCAGATTATATTCAGATATTTTGGCAGAGACTTCTTCAATCCTCTTATACCTTTTTCTTAGAAATATTTTTGTAACAAGTGACATTAAAATTAAAGAAGAAAATCTTTTCTGTGATAGTATTAAAGGCAATGAGCTTTTCCCCTCTCAACAAGTAAGTGATATTAAAATGACCAAAAATGTGCTGATTTCCCTTTATTTGTTTCTTGACGTTTCAAATTCATGTTCTTTTGAGATTGCATATCCTGATTTGTGAATGGACTGAGAGGTCATTTTATGATTGTGCGGGTTTATTTGATATTCCATATAATGGTTTCGTAGGACCAAGTTCATATATATTTTTCTTCTTTTCAGTTTATCTTTTGTGTCTATACAAAAGTAGTATAAATTTCAAATATTCAAAAAGTTAAAATTTACAAAGTGAAATGCATTGTAATCCTATTACTCCTAAAAATACTATGATTTTGTTTGTTTTGTTTTATAGCTCAGATTCTTAAAAATATGTGTGGGCAAATTATTATTACTATTCTCTTACAAAAATGATATCACAATCTACTTTCTATTCCATAGTGTGCCTATTTAACATTTTTTATAATTTATCTTGAACATGTTTTCATGTGGGTACATATCAATTTACCAAATTTTTTTCAAGTTCTTAGTTTATTAATCCTTTCATGACAAATCTGCACAATCACCACGGATAGAGTCACTGCAGAACCCTTACTCCTTCTGTTGTCCAATCTCCAGCTCTCTTGTTGCCAGCACCAGCACTGGCTTCGGCAGTCCCCCTGACCTTCTTCATTCTGTTCTTGTGTTCCTTTCTCTGTTTTCTTCAGGTCTTTTTCTGCTCACACAGGCCATGTCTTGCAAGTCTATGGTAGGGTTCATTTTTCTTTGCCAGTTGTCTTGCCACCACCCAAACAGGTTCTGACTCCAAATACAAAGATGACATCTGGTGTGTTCTTGTCCATTTTGGCTAGTTTTTCCTGAATTTCTGTCTCAGGTACTGTTGCCTTTCCTGGGTGAAGAACATCACTGAGCATTTGTTTTCATACCAAATTGTTTTTAATTTTAATATTGCATTCCTGTATAGAGGCAGGAATGTAACCTATCTCCTACTGATGGATTCTCAGGGTGGTTATAAATATTGCTGTCTGTACATCTGCAACCTTCTAACCTTAACATCTTGCTTTTAAAAATAGTCCTTCGCTCTTGTTTTCATTCTAGATTGAGTGTCTCTCTTCTTTCTCCCTCTCCTCTTTCCTTTACTCACTTTAGACACAGCGAGACTTTTCCCAGGTGTTTGCTTTTCACAGTTGCTTTTTCCTACCCATGCATTTATTTATTTAATCAACCAATAAATTGTTACGTGAGACTATGCCAGTTCCTGTGGATACAAAAATGAAAAAAAAAAAAAAAAGACATGACCCTTTTGTCCAGGGCAAGTTCACAGTCTTACAGAGCCCAAGCACTCATAACTGTCATCCTGTTCCTACTATGTTGCATTCAGTCTGTAAATAAAGACAGTCTTTAAGTACTTCAGTGGATTCCAGAATGCTAGACTACCATTCCACTAAAAATTTATTCTATGGAAATGTCTGGTTGCCCCTTCTAAGTTTTCTTTGTACATAATTTTGTATGTATATATAGAAAAATAGGGGCACCAGAGTGACTCAGTAGGTTGGGCATCCGACTCTTGGTTTCGGCTCAGGTCATGATCTTAGGGTCATGGAATGGAGCCCCGTGTGTTGGGCTTCACACTCAGTGGGGAGTCTGCTGCTCTCTTTCTCCCTCGCCCCTCCCCCCACTTGCATGCTTGCTCTCTCTCTCTCTTAAATAAGTAAATAAATCTTTCAAAATAAAAGGCAAGAAGCATAGTGAAATCTTCCTTCAGGAAAGGGAAAGGAAAAGTTAAATAGGGTCCCTATTTTTTTAAAGTAGCTTAATTACAAAAGCCTAACTTTCTATTTTACTACCATTTTTATTTAAGTAGCAAAAGTATAATAGAAGATTAGTTTGGTCTACTGAAAATTTATCATTTTTTTTCACAAATCCAGAAAGAAAATGGGAGGGGCAGTATTAAGAGAGACATAATATTTTAATTATTATTTGTTATAACATTTATGTTTTGAAAAAACTAGGTTTTTTCGAACATTAAAATATAGCCAAGTTTTTATTTTACCAATTAAAAAAGATCAGTTCTTTCTTCATTACTAGTGGTATTTGTATTATTTTACAAAATATTCTGAAGTTTAAGTCTAAGGTTGTCTTACCCATATGTAGCACTGTTGGGGAGTTAGAATTGTTCTTGAATTTAGATCTTGATTTAAAATCAACATTTTAACATACCAACATGTTGTTAAGCCACAAGGATCACATTTCCTACCCTTTCTTCTCCTTAGAGACAAATTGATGAAGCACCTGATGTTCACTTTGAGTAACAATATCTGTTCTGTTACAGATTACTAGACTAATTGAATGTGAGAGAGTATTAGTGGCATTGGAACTTAGCAACTACCTAAATGATTCCAGTTATGCCCTTCAAGCTGTGACTCAATGTTATGGCCTTCTTGCTCCTATAATCTACCACAATATTGTTTTGGTACCTGTCATACAGGTAAGCATATTTATACCCTTAGATAAGGGCATTTTTACAAAGGCAATTCAGCAATGCATTTTGGAAAAGAAAAAGCAATGTATCTTTTGTAATGTACAAATAGGTCAAAGACAGGTGTTAGGAAACTTCATGAGTTAACTGAAAAACATTTTAATAATTTAAATTATGTCTGGGCAAACATAAATAAGGACTAAAATGTATTTCTCTGAAAACATTCAGCCCCATTGCTGTCCATGTTTAAACATTAGCAATCTGCTTTTCTAGGTTTTTAAAGTCATTTCAGTTTTTATGCTTGTGTAATGTTAGAAACAGCAATACTTATTCAAAAACATATTGTTAAAGCCATCGTCATGTAGGGAAGAAACTGGTGGATGACCCAAGAAAAAATATTTGGTTTCTTGGTGATGGAGGAGTTGGAATTTATGGAAAAAGAGTAGGTGAGAGCTGGCTGAAGGGATTATATTAGTTGTCTCTTCTTTCTAACAAATCACTGTAAACTTAGTGGCTTACAACAAATCCATTTACTATCTCATAGTTTCTGTGGGACAGGAGGCTGGATACGGGTTGACTGGGTCTTCTGCTCAGGGTCTCATCAGGCTGAACTCAAGGTGTTGGCCAGAGCTGTGATCTTACTTGAGGCTCTGGTGCCTCTTCCAAGCTCACTGGTTGTTGAGAGAATTCATTTTCTTGTGCTCCTGTAAAAGGGGGTCCTTAGCACCTAACGGCTCACCACCAGTTCCCTGCCACACGGTCCTCTCCACAATGTGGCAATCTGCTTCCTCAGGACCAGCAGGAGAGCCTCGTCTAATATGCATGAGGAGTCTTACATAACATAAGGTAGTCATGAGAGTGATGATCTCATCATAGTCACAGGTCCTACCCACTCACAAAGTGGAGGGATTATACAGGGCTTGTACACCCGGAGGAGGAATCTTGTGGACTGTTTTAGAATTCTGCCTACCCCAGGGATATCATGAGAGAAGTAAGGTTTCGCTGCTGATACTTTTAGAAAGTTTTTATCGTCATCATTGTTGTCATCATTACGATCATCATCAACTCAGATTTTGAGAACCAAGAAGATGTGACTGAACTCATGCACAGCATAAAGATTTTTAATTCACCATTGAGAAAACTAACCAGGGGGCTTAAATAATTTAACAAATATTTGCCTTGGAGTGGCTATGCTGGAGCATAGACATACCTCCTTCTCCCACATTCCCCACGTTTAGGAGTTCAGTTGCTTAGGAGATCGGCCTCCAGAATCCAAAATCTAAATTCATAGTTAGCAGCCTTCCATGTCATTTGTAGATGGATTGTAGAGCAGCATTCTCAAGTATAGAAAATGCTTCCTCCAGAACCCATAGGCGTTTACCTGGCATTGTCCTTTCTTCTTAGAGGTGAGAGATGCCATATGTCAGACTTAGTTTGGATGGGGTGTCTCAGCAGGCCCCAGATAGTTCATTAATGTGGCAGGTTCCTGAATCTTCACAGGGTTTATTTCTATCCTCTGGAGGGTATGTATCTTACCAAGGTCTTTAATGTACTCGCCATCTCTTGCTCTTTAGTTTTGATTAACATGTTATTGATGTAATTGCCAATGTTTTGTTTTGAGACATGCCCAGAGAGTTCAGGTCCTTTCATAAAATATGTCAGAGTCTGAGAGAATTTTCATGGCCCTCGGGCAAGATGCTAAGTATATACTTTTGTCTTCCCAGTATGAATGGGAACTTCTGGTACTTCTTCCTAGTAGGACAGAAAAGAGAACATTAGCCGTAGCAATGCATAGCTTTTAATGTCCTCTTGTAAGGATACCACATTGGGACCAGCAGCTGCAGCTGGTGCTCAGTTGGTCAAGTTCAGGATAATCCACTGTCATCCTCTAGCATCCCACTGACTTAGGGTGCCTTTAGCTACAGCTCAGAGAATGGGTTATAGCTATGAGGAAAAGCCTTGAGAAGGAAGTTTCTAATTAAATTGTATTGTTTGGAATAGGAAAAGTGAGTGGAACACAGAGGAGATTCTAGAAATAGGCCTCTCTATGGATGAGAATTTAATATATGACAGAATTGGCATTCCAATTCAGTGGAAAGAGACTGGATATTTTTAGTAAATGATGGTGAAACCCCTGGATATTCACCTGAAAGAAAATAGAGTTTGACACCTATATTGTACATATATAAAAAGTCCAGATGTACTAAAAAGTTAGGGGGAAAATCACAGATTACATGTGTAATCCAGGGTCGTGGGAATCCTTTTTAAGTAAGACAGAACTCTTAGAAATAACAAGAAAAATAACATATATTGAGTATATTTATGGCAGCCTATGTGTGACAACATGGACCATAACAAAGATAGTATAAAATTTGTGGATTTAGGACAAATATCTAACAAGGATTTTTATATATATTACTGACAAGGATAAATATATATAACAAAAAGTCTTAAAAATTGACAATAACTTAATAAAAAAATGGCCACAGGATATGAATAGGCAGTTTACAGGAGAGCAAATCCAAGTGGCCAAGAACCATGAAAAGATGCTCAAACTCTGAATATCCTTAGAAATGCACATTAAATGAACAATGTAATATTGCTGACAGAATTGAAAAGATCTGTAACTCCTCTTGCTGGTGACGATGTGGGGCAAAGGCATTCTCACTCATTGATGGGGAACATGTGAATTGTTGTAGGCTTTGGATTTTGGTAAAGCAATCTTAATTTTAATTAAACTAAATCTAATTTTAATTAAAATTAAAAACAAATATACTTGACACAGCAATCCCTCTATTAGCAATTTATCCCATAGAATAAAATTACCAGTTAGTAAGATACCTAGTTCCACCCCTTGGCTCCCAGATTCACATGTTCTACCTGCTGGGCACACAACGCCACACAAATGTCACGCCACACAAATGTCATTGATTTAGAGTATTTACTTTGCCCTGGAAGATGGTGCTTCATCCTCCCTAGGTATCATCTCAAATCTGGTGCTGAAGTTGCCACTCATATTGGCAACTGAGCATGTACAAGGGTGTTTCTTATGGCCTTTTTTGTCGTGGCAAAAAAAAAAAAAAAAGCTGGAGACAAAGAGAAAGTGCAGTAGCAGGATGATGGCCAGTATATATACCAGATTGTAAAACGTCAGCCGTAAAAGTGTGTGCAACATGGAGATTCTGGAAATGGCTGAATAAATGATGGTTGTTCCACATTAAATCATATTATGCAGCCATTGGAAATAATGAACTTGCACTATACCTGTAGACTTGGAGGGATTTTTCACAAGACATGGTTGAAGGAGAAATGCACAGTTCAAACAAGTGTTTATGAATTCCATTTTGTGACATAACATTAACTCCCTCTCTATGTATGTTTATGTATATATATGATTATATGAGCCTGGAGAAAACTACAAAACTACTGGGTTGCTAACATGATTTGGGGATATGGTGTAGTGGGGTGGGGTGTGTGGTGATGGGGAGGAATTAAAGAAGCATTACAAATACTCATAAGTGTACGGTAACAATAGTAATAATGTTAGAATGGTAGCTTGGAGCAATTAGGGTGCCCACAAAAGACCAACATCCATAGGTTAATTTGTCTTTTGATAATCTGGATGATTAATAGATTGAGGGCAATCTCAGCCCTACTTTTCTGACAGTAATGTTGCTCAGAACAGTGCAAAGTATTGAAAGGTAAACTTAATTATCTCTCTCTCTCTCTTTTTTTTAAGATTTTATTTATTTGACAGAGAGAGACACAGCGAGAGAGGGAACACAAGCAGGGGGAGTGGGAGGAGAAGCAGGCTTCCCGCGGAGCAGGGAGCCCGATGTGGAGCTCAATCCCAGGACCCTGGGATCATGACCTGAGCCAAAGGCAGACACTTAACAACTGAGCCACCCAGGCACCCCAATTATCTATCTCTTGATCAAATTCAGGATCTCATAATAGGAGGCAAGGGGACTAGGAAGTAAACACCAATTTTTATGGGTTATGGGATATGAATGCTTGGTTTTAATCTTAAAGGAAACTATTTTTTCAAGTACCTGGTATCACTGTATATATAATATGATACATGCTTCTCTAAATGGTTTTTTAAGGTCCTCTTAAGCCTGGTTGTGCCTTTAGTGTCTTTTTTTTTTTAATGTTTCTTTTCTTTTCTTTTCTTTTTTCTTTTATTTTTTTAAAGATTTTATTTATTTATTTGAGAGAGAGAGAATGAGAGATAGAGAGCACGAGAGGGAAGAGGGTCAGAGGAGAAGCAGACTCCCTGCCCAGCAGGGAGCCCGACGCGGGACTTCAATCCCGGGACTCTAGGATCATGGCCTGAGCTGAAGGCAGTCGCTTAACCAACTGAGCCACCCAGGCGCCCTAGTGTCTTGTATATGTAATATTCTGCCTATATTTTTTGTGACACTTGTCAAAATGTGCTATTTTGTAATCTTTGTATACTTATTTTATCTTCTACACTAGTTTTCAAGTTACTTTAGTTGAGGAGCTCATCTGAAATTGAATATATTAATTTTATCTCAGAGTACATTCTTTTATACATGATAAGCAATTTATTGACAATTATTGATAATAATAAAATTTGATGGTTTAAAACTTGCATGATTTGAATAGAACACTTCCTAATGAGTGAGCGTGATATTTTTCAACAGAAACTATTGTGCTTCTATTTTTTAGATCTTGATAAAGTGTGTAGTGGCTTTGCAAGGATTACCAAATATCATCCACTCAAAGAAACATATTGCAAGTTTTGAAAGTGTACAGCACATGATAGCCTGTTGTATCTTCTACATAACAAAGGTATTTATCTCATTCTTTGTCTAGTGTCATAAAATTTAGGAATAGCAATGATTTAGAAAGGTAAGTTACTTTTATTACATAGAATACTTTTAAAAATAGTACCCACAAAGCATTTTAGATCAAGAGTTGCCTGAATGGGTCAGTTGGTAAAGCCTGGAGAGTGTATTTTAGGCCAGGGGAAGGATTGGGAAAGAGTACATTTTGTGGGACCTCATTCAGCTCGGAACAAGAAAGAACCAAGAGACCAGAGGCCGAGAGGTAAGCTTATTTATCCTCATTGCTTGGCTCAAAGACCAGCACTGTGTGTTTCTTCAAAGGCTTTAGTTGACTGAATCTGGTGAATTTCCTCAAAGAAGGGCCATATTTGCCTGCCTGTTTTATATGGTCCTCACAGGACCTTTGTGATTTGGTAGGGATCTGAAGGAATACTGCATGGGTGGGCTGATTTGATCCATCACTTTAATTGGGACTTAAGTTTGCTTCAGTGAAGGTCTGGAAACAGAGAGGCCTTTACCTTCTATCTTAGCAAAAAAGTCATGATTTGCTGTCTGTTTATGGCCTGACCTCAGGAGCAGAAAATCATATTCTTTCCATTGCTCACTGGTTTACCACTGCTGGAGACACATCTTTAACCTTGTCTGTGCAAATATGGAGGGAGGGTAGCCATTAGCAGGAAGAGAAAAATAATAACTTATTTAAGAGGACTCAGAACCCCAAGGGGCAGGCCAAACACCAGACTAATTGTGTTTTTACTCTATGTTGGAAAAGACCAGAGGTGACTTGAAAAAAAAAAAGAAGAAAGAAAACTTTCAAGATGGTGTGATGCAATTAAATGATCAAAACAAAACAACAGAAGATCTTATGTAACTAAACAAAAAATATTTGATTTTTGATTAAAAAAAATTAAACAGATGAAGATTGTGGTTAATGGTATTTCTTGAGTAAAATCTGGAAGCTCAAGAAATACCTGACAGCATAGAATGGAATTACCTAGAGGTAAATTCAGAAGCAGACCCAAAAGTCCTAACATGAAATGAAAGTTCTGGAGGCAGGAAATTAAAAAAAAAAAAATGGAGAATAGTCTCCTTAAGTCCTAGGCTGGATTAATTTAAGAACTTATGTCTTGAACCATGAGAGACTATGGACTCTGAGAAACAAACTGAGGTTTCTAGAGGGGAGGGGGGGTGGGAGGATGGGTTAGCCTGGTGATGGGTATTAAAGAGGGCACGTACTGAATGGAGCACTGGGTGTTACACACAAACAATGAATCATGGACCACTACATCAAAAACTAATGATGTAATGTATGGTGATTAACATAACATAAAAAAAAAGAACTCATATCTTGACACTTGCTGGTGAGATTCTTGGAGTCCAAGGATAAATTAAAATCTCAAAGTTTTGAGACCAAAGAACAGGTTATTTGCGATGGTAAGAGAATCCATTAGCTTCAAACTTTTTATCAGCAACAGTAGAAGATAAAATACTGGAGCAACATTTGTAGAATCCTGAGGGGATAAGATGGGGGTCCAAAAACTAATAACGAGGAAAGATATCATTTCTTTGTCTTTGGGCAAAATAAACATTTTCAGGGGTGCAGCATCTCAAAAGTATTCTGCCCATGTACTTATCTGAGGAAAACATTTGAGGAAATACTCTATCAAATGACAGTTGGTTCAGGAAAGAAATCCCAAGGTAGGGAAAGACAAAAAGGAGAGGAATAATGGGAGCAACGAATCTTGCAATATATGTATTATTAAAATTAAATAGGTAATAATGATGTGATGCGGGTTTTGTAATATAAATGCTAAGTAGGAATTCTTGAAATAGAAGAGTTATCTTTGAAAGAAAAAACTTATTAATAACCTAAACTAAAACTTTTATCTTGTTTGGGGTCAAGAGAGGGGAGACCAGGTAGAGATTCTTGGTGCATGGTCGTGTGTTTTAAAAAAATAAATATAGTATAAAAAATTCATATAATATAAAATTACTATTTTATTTAAAAATGAATCAGGAATATGTAGCCATGTGCAAAACTTTAAAGCACAGTAGGACTTCTAAATTGACAGGAAAAAAATGAAGAGAGGAATAACAGGGAGGAAAAATGGCGAATTCAGCAAAACTAAGAAGGAAGAAGAGATAGTATTTAAGATAGAAGGAATACAATTAAGAATATTAATTACTTCACTAAGTATAAATGAACTCAGAAGACAGAGATGGCCAGATGAACTGAAATGTCAGATTCAAATGCAAGAAACGCTTGCAGAACAATGTGACAAACACTGGTTGAAAATAAATGGATAGACAGAGGTACTGGGAAAATACAAACACAAATAAGGGAGGAGTAGCCATTTTTATATCCAAAAAGGCAGAAGTCAAGGCCCCAAACATGACTCAGGACAAAGAGAGGCATTGTATAATTTTCTTCAAGTCTGTTTTGTCTTATCACCCTTCTCTAATACTGGAAGGCATCTGGTCACTTTCTGTCTAAGGACAGTGTCATTGTTAAGTATTAAAGATCAAGTCTGAATTAAAACAAAACTCTAATTTTTTACAACAGCAAATTAAAAAAGAAAAATCACAATTAGATTAAGTGAAAAATGCTACAGAGGCATTTGATAACACTTAGCAAACTTTCCTAAAAAAAAATTGTATGTAAGTTAGGAATGGAGGGAGTCTATTGAACAATGATAAAGACATTTACCAAAACTTTACAGCAAATACACTAAATGGCAATTTTCTGAAACCGTTTCCTTAAAAATCAGGTATAGGATCTGACTCTTAGTAGTGTGATTCATTATTTGTAGAGATTCTGTCTTATGTAATAGATAAGGATATGAAATAATTTTACAATATCAAAGTATAATTCATCCGTAATTGTACAGGTCTCAAAAAAACTCATGAGAATCTAGTAAAAAGAATTACTAGAATTAAAAGAATTTATAAAGTGATTGTATGTGAGATGCTTACAAACTGATTTTTTTTAATAGTAGCAGTAGCCCATGAGAAATGGAGAGAGGAAAAATATACTACTAATAATATACAATATTTTAAGACAAATACCGTATGATTTCAGTCATATATGGAATTTAAGAAACAAAACAGATGAACATAGGGAAAGGAAAGAAAAAAAAGAGAAGGAGGCAAACCGTAGGAGACCGTTAACTATAAAGAACAAACTGAAGGTTTGCTGGAGGGGAGGTGGGCAGGGGGGTGGATGAAATAGGTGAGAGGCATTAAGGAAGGAACTATTATAATTGAAAAAAAAAAAAAAAAAGGAAGGCACTTGAGATCATGACATGAGCACCGGGTGTTGTATGTAAGTGGTAAATCACTAAATTCTACGCTTGAAACTAATATTACACTGGATATTAACTAACTGGAATTTAAATAAAAACTTGGAGAAAAAAAATGCCCAACGTTTTAAGCCTAACAAAGTGTTAAAAGACCCGAATAAAAGAACTGAAATCTTATTGAAGTTTACAAAATAAGATCTGAACATATGGCAGACCATCCCAAGTTCCTGAATAGGTAGACTTACTGTCATAGAAATAGAAATCCTTCCAAAAATAGTATTGAAATGTAATACAGTTCTAGTCAGAATCCCAATGGAGTTTCTCTGAAACTGATTATAATAATTTACAAGTTCTCAATAGATACTAAAATCTATTATAAGCCCACTTCAATAAAAAATGGTGTTAACAAAGTAATAGGCAAATAGTTTAGAGGAATAGAAGAATCCAGGAATAGCCAGCCAGCCTCAGGTCTACAGAAGAACTTAATATATGACAAAAGTGGCATTTGGAATTATTGGGAAAATCTATTAAAATACTTTATTTAGTAAAAGGTGCTGGTATCACTGACTATTCATCTGAAAATAAATGAAGCCAGAGCCTCTTACCATAAACAAAATAAAGACAGATGGATATTTGTATGGCTTTGAAGTCAGAGGAGACCTTTCTCAATAGGGCATAAAATTCAAAAGGTACACAGAAAAAGATAGATAAACAGATTACATGATAAGTAAAAAAAATTTTTATGACAAGACACTATATGAACAGTCTTACAGGCAAATCTTAAAAAATATTTGATAACAAGATTATTAACATTACCTCAGGGAGCAATCAATGAGAAAATATGAAATAATCTTACAGTTAAGGAAAAGAAGAATCAGATTTATTTTTAATTACGAAAGATATGTTTCAATCACCTTAAAAAGTGGAGTAGTGAACAGGTACCAGATGATGAATGGCTATCTCATGAGGTCAGGGAGGAGCCATTCAAGGGTTTTAAACCTGGAAATAACATAATGAAATTTGCATGTTAGCAAAAAGAAGTTATTCTGGGGCACAACAGCTAATAGAGTGGGATAAGACCTGAGGCAGGGAATGAGTTAGAAGGTGAGAGTTGATAAACTGAACTATGGCAGTCCCCGCCTTATCTGCAGTTCTGCTTCCCCGAGGTTTCAGTTACCTGCGGGTTGACTGCATTTGGGAAGCAGATGGTCCTCCATCTAGTGAGTTGTCAGAAGGTTAGTAGTAGACTAATGCTACGTCACAACACCTGTGTCATCCCCCTCACTTCATCTCATCACGTAGGCGTTTTACCATCTCACGTCATCACAAGGAGAAGCGTGTACAGTACAAGATATTTTGAGAGAGACCCTGTTCACATAGTTTTTATTACAGTATATTGTTATAATTGTTCTATTTTATTATTAGTTATTGTTGTTAGCCTCTTACTGCACCTGACTGATAAATTAAACTTTATTATGGGCACACATGTGTAGACAAAAACCGTGTGTATCAGGATTGGTACTATCTGCAGTTTCAGGCATCCACTGGGGTCTTGAAACATATCCCCCATGGAAAAGGGGAGCTACTGTACTGTGGAAAACTGGGACATAGAATTGAAAAGATTCAGGAGTTATTTATGAGATAGAATCGAGAACCTGTAAACCTGCTAAGTACATGAAGATAAAGGAGAGAGAGGGAATAGTCAACAGCAATCCAGCTGTCTGGCCTCAGCAGTTGGGTGAATACAATGCTATTTGTTGAACTCTGGATAAGGAGTAATTTGGGGTAAGAAAGGGAGAAAAGATAATAAATTTTGAATCTATTGAATTTGGGGGCTAATAGGATATCCAGAGGTAAATATTATATAATTGGACCTATAGGCTCGGAGTTCAAGAGAGGACAAATACGTATAAAGACAAAGCCATCATTAATATATGGACTCAACTGAATAATAGAAATAGATGATATCCTCTGGGAACAGTGTGGAGAGTGAGAAGAGAAGAGAATTATTTAAGAACCTCAAGGGTGCACTTAATCCAGGGGGCCAGTTCTGCTTCCACGAGTCACGAGGAAGAATCGGACAGTTGATTAGTCCAAAGCCATTTTGTCATTCCCTTGAGGATCTGCCTGCAGCTATTAGTTCTGCCATTCTCACATGGCATAATCACAATCCCAAGGACCCTCTTCCATCTGATATTATGATTACACACAAATTGATTAGTGTTAGGCTGAGCTAAAAGTACATCTTCGAAGGCTACTGTTCTTTAGAATATCTTCTCTGTTTGGCCTTTTCTCCCCAAACTTGTCCATCAGTAAGTATTTCCAGGAGAGGGGTGTCTTTTTCAAGTAAGAGAAGGCCAGGTTACACTTTCTTTCCAGGGTACTGGGCAACTATTCACTTTACATTTAAATAACTGATAGCAGCTACTGCAGTATTTCTTCCAGAACAGAGAAACTCTATTCCAAGGCAGCTTGTTGCTTGCAGCTTGCCAATAGCAACTTCTGCTAAGAATCAACCAACCAACCAACCAACCAACCAAAAAACCAATTCTGCTTATCCAGGTACTCCACATTTGACCATTAATGGGAAGGAACCAGGAGAGGGAAGGGATGTGGATAAAGGAGCGAGATCCCCGGGAAGGCAGGAGGCGATGAGATCCTAGTACATGTGGGAGGGATTAGTCTGGACAGGAGATTGACCTCTCTCCTCTAACAGGAGGGTAGGATGGTTATAGTTACAGGTGAGTGTGTAGATAGGAGATAAGCTAGTTTCCCTACATTTCTTCTGTTTAAAGGAAGCAAGGTCATTTGCTGAGAGAGAGAGAGATAGAGAGAGATAGGAGGTGGGGAGTAACGGTGGGTTTCAGAGATTGAGAAGAACGGGAGGTTTCACAACAGACCCTGTAGAAGATGGGAGAGACTCCTGACCTGGAACAAAAGACCAGCATTTGGGGCCTAGTGCATGTTGAAGTCCTTGAATTTACATGTCTCCTCTCTCAGGAGGGATTTGTAGGATTTTTGGGATTTGTGGGATTTTTCTCCCGTAGCGCACAGCAGCTTGGGGCTGGCCCTGCATTGCTTTACATGCCATCCAAAACTCCACTACCCACCCCACCCCCCAACTTGAAGAATCATATTGAGATCCAAGTATATTATTGTAGAAATGACCCTGAATGTTTCTGGACATTTGTAAAACGTAAAACAGATATTGATGTCAGGATTTTGATATTGGAGCTGGTCCTGTCCCAAATGTTATTCCCTTTCAGAAGCTTCCTCCAGCCTGACCAATAGCCCCAGAGCCCTGGCCTCACCTTGAGTCCCAGATTTTAGGTGTTCATTTTTTATAACCACATTTTTGTATGGATTTTCTGTTACGACATGGAAAGCCCACTTAGTCTAATGGCTCTGTTTCTTTTCTCTGTTCTGTTTAAAAACATTGGTAATCTTTTCAGATGGCTCAATCTTTCTTTAAGCAGCAGTATTTTTTCTAAAAGTTGTCAGAATTCCAAATAAAGATGCCACTTAAATGTTTCATTATTTTTGCATTGTTTAAAAATTACTTTGCTAAACATTTGGCATGGTCTTTTTGTTTCTGTTTACCATTTGGTGTGTTGAGTAGAATTGGTTCTCTATTTTTCTGATGATTGGAGAAATTCTTTATCATTTACTACTGGCATATTAAAACGAGGGGAAAAGATTGCACAGTTCTCTCTACTTCTCTCCAAGCCTTGGACCCAAGTATGTCAGAAAGCTAAGTTGAAAGGAGAGGAAGTATTTGCTCATTTCGGCTTTCTAATAAAACATCCTCTCTCTCATATCAATTTTATAATGAGACTGGGCTGTTTCGCCTGGCATGCAAGGTCCTGTTTGACCTAATCCAATCTACCTTTTCAAACTTTATTTCACCATTTTCCTACCTACATTCTTTTCCACAGTCAGCTTAGTTTAATGCTATTGCCTGGTTCCACAGAAATATTTCCAGTTCTTAGCACTTTGGATCAGGTAGGTATTATCAGATTTATGCAACTAGTCACATATATATCCTTTTCCTGCATGGGAAGTAACAGTTGTTACTTATCTTAAATACTAAGTTATTCAGCTTGACAGAACACACCTACATCTAACAAATTCCTACAAGCTTATTTAGACTCCTAGAGAATTGCCTTATGTGGTTCACCATGAATGTGTCCCCTTCATATGATGCTTCACTACAGCAGAGTGTATGCAAATTAGATTGCTGGCCTGGGAAACTTTTCCTGTCGATGCTGGAGCCCAGGTTTTCATGACCAGGTAAAGCTACATAAATAAGGTGGGCAAGTTGTTCTGAGAAATGCCTCAGGGGTACGAAGGCATGGGGAGTGTCAGAAATTATATTCGACTCAGTATTTTGTAAGTTTAAAGTACAAGGAAATGAGTGGTGTACACTAGAGAGGAAGGCAAGGGCCTGGCAAGAAAAGGCCGAAGAATAGTGATTAGTAACGAATTGTGGCTGAGAGAGGCTCCCCTTTTTATGATTGCAGTGTCTGTTTCCCCTAGGGTTCACAGAGAATCTGCCCAAAACAGCTTATCTCTAGTTTAGTCCACTGCCAGAATATCTTTTAAATCATTTACTGATATAACCACCTCCCTCAACCGAAGACATTATGATGTCAGTAATGTAGCATTTCACATAGAAAGCAACTCAAGACAGGAGGTGGTAGTTATATGGCCTTTTTAGAATGATTTTGTTTTAAAATGGATCTTCTAATAACTCAATCAGAGAAAGACATGTATCATATGACCTCACTGATATGAGGAATTCTTAATCTCAGGAAACAAACTGAGTGTTGCTGGAGTGGTGGGGGGGTGGGAGGGATGGGGTGGCTGGGTGATAGACATCGGGGAGGGTATGTGCTATGGTGAGCGCTGTGAATTGTCCAAGACTGTTGAATCACAGATCTGTACTTCTGAAACAGATAATGCAACATATGTTAAGAAAAAAGAAAAAGAAGAAGATAGCAGGAGGGGAAGAATGAAGGGGAGTAAGTCGGAGGGGGAGACGAACCATGAGAGACAATGGACTCTGAAAAACAAACTGAGGGTTCTAGAGGGGAGGAGGGTAGGGGGATGGGTTAGTCTGGTGATGGGTATTAAAGAGGGCACATTCTGCGTGGAGCACTGGGTGTTATGCACAAACAATGAATCATGGAACACTACATCAAGAACTAATGATGTAATGTATGGTGATTAACATAACAATAAAAAATTAAAATAAAAATGAAAAAAAGAATAAAAAATAAAATAGATCTTCTAAGTGGAAATATTTTCTTAATTATTAACTTCCTACACCAAAACATGTATGGATATATGTCCCAGAAATATGGGGAATTCATAATTGATCAGATAACCTTGTTATTTGTCCTTTATTTAAAGCAGTGGAATCATGCAATTTTAATTGTAGGGAAATAGGATCTGGAGGTAAATTTCCAATTTCCTTAACAAAATCAGGGGAATTCTTAGACTCAAAATATTAATAGGACTTGTGAATTTATGGAAGATGGTCGATGACACTTGAAAATAGACAAATGTTTCCAACGGGTAATTAATAAATATTTTTGATTAGATTCTGCGTTCATGGAAAGAATATGACCTGGCAGTAATGATTATAAATTATGGAAAAAAGATGTTGGACATCACATCAGTTTGTAAATCTCTATTTGGTGTGTCTGACCAAGAAGAAATGCAAGAGGAGGTAATTGATTTTTGTTTCTCATCTTAAAACATATACTTATTTGAGTCTTTGTAGGGTCATATAGTATTTGCAAATGTGTTAGAATATTGATCAGGTTTAAATTTGTCATATTTATATAAACAAAAAGTAATATATAGTGAAGACCTTCCTTATTTAAAGGAATTCCTGCTAGAATACTGAAAAGCCCCCCCTCTCACCAGTACTGATCATTAGTCAGGCATTGATAGCTTCCTACACCCAGCTGAACCTGGAACTCAAAGCCCTCTAAGTCTCTCCCAAATTGAAGATTTTATTATTCTGGGCGGGTTATAAAATGTAGTAAATACATGTCAGAGCTTTTTACTTTGTTCACAGTAGATTTTTCCTAAACTCACTGTGACACCTAAATTGTCTTCTTTATGAGACTTTATGAGACTGCTAATGTCTGAGACTGCTTTTTAATATCTGCCTCCCAAGCATGGGCCTTATAGAACCTGTTTTATTGCCTTTTCTTGAGACCACGTGGTTATGTGTTTTTGTGGATCAAATTATGAAATGCTGCTTAGTTTATTGGGTTTCTGAGGAGCACTAGGAATCATCTGAAGCCCCTTCACTGACTGGGGTGGGGGTAGAGACTATCCAGACTCCTGGACTCTGTTTCCGTTGGAATAGCCCCATTTCTGTCTCTTTTATATGCTGAATTATATGTTAAGTGTTTGCTTGCCACAAAAAGCTTCAAAAATCACCACTGTTTTACTGGATGCATTTTTCTTTTTTTTTTTTTTAGCCATAATCCTTTTTTGGGGGTGGGGGTTATTTTATCTAGAGAGAGTTTTGATTAAGCTGGATGGAATTTGAGGGCTTTTTCACCAAGTGTGTTCACTCTCAGAGTTCATCAGCTGGGCTGTTTATGTCACCCAGGCCTTGACTCACAACCCTGTTCCTTTACATCACTGTAGCACAGGACTCCTTGCCTCTTTCCATGGAGCCTCCAGCCCAGCAGAAGATCATGCTACTTCTTTCTAAGACTATAGGGACTGAGAAGCTAATACCGAATTTATAGGAGTCAGAACTCCTTATAGCCACTCAAGGTCCCTTTAAGCCTATAGGGGCTTGGGAGGGTTTTTTTGTTTGTTTGTTTGTTTTGTTTGTTTGTTTTGGAGAACAGGAGACATTAACACATTCGGTTCTCAGGCTCAGACTGTTGAAAACATGGTGGGGAGACTGAGCACAGACCTGTCTATGCTTAATCCTCTAATTGCCGATCTTGTTATGTTTCACTGAAAGGCAAAGCAGCAGAGGCAATTAGCTTAGTGGTAAAGAAGCTCCTCAGGGAAAAAGAAAGGAAAAAAGAAAAAGGAAAAAGGAATACATTGCTGAGGGCAGGCTGGGAATTTTCTTTTGAGGATTTTTTAGAGTTCGACCATCATCTGCTTTCAGAAGAATGTATGTATTGGGTGAAGGGGGTGGTGCCAGTTGGGGGAGTGGAAGTTGAACGAAGGGAGAAGAAGAGAAGAAATATTTTGGCTAACTTATATAAAACACTGAGTATTGTGTTTGTCATTTAGTTAGAATGAAATGACTATTACTATTATTAATTTATATAACTTGGCCATGTAGATCATAGTTTTGTCTACCAAGCATCAAAGTATGAAATAATAATTTAAAGATTATTACTTGAAAGTGACAGTTGTTGAAACATGTTGAGGTACATTCTTACACTTTACCAATGTTTTTAGGGTTCTTCTAAGAAGTCTTCCAAGCTGAAGAAGCCACAGCAGATATTATTACCTGAAAAAATAAATGAACAGCTGGCCTTGTTGGAGACACACCTACTCAAACTGACAAAGCAATGTAGTCATTTTTTTTTCCTTTCTAGATACTTCTGTTTAGTGTTATGCTTTTTAAAATCAGAAAATATTTTGTTAAAAGGATTAAGATGAGATTAGCATTTGGTAAATCCTTTAAGGTGCTTTTACATTATGCCAGTAATCCTAACAATACTCTGTTAATAACGGATTATTAACCACTCCCCCCATCCCCCCCCCCCCCCCCCCCGGCCTCATGTGGTTCATAAAGATTAAGTGATTTATTTAGGATTACATAGTTGGCTTGTTTTTGAGCCTAAATCTTCTGATTCTAAAGCAGGGTTTCTCAACCTCGGCACTATGGCCAATTTGGGCCAGCTAATTCTTTGCTGTGGGGTACCATAGGATGTTGAGCAGCATCCCTGATCTCTACCTATGGATACATGGCACACCATCCCACCAGCTGCGACAATCACCTGGAAGGCAAATGTTGCCAAATATATTGGAGAGGAGGACACAAAATTGAGAATCACTACTCTAAAGGCAAAAATGTAACCGAGAAATAAAAGGATAGCATGGAGGGTGTTAATGTGTGAGTGATTTGAACCATGGTCTACTCAAGTGAAAGAGTAGTTTAATTTTAGGTCATTGTGCAAACTGGTAATTTCATAATGGACCAATGTTAACACAGTGATTGGAATTTTGGAGTTTGCAGTTTGGAAATCTGCTTAAGAAATTGATTTAGTTTCTGGTGGTGATAAATATTATCACACTTTTTAAAAGCAGGTACTTTAAATATTCTAGAAGAACAAGAGAGTACCTTTTCTCTCTAAATTTTTCTCAAGTCAGAGGTTCCACTTTTGGCCCCTCAGCCTTTTTGGATCTGACTCCACTCATAGAATTTGGTGTCCCTACTTCACCTCTCTTATTGTGTGCCTCAGTTATATCTGGGTTCAGAATTCCCTCACCTGGATAGCTCTCTCTCTCTCTCTCTCTCTCTCTCAGTATGTTCCATATGTTCCAAGTCTGTTTCAAGTTGAATTTATGAATCAAACCCAATGCTCTGTTAGTCACATAACCAGTAAACCTAGCTTTGGGAAAGGTGTGATTGTCTTGTTATACCTTCTTTAAAATGTAAAGTGTTTTATTTTTTATTGATTTATTTTTTTAAAGATTTTATTTATTTGAGAGAGAGAGAGAGAGAGAACAGGAGCCAGGGGAGGGGCAGAAACCAGGCTCCCCACTGAGCAAGGAGCCTGATGTGGGACTCAATCCCCGGACTCCGGGATTGACTCCGGGATCATGACCTGAGCCAAAGGATGATGCTCAACCAACTGAGCCACCCAAGTACCCTGATTTATGTTTTTAAAAAATTTTATTTATTCACATGGGAGGGAGAGAGAGAGAGTGCCCAGGGAAGGAGGCAGAGGGAGAAGCAGACTCCCCACTGAGCAGGCTCAATCCCAGGACCTTGAGATCATGACTGAGCTGAAGGCAGATGCTTAACTGACTGAGCCACCCAGGTACCCCAAAATGTAAAGTGTTTTAGAAATGTGAATTATTTTCATATTATCAATAAAAACATTTTACTAAGAAAAACAACATAATGTTACTAGCTAAACAATAGATTTAATAACAAAACAGTAATAAAAAGTTTTATACTGTGCTTTCTGTGTGCTAAGAACTATGTTAAGTGTTTTATACATATACATATAACCCTTATATAAGAACCATATGAGCAAGGTACTATTATCCTCATTTTAAAGATAAACTGAGGGGCTCCTGGGTGGCTCAGTTGTTAAGCGTCTGCCTTCGGCTCAGGTCATGGTCCCAGGGTCCTGGGATCAAGTGCTTCATTGGGCTCCCTGCTCGGCAGGAAGCCTGCTTCTCCCTCCCCCACTCCCCCTGCTTGTGTTCTCTCTCTCGCTGTGTCTCTCTCTGTCAAATAAATAAAACCTTTATTTAAAAAAAGATAAACTGAGGCACAGAGATTTTGAGTAACTTCCTAAGGTCTCATAACTAAAAAGTGTCTGTGTTAGAATTTGAACCCAGACAGCCTGGCTCCAGTGGCTGTGCTGTTCATTATTCTATACTTTACTGTCTTTTAAAGGTAATTTTGTAAAGACGAAGTTAACGTAATTGGTAGGTTTCAGAGTCTGGGGTTTGCTGATAGATGACAGCTATTGAATATGAGAGACTCATGTCCTGGACACTCTTCACCTATTTGGTGGTGGACTCCTTGGTTTTTAGGGGAGGGGAATGAAAGGAAAATAATTGAGATCACTGAATTTTTTAAACTCCAAAATATAATGATATAGTTGACATTTTGAAGGCACGTAATTTAGAATGAATACTTGAGCATTTTCCTATGTTTTGTTCCTTCCAAAGAATTTTCATTTTTGGTAATTCATGCTACATGGAGCCTACAACTTACTAATTTTTTAAACCTTAGATGCTACAGCTGAACTGTCAGGAGCAGAAGACCCTATATTTCTTTACCCTGTTGTTTTAAACTGGTCAATCAAAGGCGCTGTAAAAGAAGGTAGGTGGCCTAAATGTGTGGATGCTGTTCACTCAAGTTTTGAAGGTCATTTATTCTGTGGGTTCTGTTGTGTCTGAAAGCTTTCACTGTTCTAGGCTCTTACCTAGAAGGTAAGCGGGGCTCGATCCCAGGACCCTGGGACCATTCTTACCTATTCAGAATAATGCAGAATATTGACTGTCCAGTAATGTGATTTAAAATCTGGAAAGATTTTGGTCCCTTATGATCCCTAACTTGTCATATTTAGAGTTAACTTTTATGGACTCTTTCTCAACACTGAGATATTTGGAAAAATAAATGAAATATAGACTATAAAGGGTTATTTGATCTTAGAAAGACAGGAGTTCTTGCCACATTTACTGCTACACTTCTTTGTTTTCACAGTTATGAAATTTAAGCAGAGACCTAGATTCCTAGAATTCTTTACACAAGTGATGCTAAAATGTATGAATGATGAAAAATTTCATCTTATGGTGGAGATAACAAATCCTGTTTATGACTTCTTGAAAAGGTATTTGTAATATATATTTTATTAATATTTACAATTTTAAAAGCTGGGTAACATTGTTACTTTAAGATATATAAGGTGGATGAAAGAGAGGATGGGGTATATACACCTAGGGTGGGGTAAACAGCCACCAAGGTTTGTATCTGTGTATGTAAACAAACAAAAAAACAAACAAACATTTTCTTCCAACAACTGAGCTTTTCTTTCACCATTGGGCATAGACCTATCTCTCATTTTAGTAAAAAGAAACATCAATAACATGAGGTCTATTTAAAAAATGGCAGCAAAAGAGAAACATTCTCATAAAAACATATAGAAAAACATTCTTCCTAAAACAGGTACTTCATTTATTAGAACAAAAGCTTGGAATATATGTACTTCATATTCTCAAACGATAAAGGAGGAAATTGCTTTTATCAAATGAAACAGGTCATAGTAATCAGAGAATTAGACAGAAAGTGCTATTAAACTAAAAAGACCGTAGCTGAGATTAGAAGTCTGGAAGCTGTAAATCACATTCTTAATACCAGAGAGAAGCAGAAGACACTTTTGGTGTGCAGTGAAATTTGGAGGACTGACTGCACAGGTCCAACGTAAGAATAATAGATATTCTGAAAGAGGAAAGCAGAGTGAGTAGCTTAGAAGCATTAACCCAGTGGTGTAACAAAAGACTCAAGGTTGGAGATTGAGCAGTGTGACTGAGTTCAAAACAAAGGTAATGATTTCAATTTTCTAGGCTGAGCAGATGTTTTAGGATGCTGTTCTCTTAAGTCAGAGAATATAGAGGAGGAGCAGATGGAACACCTTGATTTCTACCTTGATAGTAATATCTATTTTCTTTTTATGTTTGTATGCTTAACATATTTTTGCACAAAGAAAATATTCTGCAACAGGCAAATATGCAGCTGTATTCTCTTCCACTTTTATGATTTTATGATTTATATTTAATGTTTTAGTCCATATGGAATTTATTTTGGTATGGGGATTTAAATTAAACTTTAGGTTCCCCAGTTTATCAGTTGTCCTGGTAACATTTAAAGAACAGTCTCTTTGTTACTTATTTTCAATTCTACCTTTTCACATTCAAAGTGGGTGATTCTACCAATAATGCTTATAAATCACAATGAAGATATTTCATGAATTTTCATATTTTACATAACAAAAATCCATGTATATGGAAATAACTGCTGAAAAGACAAGGCTGATTTGACAAAATATAATAATATTGAGAGAGTTTAACATGCTAGTTTAAAAAGAAAAAGGACACAGAATATATATATAATTAATAAGATATAGCCAATTGAGACTAAACACTCTTTAAAGCACTCATTAAATTTTTTTTAAAGATTTATTTATTTTGAGAGAGTGAGAATGAGAGAGAGAGAGAATACATGAGAGGGGGGAGGGTTAGAGGGAGAAGCAGGCTCCTTGCTGAGCCAGGAGCCCGATGTGGGACTCGATCCCGGGACTCCAGGATCATGACCTGAGCGAAGCAGTCGCTTAACCGACTGAGCCACCCAGGCGCCCTCATTAAATTTTTTAAAAAGTAATATTTAAGCTGCAAAATAGGGCTCAGTAGATAACCTAGACTAAAATTTGTAAAGACCACATTCTCTTACAGCATAATAAAGCTGAGATTTTATAACAAAATACATTACTGCCATATATATAATTATTGGATCAAAAAAGAAATCTAACCAAAAGTATAGAGACTTTTGAAAGTAATGATGATGAGAAACCCTAATATCAAATTTGCTCAAAACAGCAATTAGAAATTCTTAGCTTTAGAAGCCTCTATTACTAAATAAGAAAAATAAAATCAAATGAATTTTTATTGAACTTTAGCAATTAGAAAAATAAAATTGATCTAAGAAAGCAGAAAAAAATAAAAATAAAAGTTGAAATTAAACAATTATAAGTTGGTTTTAAAATCATTTAATTGAAGGTGCCACCTGGGTGGCTCAGTCAGTTAAGCATTGGACTCTTGATTTCAGCTCAGGTCATGGTCTCAGGGTTATAAGATTGAGCCCCCGAATGGTTCCATGCTGAGCGGGGAGGCTGCTTGAGATTCTCTCTCTTCCTCTCCCTCTCCCTCTATACCCCCACCACTGCTCGTGCTCACTCTCTTAAAAAAAAATTGATAACTGCTAGAACTGGTTCTTTGAAGATATTAATAAATTAGGTGAGTTTCCAGCAAGCATAATAAGAAAAAGTGAAATATAAGTAATCCAAAGAAGTAATAATTCTAAATTTGGAAGGGGTTAAACAAACATTAGATAGCAGCATATATAATTTAATATGAATAAATTTGAAATTTCTAGTTGAAAGTGATGATAATCTGGAAAGATTTAAATTATAAAAATTGAAGTATTAAAAAGAATTAGAATGGCTCAGATTTTTTTTTAAGGCTAGTTCTTTCATATTTAAAGGAACCAAGTAAGTTTTACTTTACATAAAGCTATTTCAGTACATGGGTATAAAGTTTGCTAGTAAATTTATCACAGGAGTCTCTGATAATGGTTTATAAAAAGAATTAAAAAAATAGAAAATTATGAATCAGTCTTACTTAGCAGTATATGGAGACGAATTCATAAAATAGCTTGTAAATTCAGTATTGAAAATGTAGATCTTATTATCAATATAAATATAGTAGGAAATCTGGAAATGTAATTATTACTGGTAGGCAAAAGAGCCTATAGTAAATGCTAAAAAGTCATGTGGTGAAATTCAACAACCATTCTTGGCAAACTAGGATTAGAAGAATATTTTCTGTTAAAATAAGCTTTATAATAAGGAAACTTATTTTCCCTCTATCATTTAATATTGTTCTGAAAATTCTTGCCAGTGCATTAAAATAAGAAATAGAAATTAGGATTAGAATTCATGTGATTATCACATAATAGGGTCTCAAAAATGTTTGTCAAATGAATGCCACAGTGAAATACTCTGAAATGGAGATAAAATGATTGGTATTTGCAAATAATAATTTTTTTAAACGTAAGCTAATTGACTGATAACTATCAGAAATAACAGAATTCCACAGGATAGCTAGCTACAAAACCAATAGCTTTCCTATATAAACTAGAAAGAATAATGGAAAAATGATCCCATTTCTATGAAGCATGGGATTAAATTTATCAGGATTTGTGAGGGGATTTAGGTTAATAAAAGAAGACCAAACATTTTTACTAAGATATATTTTTAAAAATGACTTGAATAAATGGAGACATAGTGTATTACTTAATGGGCAGATGGATTACTGTAATTTCTATTATCTTCAAATTAATTTGTTGGCTTAATGTAACTCCGATCATGTTAGTTTTACGGAATGGTGTAGAATAATGAAATATATTTGAAAAATGAAAAAGAGCAAAAAGAGATTTGTATTATCAGATAAAGTATAACAGAGTTCTGTTTGTGAAATAATAGGCAGATAGCTATTGGGATTCAATGTTTCACATTAGAAAAAGGTAGTAATATAAGTAATCAAAACAGTGAATAAGCCATGAAATCAAAGATCGATAGCATTGACTACATAAAAATTTTAAAATACCATTTTTCATAACATACCATAAACAAAATAAAAGGCTAGGAGGAAGAATTCTGTGAAGAGGTTGAGAAGTGGAGGAGTTTAATTGATTCAGGAGGTGAGAATTCTTCAGAGCATGGAGGCGAATGTTAAGAAGATAGGAGGATGGCAAGTGTTTATCTGTGACCTCCTCTCCTTCCCATCTCTTCCTGCCATAATAGCAACGAGCTCAAGCATTCTGGGGGGTGGGAGAGTCAGGAGAGGTAGGGAAGAGACCAACCTGCTTAGAAAGCGGCAGGCAACCAGTTTCAAAATGCAAGTCGCAGAGGGTGGATCCCCACCTCCAGTGTAACTAGCTATCCAGATTCATCCAGTCATTTCATTAGCCTTGTATTGATGTGACCCTACATTTTATTCAATTTAAGGTTTTGGACCCCATTTATCATGGGATAGCAGGGTTGGGGTTTTTTTTTTTAAGATTTTATTTTATTTATTTACTCAGAGAGAGAGAGAGAGAGAGAGAGAGAATGAGTGGAGAGAGAAACAGAGGGGGAGGGAGAGGGACAAGCCGACTCTGTGCTGACTTGGGGCTCAATCCCAGGACCCTGAGATCATGACCTGAGCCCAAACTGAGAGTTGGGCGCTTAACCGATATGTCCAGGCTCCTAGCCATTAACCGACTGAGCCACTCAGGCACCCCAATGAGAGCAGGGATTTGCTGGTATTAGCAAGTACTTACTCAAAGAAATATAAATTTTAGAAAATATATAAATTGCAGGGAAAATAAATGATAAGTATCAGTAGAAGGAGGGATAATAAGAGACTTCACAGTATTTGAAGAATTACCATAGGGGTCCATGGCAGATTGAAAAAATGAGATTAAGAATTTCAACAAGTGATTGGGGGAAGGGAACAGTTTTTGTAGGCATATAAAATGCTTAGCACCTGTTGGTATCCAGAAGGTGATAGTGGCTAGGAGCCTGGACATGATGGAACCAAAGAGACTGAAATCTGTTGCAAGCAAGATAGCTTGTCCAGGGTCACTCTTACATAATTACATTTTCACTTTTAAAGGGACATGTTCATGTTTTATTTTCAATCCAATACTGTTTTTCCTATGTCACACGTCAGTTCTCATCACATTTTGTGGTATGATTTACATTTTGCTCTTTCAAGAGGCCAGCTATTCCTTGATGATTAGGAATATCACAATCTTATTTATGCATGAGACAAAAATAATTTTGGATATTCTTCTCATACCATTTCAGTGACAACATTCATTAAAGATTTATTGCTTTGGTGTAGTTTTGCAAATTCTTACAGATCCTTTTAACTGACTTTATCTTTTTGTATTAGGAGGAATGAGTCCCTACTTGGAATAAGAAGAATGAAATATAAGGATAATGTTTTGTATAAAAAGACAACTAAACCTTTGAAGAAGTTCAAAGCTGCAGTAATGGAGATTGGAAGAGTAAGTGTCTTACGAGTTTTGATTTTTAAATTAATGAAATAAGAGATTCATGTATCTAAAGATGATTGGCTGCATTATAATTTATTATAATATGAAACAGAAGGAAATATCAACAGACAATTTTATTATTATACAGTAAATTATAATTTTTTTTTTGAGAGAGAAAGAGAGTGCAGGCATGCATGTATAAGTTGGGGAGGGGGAGGCAGAAGGAGAGGGAGAAAGAGAATCTTAAGCAGGCTCCATGTGGAGCCTGACTTGGGGCTCAATCTCACAATCCTGAGATCATGATCTGAGCCAAAATCAAGAGTTGGACACTTAACCGACTGAACCACCCAGGTGTCCCAGTACATTATAATTCTTAAGTTATCATATGGATATTTTTATAATCATATATTTTTTGTTTCTTTTTTTTTTAAGATTTTATTTATTTATTTGACAGAGAGAGACACAGTGAGAAAGAGAATACAAGCAGGGGGGAGCTGGAGCAGGAGAAGCAGGCTCCCTGCTAAGCAGGGAGCCTGATGCGGGGCTTGATCCCAGGACCCTGGGATCATGACCTGAGCTGAAGGCAGACGCCTAATGACTGAGCCACCCCAGCGCCCCTGTTGCTTTTGATAGTAATTTTAATTGAGGGGTGTAAAGAAATCACTGTATTTCAATGTCAAGAGATAAGCATTAGAGTATGAATAAATTATAGTATTGTGTTCAGAGTTTAAATTTAATTTGTAACATTTTTGTCATCTCTCATATTAAGACTATAGAACTGTTGCCAAGAAAAAGAAGTAAAAGGAAGGAAACTCTAAGAGAATTTTTTTCCAAAAATCCATCTATTTCTGAAATGGTGGAACATGAAAGGTATTGACTGATTAATTAATTCAGTAAATGTTACTATGTGGTTGGCATTATTTTGGGAACTAGGGATATAGTGGTGAACTAGATAGATAAGATCACTGCCCTTGGGGAACTTACATACTAATGACAGGAGTACAGTAAATAAGTAAATCCACAAATAAATAAGACAGTATAAAATTTTGATACCTTTTATAAAATAAGTGGACAGGATGATAGGCTATAGAGTAACTGGCCTCGGGTGGAAGTGGTGGCAGGACTGGTTTAGATAGGGTGGTTAAGAGACCAGTTCATAAATTACTTTTCATTATTGGTGGTCCTTATGTTCTTATTCAAAAAAACTGAAACCATAAAGCTTATCATGGTAAAATGTTTAGCTTCTATTTTTATGAGTAGGAACTTATGATTCTTATATATTCTTTATATATCTTATCTTCATTATATACATAAAATGTCTTTATCTGTTTAGTGATTTGGATTTTAAGAGCAACATGTACATATTAATAGAACCACTCTCACTTTGCATTTGCCTACTATCCGTTTGATTATTCCTTTATTTTTTTGATTTAAATTATGACTTTTTTATGCTATAAATGCTTGTATTAAGAAAACAAGTTCAAATAAACAACATTAAATCACAAGGAACAAAAAAAGAAGAAACTTAGCTGAAATTTAGCAGAGGAAGGAAATAACAAAGAAAAATCAGAAATAAATAAAATAGAGACCAGGATAAGCAATAACATAAAATTGAAAGTAATGACCAGTTTTTCCAAAAAAATAAACAAAATTGGCAGTGCTCTAACTACATCAACTAAGAAAAAAAAGAGAGAGAAGCCTCAAAAACCAAAATGAGAAACAGAAGAGAAAAAAATAGAACAGATAACCATAAAAATATGTAGTATGGTAACAGAGTATTAGAAACAATTATGTACAGGGGTGCCTGGGTGGCTCAGTCGGTTAAGCGGCTGCCTTAGGCTCAGGTCATGATCCTGGGGTCCTGGGATTGAGCCCCACACCCGGCTCCCTGCTCAGCGGAGAGCCTGCTTCTCCCTCTCCCTCTGCCTGCCACTCTGCCTACTTGTGCTCTCTCTTTCTCTGTCTCTCTCTCTGTCAAATAAATAAATAAAATCTTAAAAAAGAAACAGTTATGTACTAACAAATCAGATAACTTAGGAAAAAACCCAGATAATCCTAAAAACAAGCAAGTTACCAAGATTGAATCATGCATCTTGAAGTAGGACATCTTCTTAGACCAATAACAAGAATGAAAGTTGAATTAGGAATCAAAAATCTCCAAGCACAGAAAAGCTCTAGATCACCTAGTTTCATTGGTGAATTCTACCAAGCATTTAAGAAAAATAATTAATGACAATCTTTATCAAAATCTTACAAATAATAGAATAAAGGGAACGCATTCAAAATCATTCCATGAGGCCAGTACTACCCTAAATACCAAAGCAGGAAAAAAACAATACAAAACAGAGTCTAGGTTGTTTGATATAAGTATTGCTACTCTGACTTTCTTTTAGCATCCAATTGCAAGATAAATGTTTCTCCACCCCCTCACTCTCATTCTGCAGGTGTCTTTAGGTCTAAAATGAGTCTCTTATGGCCAACATATAGATGGGTCTTGTTTAGTCCATTTACATTCAAAGTAATTATTGATAAATATGTAGTTATTGCCATTTTATTACTTGTTTTGTCATTTCTGGAGATTTTCTCTGATCCTATCTTGTCTTTGTCACTTTTGGTCTCTCCTTTCTACTCAAAAGAATCCCCTTTAATATTTCTTGCAGGGCTGGTTTAGTGCTCATGAACTCCTTTAGTTTTTGTTTGGGAAACTTTTTATTTCTCCCTCTATTCTGAATGATAGCCTTGCTGGATAGAGTATTCTTGGCTGCAGATTTTTCTTATTCAGTACTTTGATTATATCACGTCATTCCCTTCTGGCTTGCCAAGTTTCTTTTGAGAAATTTATGGGTAGTCTTATGGGCTTTCCTGTGTAAGTTGAGTACTTCTTTTATCTTGCTGCTTTTAAGGTTTTTTCTTTATTACTATATTTTGCAAATTTAATTACAATATGTCTTGGTGTTGGCCTGCTTTTGTTGATTTTGATGGGGTTTCTCTGTGCCTCCTGTATCTGGATGTCTGTTTCCTTCCTCAGATTAGGAAAGTTTTCTGCTATTATTTCTTGAAATAAATCTTCTGCCAGCCTTTCTCTCTCTTCTTCTGAGCCTTCTATGATATGAGTGTTATTACGTTTGACGGAGTCACTAAGTTCCCTAAGTCTATTTTGTGTTGCATAATTCTTCTTTCTCTCTTTTGTTCAGCTTCATTATTTTCCATTATTTTGTCTTCTAGGTCACTAATTCATTCCTCTTCTTTTTCCAGCCTGCTGTTCATTGCATCAGACCTGTTTCTAATCTCATTTATTGTATTCTTCATCTCTCATTGATTGAAGAGTATAGTTCCCAAGTTATGAACATTTTTCACATTATTAGTTATTGCTAAGTTGCTCTTAAATTTTCATCAGTGGTGTGTCAAGTTTCCATTATTCAGTATCTTTACCAACACTCGATATTATTATCAAATTTTTGAATTTTTATGGACTGTTGAGTTGTGAAATTTTATGTCATTATTATTTTAATTTTTATTTAATTAGTAATGAGGTTAGGCATCTTTTCATATTTTTATTAGACCCTAGTGTTTTTCTGTTCTCAGCACTGCTTGTTTAGATCCTTTGTACATTTAAAAACTTTTGTTGTTTTCTCATTTATTTTTAGAAGTTTGGATACTATTGCTTTTCCAAGTTTGTGGCTCATCTATTTACATTTTAAAGGTTTTCTTTTTTAAATCAAAAGTTATAATTTTTAATGGAGCAAAATGTATCACCATTTCCCTTTGTTGTTTTTGAACAAGATAGTAAAGGTATTTTCATGAATTTAAATTTTAGATTTTCACATTTAGGAGTTTCTTTTTCTTTTTAAGATTTTATTTATTTGAGAGAGAGACACAGAGCACAAGCTGGGGGGAGGGACAGAGGGAGAGGGAGAAGCAGGCTCTCCACTGAGCAGAGCCTGATGTGGGCCTTGATCTTAGGACTCTGAGATCATGAGCTGAGCCGAAGGCAGTCACTTAACCGGCTGAGCCACCCAGGTGCCCCAGATTTAGGAGTTTCATCTAACTGTATTTTATTTTTGTGAATCATGAGAGGAAGAGTCCCCCTCCCCATCTCTTGTAGTTTTGTTATAGGTACCCAACTGGCTCGCCCCATTTACCAAGTAGCCATTGTTAGCCATTTATCAAGTAGTCTATTCCGCCACCACTGTCTCTTTTGTCATTTAGCAAGTTTTCATATATACAGGTTTGAGATCTCTTTTCTGTCCTAGTCTGTTTTCTTTTTGTGGGTCAATATCACACCATCATACTTACTCTGGCATTAAGTTGATTCTTGTTGTCTGATAGATCAAGTCTCTCCATGTTCACACAAGTCTTGGATATTCTTCCACAGAATGGTTTGGAATAGCTTGTCAAGTAACATAAAAAACTCATGATTTTGATAGAGATATAATTGACTATATAGATTGGTTTTAGACGTTCCCCCCACCCTCTGTATTGATTCTTTCTGTTAGTATGTAGACCATGTACTTATGTCTTTTTTTTTTTAAAGATTTTATTTATTTGACAGAGAGAGACAGCGAGAGAGGGAACACAAGCAGGGGGAGTGGGAGGGGGAGAAGCAGGCCTCCCACGGGGCAGGGAGCCTGATGCGGGCCTCAATCCCAGGACCCTGGGATCATGACCTGAGCCAAAGGCAGACGCTCAACGACTGAGCCACCCAGGTGCCCCTAGACCACGTACTTATGTTTTTCAGTAAATTTTTATGATACTTTCCGTAAAGATGGTGTACATCTTTTATTAGCTACATCAAAGAGGTGCTTTTTGGTATTAATGTAAATGGTATTTTAAAATTACATTTTTGAATGCTTCTATTTTTTTGTATAGGAACTTAAGTGATTTGTAAACAATTCAATCTTCTATAGGCTTGATAATTTATTCATAGGTACAAGTTTTCTGTGTGGATTGTCATATTGTGAAGAGATATTGAAAGTTTTGCCTATATACAGATGGCAAACACATAAAAAGATGTTCAGTATCATTAGCCGTTAGAGAGATGCAAATTAAAGCCACAAGGTATCACTAAAACCTATTTTAATGGCTAAAATAAAAAATAGTGATAACACTAAATACTGGGTCATGCGTACACTGCTGGTGGGAATGTAAAAAGATACAGCCACTCTGGAAAAGACTGTGAGATTTCTCATAAAAATAAACATAGGCTTACCATACAACCTCAGGCCTCATCAAAATTTAAAACTTTTACTCTGTGAAAGACCCTGTGAAAAGGATGAAAAGACAAGCTACATACTGGGAAGTATTTGTAAACCACATATCCAAGAAAGACCTTATATCTGGAATATATAAAGACCTCTCAAAATTCAAAAGAATAATAAAAACAAAAAGTCCAATTAGAAAATGAGCAAAAGACAATTAAAAATAAAATTGTAAAAAAAATGATCAAAAAACATGAACAGATATTTCAGTAAGAGTATGTGCATTTGTAGGATACTTACCTCATTTAATTTTGGGATTATCTTGATGGACATGGACAAGCTGATTTTAAATTTAGGAGAAAAAAGATCGTGAATAGCCAACAACTAGAAAATGCCTTTTTTTTAGAGGATTTTTTTAAAAAGCATTTATTTTTTAAAGCACACATAGAACATTTATAGTATTAACTCTAAGGCAAATCTCAAGAAATTTCAAATACTGGACTCATACAAACCACATTTTACTATAATTGATTACAGTAGAGAACAATTTTTGAAAAGATAGAATCAAAAAGATCCTATACATTTGAAAGTCTTAAATAGACATTTAGAATTAATTCATAGGGAAAAATAGAAATTATTTTGATAATTTAAAAATACAAAAAACTTGTTGAAAATTTGGTTGAGATTGTTCTGAATCAGAAAATATTGAAGGCTAACATGTTTCCTTCTTATCACTATTTTAACTGTACCTTACAATTTTTAGTATATGATAGTGTTTTTATTCTTATTTAGTTCTGTATACTTTAAGATTATCCTTATAATTTCTATTTTCTGTGAGTAGGTCTTGCACATCTTTGCTTTGGTTAATTCCTAGGTATTTTTTAAGCTATTAGAAATATTGTTTTAGAATTTCATTTTTAATTGTTTATTGCTGGTATGTAGAGATAGAATTATTTTTTGTATATTGACTTTGTCTTCCATGGGCTTAATAAATTCACTGATTAATTCTAATACCTTATCTGTAGGTTATTTTGGATTTTATAAATACACAATCATATTGTCTATGATTGACAGCTGTTTTACCTCTTTATTTTCAATCCTTATACTGCCCCCCTGCTCCCACTGCCTTTATCTTGCTTTTTGTTCTTGCTAAGACTGCTATTTCAGTGCTGAGAGAAATGATATTAGTGGGTACCTTTGTCTGATTCCCATTTCAAAGGAAAAGCTTTCAAGCTTTCAACATTTTATCATTAAGAATTATATTTGTGGTAGGTTTGTTTTTGTGGATATCCTTTATCAAATTAACATTATTATTTATTTTGAGTCTCAAATTGTTCCAGATTTGGCCATCCGGAGCCCTTTCAGCCTAGCTCCTTAGTCTTTTTGACATGTCCCCATCATTTTTTTGAGCTTCTTCTTACTTACCACAAGATGTTCATCTTGTACCTTCCCTGTCCCAGCCCTGGAACCAGTTGATTCCTTTTAGTGGAAGTGGTATTTAGAATCTAAGTTCTGGAGGCTACTGATGTATCTTTGCTTCTAGGCCCTTTCAACAGACAAAACTAGGAAAAGGCTATGTCCACCTAAATAGATCTATGTATCTATCTAAAACTGTAATAAGGTCATACTGATATGTCCAGTTTCAGTTCCATACCACAAGATACTTTCCAGTGTTTTCTCTTTTCCTAAGTGTAATTTTTTTTTATAATGGTTAGAATCCTGTTTCCGTTAATGTCAATATATTAACTTATTTGTTTAAGCTAGAATATACCGATGAGAGTGTCTGGATTCCTTAATATCTTCCTAATTCAGGTTTCTATTTTCTTCATATGGTTCCATATCACTGAGCATTTATTTATGTTGACTGTCCCTCCTGAGCTTCCTCTCTGGCTGCTGGGTCCGCTCACATATGTGGCTCATAGAGACACAGAGCTGCTTATGGAGTACCCTGCACATTAGGAACTACTCAGGTGGTAAAAGAAGAAGCATTCTCTACCCTCTGGGCTGGCTCTCGGTCCCTTCCAAGCCCCTTGCATCTGTTACTACCTCGACAAGATTCGTGCAGGAAGACTATCCTCTGTCACTTCTCTCCCTGGACTCTCACCTTCAGTGCAGGGAAGATGTGGCTAGTCCTATCAAACTCTCCTGGGCCTTTTGAGGAGATTTGACCTTCTATCCACCTTTCTTTCCTTTTCGTGTGTGTGTGTGTGTGTGTGTGTGTATGTGTACGTGCTGCATCAGATTCACACACACGTTATCTATTAAAGCAAGCAAGATACTCTTACTTACCAATTGAGGTTTTTTTTTTTTCCCTTTCTGCAATATAAATCAGATAGAATGGCACTGACCAACGGGGCAGCAGCATTGTCAACATAAAAAAAAAAGTACTTTGAAGAAATCAAATCATACCATGTAAAGTTATGCAACTATAAAAATAGTTGGACGACTTTGAGATTTTGATAGGAATAATTTTAAACAAACTGAGTATATGCTGCACTTAAAATATGAACTATTAGCTAAAGTTTGAAATATTAGTTTTTTTCAGAGCATATTGAATATGGACTTATGAAGTTATTTCATTTATAGTTGATTGATATTTTATTTCTGCTCTAGTCTAATGTTGGAAAACATTTTGCCCCATTGTTTTTTCCCTTAAGGAACAATACAGAGAAATGATTTTTCTGTTTAATATTGAAGTTAGGGGATGAATGTGAACATTATATTATAATTCAGTTGTCTAATCTCAGTGGCCTTTTGTTATGGAAAAGAAAAGTTGTCTGGTTGGAGTTTAGGACACAGACATCAGAGATGGAAGGCAATACATAATGTCTTTGTCCTTACTGTTTATCCTCATGGTTTGTCTGCTGCCCTAGTTCACATTCTTAGCACCAAGGAAATTATGAATAAGCCAGAAACATTTGCATAGTGGCAGTCAAGTGACTTCTTGGTGTATTTTATACAAATTGGAATCATTCTTCATTATTAAATATCTGGAAGCTTGTGTAATTTCAAAACTTGTTTCTCCTTGGCAGAAATAAGAGAACTGATGTTAGAAAACTTGCCTATCGATTCCTGGTGGATAACTTGAATCCTATAATATTAAGTTTTGTGAAAAGGAGGAGGTTCCATCAAATATTTCTTGAGGAGATGCCCTGGAGAGCTCAGATGAACCTGTATCTGGCAAGTGCACATTTCAACCTGCTTTTAACGAAGCTAGGGGAACGTACGAAGATGAAATTTGGCTCTTCACATCCAGTGGTCAGGTATAGAATGTGATCAGTGAATGATACTTTTTTAGCATGAGCATGGACTTTATTTGTTATGGTCAAGGATCCAATGTTGATAATAACTTAAAGAGGTTTACAGAGTGCTTCTCTCTTTACAGAGTATTGGTATATTACTTAATTTCTTGCTTCAGAATCTTTCCCAAACAAGTGCTGGATATAAGCTCTTAGGAAATACTAATCTGCATGTATCTTGAATATGTTTGTTAATATAGCTTTCTGGTTATAGGAGATAGTGTCATTTCAAGAGAAAATTAATATTAATTGTGTAATAACTGTAGCTATTAGGTATTAGACAAAGTTGTTTCATTTGAGGTATATTTTAAGCCTCTATAAACACGGGTTGTATTTTCTCATACAATGTACACTTTATATCATTAATTCAGAAGACACTTTTGAGTTCTTGAGTGTTTTTGGCTAAAGTGTTATGGGAGAAAAAATAGAAGATAAATACATAATATGAAATACTATGTAATCATTAAAAAGGTGAGTAGAGTCTTTAATTAAAAAAAAAAACAACTGAGCACCTGTTAGATACAAGGTACTGAGGTAGACACAAAGGGCATGAAAAGGTGTGCAGGACATACAAGTCAGAGTCTGGCAGGGTGGATCCCAAGTGTTAACGAACAATTGTAAATAATGGTATAAGGTGAAATATACACAAAATCTTCTTTGTTCCCGGGAAAAGCTTTCCTCTGACTGAAACTCACAGGACAGTTTTCGTGGGGAGGGACCACTTGGCCTGGTTCATGATGGATAGGCAAGATTTAGAAATGTGCAGATAGGGAAAGAGGTATTCCAGGTGGTTGGAAGCATATGAGTCAGAGCCCAGGCAGGAAACCCAAGATGAGAACCCCAAATGGTATGACCAGAATCTAGGGTAAATTAAAAGGAATGGTGTGAAATAATTTAAAAAAATAGATCAGTACCAGATCATGGAGGGTTTTAACTACTAAATCTGAACTTTAATTTATATACAGTGGGGGATTATTAAGGGTTTTTGAGCAGGGCAATGATAAAAAATTTCTCTGGCAGCAACATATCAAATGGATTGGAGGAAAGAGAGACTGTGACAGAGGTACGAATTAAAAGGATATTTATTTCAATAATCCAGTGATAAAATATGCAGGTGAAATCCATGGTGAACTTGGTACCAGTTTCTGTTTCTTTAGAATTTTGGTTAAAATCATTACCAGATTGAACCTTCATTAAAACGTCTCTAGATAGTTCCCTTTCCTTAGGCTAGACCAGATTTGCATTTAAGAAGTAGTACATCAAAAACTAATGTTGTATTGTATGGTGACTAACATAACATAATAAAATTAAATTAAATTAAAAAAAAAAAATAGTTAGATTGCCTGACCAACAGGGAGGGCTTTTGGCAAAGTAACCCATTCATGAAGCCATGAGAGGAGAATGGTTCAGATAGGATGGGCTTCCTAACTTTCCTCTGAACACTGAGAATTCTCTGAAATTCCAATCATGCCTGACCATTCAGAAATGATTACTTAATAGCATAGTAATTAGATAATGACCAAATTTGTATCAGGGTAACTTGGTGCTAAATTCCATTTTACTAAAACCATTAAAACATACTCAATATTTATGTATGTATGTATTTTCCATTTATTTATTTATTTATTTATTTATTTATTTATTTATTTATTTATGGTGGATTATTTACTGCTTACACCTTATTATTTTTATTTTTATTTATTTTTTTTAAAAGATTTTTTATTTATTTTTTTGACAGAGAGAGACACAACGAAAGAGGGAACACAAACAGGGGGAGTGGGAGAAGGAGAAGCAGGCTTCCCACTGAGCAGGACCCTGGGATCATGACCTGAGCCTAAGGCAGACACTTAACGACTGAGCCACCCAGGCGCCCCATGCTTACACCTTATTTTATATTTTATTTTATTTATTTATTTATTCATGAGAGACAGAGAGAGAGAGAGAGGCAGAGGGAGAAGCAGGCTCCCAAGAAGCAGGGAGCCCGATGCGGGACTCGATCCCAGGACCCTGGGATCACGACCTGAGCCGAAGGCAGACGCTTAACCATCTGAGACACCCAGGCGCCCAACACCTTATTTTATAAAAGAAATAACATTGATTGTGGACCCATTGCTTTTTATAGTAGGCATCTTCATTGAATTGTGTTTGAATCAGGTTAAATTGACATAAATTGTTTCAGAGTCCTCAGAATGAGTGTAGATTGTCATTCCCATTTTCAAGGGCCCTTTCAGTGAAATAGATATTGATGTTGAAATTCCTAAGAGCAAAATTACATTGTATAATTTTAAAATTTAATGGGAAATTGTTTGGCTTTGGTTAAGTGCCAGAATATGTTATGATCCAAATTTTGGAAGCACTAACTCACAAATTATTTAAAAATTAAAGTAGATTATATTTGACAGATTCAATTTTGCTTATATATATTTTTAATGATATTTTCTCCCCTGCAGTTTCCGATCATGTGATCCTAATATGTTCTCACTATATAATTCAGGAACAGTATTACCAACAGCGAAATTGACTCTAGAAAACTATAAACAGATACTTGATTTCCTTCATACAGCTAAAAAAAGAAAGGCCAACTTACCATCAGGTAAAATAAAAAATTATGATATATACTATCAAATTGCCTCTATATTCTTATTCACTGATGCAACACACACATGAACACACACACACACATACACACACACACACACACACTCCACAGACACACAGAGGTACAGATATCATTTTCCAATGACCCGGGAATTTAATTGAGTTGTGGTATTTTGTAGGAGATCCTTATTTTCTCAGTTTTTTTTTTAAAGATTTTATTTATTTATTTGAGAGAGAGAGAATGAGAGAGAGAGAGAGCACATGAGAGGGAAGAGGGTCAGAGGGAGAAGCAGACTCCCTGCCGAGCAGGGAGCCCGATGCAGGACTCGATCCCAGGACTCCAGGATCATGACCTGAGCTGAAGGCAGTTGCTTAACCAACTGAGCCACCCAGGTGCCCCTATTTTCTCAGTTTTTAAAAATTTTCTGTGTTTTTATGATATGTATTTGGAAATATATATGGTGTATTCTAACCTAAACCAGTTTGGCTGTTCACCAAATATAATGTCTTATTTATTTATTTATTTATTTATTTATTCATTTATTTATTTAAGAAAGGGAGAGAGTGGTAGGGAGGGGCAGAGGGAGAGGAAGAGAGAATCTTAAGCAGGCTCCATGCCCAACGTGGAGCCTGACACAGGGCTTGATCTCAAAACCCTGAGATCATGACCTGGACCAAAATCAAGAGTCAGACACTTAACTGACTAAGCCATCCAGGCACCCCTAACGTTCTTTTTAAAATATTGGTAGCCTCCTATTGTCAAGATAGGTGAAGACTTGATATCAGGTGTTATATTTTAGCAGAAGTAAGTTTCAGAACAAATTCCACGACATGCAACCGATATGAAAACTGTCCTGTAGCTGTTTAATAGTACTGATTTTATACTCAGGGGAGTCTATTCTTGCCTTAGGATCTCCAACCAGCACCTTCCATGAAAGCTTACTCCAAGGTTAATGCAATAATATTTGTTTGAATGGCAGGACCAGCCAATATTCTTGTCATCTGCTCAGGTGACAGGAGACTCACTGAGTGGGGTGGAGAAATGCGGGTGAACAGCGCTCTTGATCTGGGTGCTACAATTGATGACACTATTCCTAAGCAATCACCTATCTTGAATACCACTCATTTCACAAATAAAGATTTATTTCTAATATCTTCATGCCATTACAAACCCTCTTTTGTAGATTTTTAGGAATGGTATTTTAAGTACTATGTAATGTATTGCTGATCAGGATACTTCATATGCTGGGTAACTGCCCCAGGAGTGTTGATTCATATTTGAGGTACTTGGTACGCTTTCTGATTTCTGCTAGGGTGTAGATTGGCTTTAACTGGTACCTTCATGTTATACTATGAATATTGAAGTATTTGAAAGTAAATTCCCTAGACATAGAGTCCAAGTTTTGTATGTAGATAGTAATATGTATCTTTAGTTTTTTTTTTTAACTAGTTGCCTAAGACCTCCCATGGAATCACCAATAGAATACTGTGCTATTTAAACTTATTATTTAATGCAAAGTTCTAAGAGAAGGTTTGTGGTAGGAGAAATCTGTATTTTTATATCACACCAACAGGATAATGAATGGACATGGTAGCTGCACTGCCTAACTCCAGGGGATGCTACTCACCTTCTAGTGTATGTGTCCTGGGAATGGACTATTTAGGGGGAAATTAAGGAAATTAAGTGGGATTCTGTGATTGGTCCATCAGAAAACATGACATTCCTGCCTCTGCATTGTTCCTTTGGCCATCACCCTTGCCCAGAATGATGTTCTCCATAGTCTTTCTGCATAGCTAAACCATGTTCACCCTTTAAGACCTAATCTAGATGCCTCCTTCTCTAGAAACTTTTCCTTGGTTCACTGTGTCCATGATAATCCCATCCTTCCTCCAAATTTATATAGACTTTCTTATCTTAATTACTCATTTGATGCTTATCACCTATGTCTTCTGGAACTTTCTGTCTTCAATAATGTTATACTTTATTTTTGTACTGTAGATGCTGAAGAATTTTCCACATTTGTTAATTCCAGAATGAATGATGAAAATGTATCCAAGACACAAAGAGTTTATGATTCAGACTCTCAGTCAGGTCTTAGTGCTAAAGAAAAGGATCAAGCAGCAAATTTGAGTCTATTGGATCATTTTATGAAAATCTTCTTATATTGCAGGAGAGCAATGGTAAGATGGTCCTTCTGATTTGCTAAATTGATAGACATAAATCTCAGGCCATTAGTTTGGGCATGTAAGATGTATTTATTTATTTACTATCCATACTTTTAGTTTCAACTTTGAAACTACATTTCCTGGGTTTAACATCAATCATTTTTGAGGTTTGCCTGCCATAGTGCTGAAGATTTACACATTGTGAGGTTGTCAGGGAGAGGGGTAAGCTGCTTTAGTCATCAGTCATCCATTGGTGTGGAGCTGAGGTGGCTTTTGTCCTTGTCTACACAATCAGATACTCCTCTGCCACTTTCTTGCCACATATGGTACATGGCCTTCTATGATGGTGACACTAGTGGTTCCTGTCTGGAATCTTGCTCCTGCCTGGGGTACCATAAACTCCTTTATTCCCTCTAGCACAGGGAACACTCTTTCTGGGCCACAGGAAAATCCTGCTCCTGGCCCCTGACCCCCTATTTCTACAAACCAATTGTGTCTTCTCTCAAATGCTTTTCTCTTTTCTTTTCTTAAATATTGTGTGCTACATTATTAAACTTAGAATTGGAATCATTAGCTACAAAGAAATTAGTCTCCTTTTTCTCATTGCAGGAATGGCGTATACTTCAAACATTTCAAGAGTTGAGAGGAAATCTATCCTTTCTAGAACACTTGAGTTCCCATTTTCTCTGTGGAGAGGGTGCTTTCTTGAAAAATGTGAAGTAAACCCACATCATCCCCCATGACCATGAGCATTGCATCCTATCCTTTCCACCAGCTTCAGGGCCCTGGAAGGTCTGGGTCCTGCTCACTTCTTGGAACTCAGTTCATCTTGATCTCATTCAGTCCACTCTCCTCTGTGTGATCTTGAAAGCACTGAGCTTGTTCCTTTCTCGTCCCTCAGGTTCATCCTCCATCCTTTGCAGTTGCTGCTCCCTCAGTTTCAAATGCTGTCCTCCCAACACTCTCTCCCCCACCTTCATATGACTTGCTCAACTCAATATTCAAGTCTATGCTCATGTCACCTCCTCAGAGAGGACTTTTTTCCTGACCACCCCCATCAAAAAGGGCATATCCTCTCATGCTTGTCAGATTCTGACTCATTTCTGCTTTATTTTTCTTTATAATACTTATTATTCCCTGAAACTATATTTTCATTTGTCCACTTACCTAGTGTTCAGTCTCACTAATAAATTGAAGCAGCACGAGGGCAGACCTGGTTACCCTTGCTAATTGCCACATTCCCAGAACCTAGAACAATGGAAATGTTGGAGTCAGACTGCTGGTGTGCAAATCTTAGCTAACCACTTAGTAGATCATGACCTTGGGCAAGTTAGCTCCATGCCTGTGTTTCCTTATCTGTAAATTAAATAGAATACTAGTGCACACTTATTTCATAGGAGCTATTATTAGAATTAACTGAGATAATGATATAAGTGACACATAATAAATGGTATTAGTTATTTTTTATTATTGACATAATTTTTGCAGAAAGATGAAGTTGTTCAGAGATCTCTAACTTTTGAAACTTTGGGTTTTTTTTAATGTTGTGTTTGTCTTAGGTTCTTGCTCATCGTGGTGGCTATTGGACTCTGCTTCAGAATTGCTGTCGGGCCCTTTGGAACTTTACTCAGGAGCTGCAGATACTTCTAAAACAAGCAGTGGATATGTATGAAACATTTCCTATTAGCCAGGATGGTTTCCTCTGTACCTGTGTTTTGCCATTCTATTTGGGAGCAGAATTACTTATTGACATGTTGATAGAACTACAAAATATCAATTCTATTAAGGTAAGGGCATTTGGGTAGTTATTTTTACTGCATCCAATTAATAACTACTTTTTACCATGCACCTTGAGATAAATAGAAATTAATATTTTCCTTGAGTTCTTACTTGGTTTGTCTATATTTCATTTGCTTCATTATTATTATTTGGTTCACAATACATAGCTCACATTGATATTATTGTAAATATCTTAGCCTGAAAATTCAACTTTTTAAAGGAAAGAGAAAGTAACATTTACTGAGTTCCAGCTTCTGTATAAACTAACTGTAATGGTTTTAATCCTCATGGCAATTTTTTTGACAGAGAAACAGACCCCAAGGGAGATCATAGAGCCTGTCAGTTGCTCTTGACTTCACTGCTTTATCTGCCCTTGTTCTAGTACTCCAGATCTGGTAGACTTTGCAGCCATTTAAGTCTACCACACTATGGTTTAAAACATGCTATAACCCAAACACATTGAAATTTAATAAATACATAAGCACATCGAGTCATGGAATTTATAACATTTTCAGATATAAAATATGTGAAAACAGTAGCACAAAAGACAGAGTAATAAGTTTTTTACACTTTTTATAAATATAAAGTAGTACACTATTAACTCTTAAGTGGAATGTGATATGTTAAGGATGCATTTAATAATCCTTAGAGTAATACCAAAAAAGAGATAGAGCTACAAAGCCATTGTGGTGAAGTGGAAACTAAATAGTGGTCAATGAATTAAAGAAAGCAGAAAAAAAGAAACAGGAACAGGAACATACGGGCAGAACAGAAAGCAAATAGCAAATAATAAATCTACCCCAATCATATCAATTACTATATTAAATAAAAGTGGCTTAAACACCCTAATCAAAAGGCAGAGTATGTTGGATAAAAAGAAAGACATGTAATAGTTGGCCACATGAGAAGTATTCTGAACATAAAGAAATTGATTGAAAATAAATCAGTGGAAAGAGATATACCATGAATAATACAGTAAACATAAAAAACTGGTGAGACTTATTAATATTAGATAAAATAACCTTTAAATCAGGGAGTATTTTGACAGATAAAGAGAGACATTTTATAATGAGAAGAGGCTTAATTAATCAAGAAGACATATTAATCATAAATGTGTATGCTCCTAATAAGAGAGATTCAGAGTATACTCTAGACACCCAAAGCCTGAAGAGCTTCCAGAATGGTGAAAGCATTGATGTGTTGGGTGACTCCATGGGGAGAGGACATGGAACCCCCTTATCCAGGACCCTTCTGGACTGTGTACCTCTTTCATTTGGCTGTCCCTGAGTTGTACCTTTATAATAAAACTGTGTTCCTAGGTATAGTGTTTTAAGTGAATGACAACGAATTATTGAATCTGAGGGGGTTGTGGAAACCCCTAAATTTATAGCTGTTCAGTCAGAAGTGTAGGTGACCTGAGACTTGTGGCTGACATCTGAAGTAAGGGCAGTCTTGTGGAGGACTAAGTCTTGGAGTCTGACCTTAATTCTGGAGAGGTTGTTAGTGTCAGAATTGAAGTGCAGCACACATAAGAGGGTTAGAAACAGAGCACAAGTGCATATGGTGTGCTCACCAAGATGGATCATATGCAGGGTCAAAAAATAAGTCATAATAAAATTTAAAAGACTGAAATCTTGAAGAGTATGTTCTCTGACCCCTACCTTATGAATAGACCAATAGAAATTAGGAAGAAAAATCTCCAAATATCTGGACATTAACACAGTTTTAAATAATCCATGGGTCAAAGAAGAAAACCCAAGAGAAACTTAAAAATATTTCAAACTGGACAACATATCAAAATTTGTGGGATGCAAATAAACCAGTATGTAGAGGAACTTAATAGTTTTAAATGTTTAAGAGTAAAGAAGAAAGATATAACATCAGTTATCTAAGTGTCCACCTATAGGAGCTCAAAAAAGAAGAACAAATTAAATCCAGAGTAAGTAAAAAGAACAAAGAAAATAAGTGAAAGAATAAGAGGAGACATAATTTATATATAAAACAAACAAAATTAATAAAGTTAATAAATTAATCATTTGAAAAGATTATTAAAATTGGCAGAATCCTAGGAATACTGATGAACAAAAGAAAGAAAAGCATTAATAACTTGACATTAGTGATGAAAGAGAGATATAACTACATATCCTATAGATATTAAAAGAAAAAGAATATTATGATCAATTTTTACTAATGAATTTGATAACTTTAAATGAAATGGACATGTTTATCACAAAGCACAGCTTAAATCTAACACAAGAAGCAATAGAAAAAATGAACTGCCCTAAATATATTAAGGAAAATGAATTTATAATTAGGAACTTCGAGATAAAGAAAACTCCATACCCAGAATATTTCCCTGCAGAATTCGAGCAAACATATAAGGACAAAATCATAAATCATGCACAAAATTTTTTTCAGAAGTGAAGCCAGCTTAACCCTGACAGAAAATATCAAAAAGAGAAGTATGAACCAATATCCCTCATGAACATAGACAAAGAACTCCTTAATGAAATATTAGCAGATCAATCCCAGCAATATATAAAATATGCAAATGAGGTCTATAATATCTACAGTTATACAAATGATGATCAAGTGGGCTTATCCCAGAAATGTAAGGTTAACATTTAAAGATCAGTCAAGCAGTGCCTGGGTGGCTCAGTTGGTTAAGCGTCCAACTCTTGGTTTTGGCTCAGGTCGTGATCTCAGGGTGGTGAGATCAAGCACCATGTTGGGCTCTGCACACAGTGTGGAGTCTGCTTGAGATTCTTTCCCCCATCTTTTCCCTCCCCATCTGCTTCTCCCCCTGTTCGTGTGTGCTCTCTCAAATAAAAAGATAAAAATCTTAAAAAAAAATAAAGATCAAGATAATTCACCATATTAACAGGATAAAAGAGACAAATTATTTGACCATTGAAATAGATACAGCAAAAGCATTTACAAAATTTGATATCACTTTTTCCACCTGCTTTCCCTCCCCTTGAGTGCTGCTCTAGCTGCATTGCTCTTGCTCTGAATTCTGGGTTCCTGCTAAGCCAGGGCAGCTGTTCTCTTTCTCTGGCTGTCGTCATATTATCTACCTGGACCTCATCAGTCATGATGAGATGTTCTCTGACATCTACAAGATTCAGGAGGTTGCACATGAGCTGTGCCTGGAGGTGAGTGAGAAAATAGTAGGACAGAAGGTACCATTGATGGAAATGGACTTCTTGAAGGCCCCCAATGCAAAGGTACTGAAAGCACAGTAATCATTGGTGTTGATGTTGTCGGGAACCATTACTTACAGGAAACAAGCTTCACAAATGAAGCCTATGAAAAGTACATCATAGATTATAGGAAATCAGTCTAAGGCAAACTTGAAGAACAGGGATCAGAAAGTGTAAACCTTTTGAGCACTGTGAATTGTGCAAGACTGTTGAATCACAGATCTGTACCTCTGAAACAAATAATGCAATATATGTTATTGTGATATAATGGTGATATAAGGCAATATAGTGTGATAAACATGTCCATTTCAATTAAAGAAGAAGATAGCAGGAGGGGAAGAATAAGGGGGGGAAATCAGAGAGGGAGACGAACCATGAGAGAAGATGGACTCTGAAAAACAAACTGAGGGTTCTAGAGGGGAGGGGGGTGGGGGGATGGGTTAGCCTGGTGATGGGTATTAAAGAGGGCACGTTCTGCGTGGAGCACTGGGTGTTATACACAAACAATGAATCATGGAACACTACATCAAAAACTGATGATGCAATGTATGGTGATTAACATAACAATAAAAAAATTTAAAGAAAAAAGAGAGAAAGTGTAAACCTTTTATAGCAGAGGCTGCAGACAAATAAAGCATATCTTTGCTATTTCAAAATTACCGGTTCTTTATTGGTGAAAACATGAATTCAGATGGCATGGTTGCTCTGCTGGACTACCGTGAGGATGGTGCAGCCCTATATATGATTTTCTTTAAGGATGGTTTATAAATGAAAAAATGTTAACAAAATGGCAATTACTTTAGCTCTATCACCTGTCATCATAACTGGCTGCTGCTTTTCACACATCCACACAACACCAGGACTTGGACAATTGGGTGATGTCATCGTGATCTCTTCATTTATTTTAATGTTGATTTATTTGGAGTGGAGTCATTTTTTTTTAAAAGAAAAAAACCATATCATGTAGGTTGCCTAAAAATAAAATGCATTTAAACTTATTTGAGAGAATACCTCTTAATTTAATATGTATTTAAACTAAGTCTGTCTTATAGTGTTCTGGAGAAGATAGAGCCTGGTTGTAGACCACAAATAGAAAGCATAAGACTGTCTTCAGATAACTTTACAGGGGAAACACTTCTGGGACTGGTATATAAAAAACAACAACAAGAATTACAAATCTTAATTCTAAGTTGAAGTAAAGGAAAAGACCATATTTATAGAGTGCCAAATGTAAAGTGGATCATTATACATTTCATCACCTACAAACAGAAGTAGTTAACTCTGGAAGACATTATCAAAAGAATAAAAAGAGACTAATACAATTGGAAGCAAAACAAAAACAATGTCATTGATGTTAAAGACTCTCAGCAAACTAGGAATACCTGATAAAAAGTAGTATCTACTGTTAAACATCATACTTAATGGTGAAATATTGTGAGCTTCCCTCTAAGATTGGGAACAAAGCAAGGATGTCTGTTCATACCACTTTTGCTCAATACTATGCCAGAGATCCTGACAGGTACAATAAGGCAGATAAGCATGCGGATTGGAAGGGAATAATATGAATTTTTATATAGAAAATTCCAACTCTTAAGGACTCTGTAAAGCAACTACTAGAACTAGTAAACAAAATAGCAGCACATAAAGTCAATATAAAAAATTTCTTTGTACTAACAGAAAACAACTAGGAAATGAAAATTTAAAAATACCATTCAAAATATCAAGTTTCTAGGAATATATTTAAGGAAATCCATATAAGATTTTTACACTGAAAATTATAATGTATTGCAGAAAAAAAGAAGATCTAAATAGACACAGAGATATATCATGTTCATGAACCAAAAGACTTAATATTGCTAGGATATCATTTATTTCCAATTTGATCTATTGATTCAGGGAAATTCTAATGAAAATTCCAACAGACATTTTTTTTCAGTATAAATTGAAAGTTCATTTTAAAACTTATAAGCAAATGCAAAGAAATGTGAATGGCCAAGAAAATCTTTAAAAAGAACAAATTTGGAAAACTCCCTACCTGATATCAAGGTTTATCAATGATGTAATTAGAAGAGTATGATATTGGCATAAAGAGAAACATATCAATGGAATAAAAAGAGACTCTTAAAACAGACTCATACATATGGTCAATATTTTACAAAGATGTCGAAACAATTCAAAAGACTCAAAAAAGAAATAACTCTTAGCACCCAGATGGGTTCTTTAAAAACCATTTCCCAATAAAAGAAATAGGACTCCTTGGTGGAAAAAAAAAAGTCTGATTACCTTTTCTATGTGAATTATACTTGAGGATAACCAAATAGTTAACAGTCAAGGAAGAGAAATTTTTCTTTATAGAATTTTCAGGTAATAACTGAAGAAAGAATGTTGAAATTAGAATATCAGGATTTTGCAATTCTTTGTGAATTCATGGGGGGATGAACAGCACCAGTGAAGTATACTTGTTGGAAAAAAATAAATCAAACTGGAAGCAGGGCAAGCATTTAAATCTAACCAACAACTTACAGAAGATCCGGAGACAGAGAAACATTTAGAATGAAACCATGGGGATGCATCAGTAGAAATTCCGACCATGGAAACTCTACAAGACAAACAACCTGGATTCTTCAACAAAAAAATTGAAGTAAAAAAAGAGATGAAACCCATAGATTAAAAAAGACTTAAGAGACATAAATGCAATGTTTGGACCTTATTTTGATCCCATTCCAAACTAATGCACTCAAAAATTTATAAAGTATAAAGGAAATGTGAACACTAGTTATTCAATAATGTTTTGAAGGATTTTTTTGCTAATTTCTTTTGTTAGGTGGGATTATATTATTATGGTTATGTTTCTGTAAAAATAATTCTTGTCTTTTTAGAGACACATGATGAAGTATTTATAGATTAATATAATTTGGGGGATGTAATTCAAAGTACTGGCGGAAGTGGGTATATGTACAGATTAAACCAAGTAGATCCCAAAAGTTGATAATTGTTTGAAGCTCGTTGTGGGTACATAGGGCCTCAGGATATTATTTTCTCTGCTTTTGTAAGTGTTAGAAATTTTCTTTAATAAAAAGTTTTTTTTTTAAGTTACACATGGCCCATACTTAATCTTCAGAGTATAAAGACTTGTCTTGACCATGCCAGAAACTTCACTTTCCATATGCTATTTTCATCCCCAAATGCCAGTGCTGCTTATTTCTCAATATTGTTGGGTAATGTTATCAAAATTAGGAAGTAAATAGTTAATACTTTTTTCCTTCTCTCTTGATGGTTGGAGATACAATGCTTTGTTGTTGAGGAAAGCTATATTGGAAGATATAGTAACCACAGAGGGCTTCCCCCTCCTTCATCCCAGAAGTAAACTTACCATGTAGGCATAGGCATGACTAACTGATATCAGATATCCTTCTTCTTCATGGATGGCCCAGGAAAGTTATTTCATTTGGACCCAGGAAATTTACCCATGTCTGAAGAAAGAATATGTCATCCTATAGGCAGGCAGGCTCTGACAGAGCAGTCACCTTGGAAAAGTTGAGTGGGACAGACTTGATTTCTTCTACACTCACCAAGTGGATTGGGTAAAGGCCAAGAGTGCCTCCACTTGGAACCCTGAAGTCAAGGAAATGGAGAGAACCCTTTATGCAGCTCTGTGCTGCTGGAAGTCTTACTGTAGAATCAGTGGGTAGAAGGATGGAGCTCATAACATCAACAAAATGGAAACTACCCTTTATTGAGTATGTCCCGTGTGCCAGTGACTGTGCTAAGGAGGGAAATCCACATGGGTCACATATGGCACACCTATTATTCACACCTACACAAGACTGACTTGAGGCATTCATATTACATTGCACAGCCACATGACTTCCTAGGTCTCTTCCAACCTCAAGAACCATGAATCTTGTTAGCGATATTTGTCCTCTACTTGGTAGAGGAAGGTTGGTACCTTCCCTCCTCTATGCGTGGATTACCCTTAATAGTAACACCAGTTTAAGAGGGGCTGGTCTTGAGTTACCCAACTATTTCTTGGGCTGCAACCTGGCTTATAGGTGGATCTAAGGGTTTTTGTTTGTTTGTTTGTTTGTTTTTGTCTCAAGAATTTCTAAGGATATACACAGATGCATCAGGGACTCTTGGGAAATGAATACATTAGTTACATAGTACCTCTGACTTAGGCAAAAACAGGGTTTTCTAGAAGATTTCCTTCTCCATAGGTTTGACCTTTGTATCAGGGAATTGGACATATTATGCCGCAGACTGATGAATGTAACCAATGTATTGTGGAAACTTAATAATTTGCATATACTAAAACCTGTTCTTCAAAACTTTATCTTACTCATTTAATGTCCTTACTTACATAGGTAGTGACTGTGGACCAGGAATTATGGACCTCAGTCTGTGCTGTCTAATATGGTAATGACTAGCCATATGTGGCTATTTAAAGTTAAGCTTAAATTAATTAAAATTAAATGAAATTAAAAATCCAGTTGCAATGGTCATATTTCAGTAGCTCCAATGTTCACACATGCTTGGTGGCTACTATATCAAGCAACACAGACATAGCACATTTCCATCATCATAGAAAGTTCTTTTGAGTAACAATGTTCAAGCTTTGATTTGCATAATAAAAACATTTAAATTTTTTTATATTCAGTTCTTTTCCTGTTATATTTTCTATCATATTCAGTTTTCAGAAAAAAAATGTGTAGTGAAATCTGAAAATACATTTTTTTCCATGTGCTACTCGCAGGTTATTGAAGAAAAAGGGGAGTTCAGTGTTCCAAGCTGTTATGGAAATATTAAAAATGATAACGGTGGTTCTAGCCTTGATTTTGAGTATCTTTTGGATGATGTAAATGTGGTTGATTTGAAATGGATCCATAACTTTGTGTTGAAATCTCTGGAACTTTTATATCAAGTGGAAAAATGGGAAACACTGGTATCACTTGCTATCCAATTCAATACAATTTCACAGTAAGTATTGCTGTAAGGGCAATTAAAAGTGACAAGCTTCCATTTATTTATTTTTTTATTTTTTAAAATTTTATTATGTTAATCACCCTACATTACATCATTAATTTTTGATGTAGTGTTCCATGATTCATTGTTTGCGTATAACACCTAGTGCTCCATTGCCCTCTTTAATACCCATCACCAGGCTAACCCATCCCCCCACCCCCTCCCCTCTAGAACCCTCAGTTTGTTTCTCAGAGTCCATAGCCTCTCATGGTTCATCTCCCCCTCCGATTTCCCCCCTTCATTTTACCCTTCCTACTATCTTCTTTTTTTAACATATAATGTATTATTTATTTCAGAGGTACAGGGACAAGCTTCCATTTAAAAAATGCATTTTAACTAATGTCTGCTTTTTAATGTATTTCTACCTCTTTCTAGTGAGAGATACACAGAGCAAGTGACACCACTCCTGGTGTACGCACAGCGTCAGCTTCTTCTAAGAATATCCAAGTTCAATGGCCCGGATGTTACCCAACAACCTTGTGCAAGATATGAGGCTGAATACAAAGAGAAGGTGAGTTTGTCTCTATTATTCATGCAGTTGTGATTTCTGAGGAGTGCACGTATAAAATACAAATATTTAGGGATCAGATAAATATTTTTTTTTAAAGATTTTATTTATTTATTTGAAAGAGAGAGACACAGCGAGAGAGGGAACACAAGCAGGGGGAGTGGGAGAGGGAGAAGCAGGCTTCCCGCAGAGCAGGGATCCCGATGTGGGGCTCGATCCCAGGACGTTGGGACCATGACCTGAGCCGAAGGCAGCCGCTTAACTGACTGAGCCACCCAGGCACCCCAGGGATCAGATAAATATTATTTTTACTTAGGCATTTATCATTTAAATCAACAAACGTTAATGAAAGCCTGCTATATGCCAATATTTTCCAGGTACAAGGTAAACAAAAATTAAGTCCTTATAAATAGGAAACTTACATTCAGGCCAGAGCTGATATATTCATTAGGCACAATGAGGACATTGTCTAGAGCCACCAAACTTTTAGAGGCCCACTAAATGTTTTAATTTTTTTTAATGTGAAGAAAAAAGTAACTTTTAGGTCAAAGAAAAGGCTTTAGTTTTTACTAATACTGTATTTGTATTTATGCCAACATAATCATACGATACAATTTTTAATATTTTTTATGGAGGTGTGGGCCCATGAAAGTGAAAGTGTGTAAGGACCATGAAAATCATGGTGCATCTTTGAGTTAGGTGGAGGAAAGGGAAGTAAACTCTTTCATTTATTAATTTAATAAATGTGTATTGACTATCTAATACCAGAACCATGGCATACAGTTATACAGTTTGCGACCTGGCCCAGGGCCCCCAGTGTACATGAGGACTGAAATCTAGTCCCACCTCCCATACCACTCTGTGTGCTTGGGGTGTTGCGACCACACAGTGAGGGCTCCATTTTCTTCTCACAGAGGTTCCTTATGGCCCTTGCATATTCTTGCCTCCTGCGTATTCTAACACAATGAGAATACAGTCTGAGTTCTTGCTTTATGGAGTTTAATTTTGGAGGGGTGGAGGTAGGGCCAGATAATAAACATGTAAACAGATACATAAACAGGTTTATGATCATTATGAGTTCTCTGAAGAGACTAAAATGGGTCCATGGGTTAGAGATAGGTGGGGTGGGAGGTAGAAATCTGGAATGCCTCTTGGAAACGGTAGCCTTCGATGAGAAATGGCCAGCCATACATAAGAGAGAGCCTTCCAGCCCAAGGGAAGAATAAGGGCAAAGGCCCTGAGGTGGGACAAGACGGAGGCCTGAGTGGCTGGAATGTCACAGATAGGGGCGAGAGTGAAAACGGGGGGGCTTTGCTTCTTCCTCTTCTCCCCACTGTCTTAATGGTAGTGTGTCCCAGGACTTTGTTCTTGGTCCTCCTGTCTTCTTTATCCACATCCTCTCCCTTGGTGAGCTCATTCAGTCTGTGGCTCTAAGTACTGTCTTTATGATAATGACTTTTGAAATTACAGCTTCACTCTAGACCTTTCTCCTGAATTTCTGTGTTGACATGTAATTCCCTGTATCAGTCAGGGTTCAATCAGAGAGCCAGAACCAGTAGGATCTATTATCTATCTGTCTGTCTGTCTATCTGTTTTTCTATCTGTCATATATCCATCAAGATTTATTGCAAGGAATTGGCTTATGTGATTGTGGGGGCTGGCCAGACGAGTCCAAAATTATAAGGTGGTCAGTCAGGATCGTGAGCAGGAAGGAAACTTACAGGTGTGGCCAGAAGCTGTTATCCTTAGGCAGTCAGTGAGGGGTGATCCAGTTAGTAGACTTGGATGCTGTTTGGAGTCTGGAGACCCTCCAGCAGCACATCAGTGACCCACCTGCTTAGATCAGGCCGGCGAAGATAATCTCTTTAGTTTAAAGGAAATTTATTAGGGACTTTAATTAGTATCTGCAAAATCCCTTCAGAGTGGCAGCTAGATTAGTGTTTGAATAGCTGGGATGAAGTGTGTGTATGCTGCAAAATGGATACTTCCCTCCCTTTTGTCCTCATAGTTTAGCCTAACCAAGTTGACCCATCAAAAAACCATCATGCTGCCTAATTAACATGTCTAATACACTTCTGAAATTTAGTATATTTCAAGCAAACCTGTTCTGACAAGTCTTCCCCACTTCAATTGATGACAACACTGTTCTCCTAGTTGCTCAGGCTAGACACCTTGGAGACGTCTCAGACTCCTCTCTTGCTTTCAATACCCCACTTCAAAGTGGTTATCAAATCTTCTACCTTCAAAATGTATTCAGAATCTGACCACTTATCACCACCTCCACCACTCCCGCTCTGATCCAAGCCCCTGTTACATTTGCTTGGATTCATGCAATGACTTCCTAATTAGTCTTCTTGCTTCCAACCTCCCTGAATCCCTGCCTCCAGCCTAGTCTATTTTCAATGCAGCAGGTAGAATGACCCTTTAAAAACCTAAGTCAGATCATGCCGTTCCTCCTCTTTAAACCCTACAGCAGCTTCCCATCTGATTCAGAGATAAGGTGAACATCCTTATCATGGCCTTAATGCCCCACACATTCCCCTGTCATCTCCAGTCACTCATCTCCTAATACTCCCCTGCGGGTTTCAGCTGCTCTGTTCTTTAAGCCTTCCCGCCTTGGGATCCTCTCATTTGCTGCTCCCCTGCTTGGGACGCTTCTCCCCCAAATATCCACACTGATTTTTTCTCACCTTTTTCTAGTCTTTCTGTGTGAGGACTGTTCTCACTGTCCTATATAAAATTATGTACCTGTTTGCTCCATTTCTCTCTACGGCATTTATAACTCTTTAATATACTCTATAATGTACCCTTCTATTTTCTTCATTATATTTCTACCCCCTCTCGAATAAGTTCCATAAATATAGGGACTTTTGTTTGCTTTGTTCACTGTATTATCCTCGAGCTTGGAATAGTGACTGACACATAATAAGTGTTCAATTAAGGTTTATTAAATGAAGCTGGGAGGTGGGAAGGACTAGGTCAAAGAGGGTCTTATTAGGCTATGGGAGAGAATTTGCATTTTATTAGACTGTTTACATCTCATTGTATAAGTACCTACAAGGGACAATAAAGAAGCAGCATCTACATCAGACAGATTCAGAGAGGTCTGTATTTTGAGAAATAGGTTAGTTCAAGGAATAGGAGTGGAGAAACAAAGGTTCTTGGACTTTTTTTTTTTTTTTTTTAGGGAGAGGGAGAGAGCAGGTGACCCACTAGCAGAGGAGGGCAGAGGGAGAGAGAGAATCCCAAGCAGGCTCCATGCTCAGCATGGAGCCTGATGCAGGGCTCGATAGCACAACCCTGAGATCATGACCCAAGCCGAAATCAAGAGCTGGATGCCTAACTGACTGAGCCCCCCAGGTGCCCCGGTTCTTGGACCTTTTAAAAGAATTTCCTTTTGTCTAAGATTTTTCTGATTTCAGATATTTTATAATTTTAGGACTTAAGTGTCTGTTAGAAAATAAATTTTTAAAATACTACAGAGGAAGTTAGTTCTGAAAAACTTCACCAGGGAAGTTTAAATTGCATTCATTATAAGTGGGGTGGAAAAAATCAGCCACTGGCAAAGCAGCCTGTATTTTAGATATGTTTCAACTTGCATAATAGAAGATATATTTAGACTAGTGGATTTATAGAATATCAGAAAATCATATTCTAATTGCTCTACATAATTTGCCTGATGCTCCTCCAGCTGTGCTGAACAAAAGAAATACAAAAAGTTATGTGGCTGCTTTTTTTTCATGAAAGTTGTCATGATCAAGTGCTACTCTGCTAGCTTTTATTTGTAGCATCCTTTTATATTTCTTCTTTTTGACAAGGGAAAAATAAGATAAACATTTGAACAAATTTTTAGCCATAAATACCTGACCAAATAGTATTTGTTTTCCTTTTTTCCTTTTTAAGATAACCTGCCGAAATTTCATTGGGAAGCAGCTCAAGATTAATCCTTCAACCAGTGAAGTAACAGGCACAGAAAACTGCGCAGATATCCTAAAAAAGTTTGTCTATTCAGGTTGGAACCATTTTAGCTTAAAGCTTTTTTAAAGCAAGGTTTGCTGTTGTGTTCTGCATGTCAGCTCTTCCATAATTAAAATGTTTGCAAAATCTCTTTTGCAGGCTTATTGGACTGAAAATAACCCATTTGATATTTACCATCTTATGTTGCTATAAATGTCACATAAGGGGAATGAAAACGTGTTTATTAGTTTGATCTGTAAATTAAAGAAGGGAAGGAAAAAGAGAACGGAAAATTACTTGAAAAATAAGCATGAAAAGGACAGTTGTGTACATTTCCCCCTGTTTTTATTTCACTTGGGAACTCTTCGAATTGAGCTGTTGCTATTCTCTTTGAAGCTCTGTCTTGACTCTCATAGTAACTCCCACTCCCATAATCAGTGTAGATTGTTCTCCTCTTGGCTGTATCATGGCTAAGTTGCAGGTCTTTTCACTACAGCACAGGAGAAGACAAGGGGACGTCATGACTCCTCTGCTTTCAGCCGAGAAGCCCTCTTGGAATATTTTGGCAGTGCAGCTTATAGGATTGAAGCAATAGAATAAGATGAAAATGGGGCATAATGCTTTCTCTCAATTGCGCTTGTCATGTGCCTCTGTTTCTGGTATGGGAAAGGAATGCAGATCTTCCCTTTGCCATAGGATTCTTTCATTTATTTATCTATTGATTTTATGTATGTGTGTGTGTAGGTATGTAATCATCTATTCCTTTATTGAGACAGCTAGGCGGCCATTCAGTCATTCAGCAAACATTTACTGAATGTCTACTGTGTGTTAAGTGCCATACTGGGTACTGAGACTACAAAGAGACTAAAGATTTATTGAGATTAAAGATTTGTTATCCTGGAATTTACAACCCATTGAAAGAGACTGATAAAGCAGAGACTGTGGTATAGAGTGATAAGATCTGTCATATTATGGCTACCCCTGCTGTTTTCCACTGTAAGCAGTAGTAGTAAACAGCATCGCTGTGCAGAGACTGTGTAATTTGGTAGAGCTAAAGGAAAAAGGAAAAGGCAAAGCTGAGGTTAGAAAGGTTGGCAGAAGGCCTTAGAAGGCAGGATAAAGAGATGCAGATCTATCTGGAGGGCTGAAGGGAACTAGTTATAAGGATTTAAAGAAGGGCAGTGAAACGATCACATTTGCGCTCTGGAAAGAACCTCAGGCAGCAGCGTAGGGAATCAATTGAAAGCACAGCACATGGAAGCAGAAGAGCAGCTACTCCTAACTTGTACATTAAAGATGTGATGAGGCTCTGGACTTAGGTGAGGAGAATACAAGCGTAGACAGATATGAGAGAAAGGCTGAGGAAGTAAGTCCCCAGGACTGTGTTCTATACTGGTTAGATGAGGATGGGAGGAGTCCAAGATGCCTTGGTTTCTGCTTGGGTGGCTAGATGGATGTGATGTATTTACTCTACAGGAAAACTGAAGGGGGGAATAGGTCAGAGGAAGTTACTTAAGAAGTACTGAGTTTGAGGTGCCAGGGTGATACCTGAGTAGAACTATTCAGTATATGGTTAGATAGACCAGTCAGGCATTCAGCAGAGATTTATATCTTCATTATCCATATATTGGTGGTGGTTGAAATCAGGGGCTTGTAGGAGGTCACCCAGGGAGAGTTTTATGGAGTATAGACCTGAGGATGGCCTCACTTTGGAAGCTGTGTCATTCAAAGTGGGCTACGCCATACAGTAGTAATAAACAACCCCCAAATCTCATTGCTTTCACACAAGGGCTAGTCCATTTTTTTTTTTTTTTTTGCTCATGCTACTGTGTTTGATGAGTTGAGTACTGAGCTGCTGCTCATCATAGGTTGATGGAATCTCCATCTTGACACAAGTTTCCATAATTGTTTCCAAGGCAGAAAGGAGAACATGAATTTACCCTCTAGAGGAGCCATACTGAGAGGCTAGGGCAGAAGGGAAGGAGAGAATGGGCCCCAAAACAGGAAGTTTATAGGTGGTAAGGGCAGAAGTTGAAGGTATTCTCATTGGGTACTGAAGATTTTCTTAATAAAGAAAGGGGTTGAGAGCACAGCCAAGGTTGCTAGGGTAGGAGATTTCAGGAGGAATCTGAAAGAGTGGCTTGGCCCCTCAGGGAAATAGAAAGAAGATGGAAGGGCTTCAGAGCAGTGTAGAGGTTCCTGTTGAGGGAGCTGGTAACCACAAACTTGTGGGTTTTACCAGCAACGATAAATCAGATTATCCCCTCATATTTATTAAATAATGGAGGTCCAATCAGAGTGTGATTCATCCTGGTTATGTTCTTCTTTTCTTGATCACATCTGTCAAACCTCTGGGGACCTGTCAATTTGGGATCTACAATTCAGAATGTGATTTATATTGTCCCTTCCATCCTAAAAAGAATGGGCAACAAATGTGAGAAAATATGTCAAAAAAAGCTTATTATCAAATATGATGACTAGCACTTCAGGGATAAGAAAATCATGCCTAGCATGTGTGACCAGTAGGTCTTATAGATGGTGGATGCAATATGTCAGAAAAGTACTTTGCCTTCTAGTTGTTAAAGCTACATTTGGAAAGGTAAGATAGCAGGTGGTGGGACAGAAAGGAAGGTAGGTCGGATCAGCTTACTGTAATTATTTAGGTTGATTCTCGGTGGTGGTGGAGCTATAGTCCGTTTGAGCAATGACTACAGCAGGAATATTTGAATGGATAAAGTCTAAAAAATATTGTAGTGGCAGTAATAATGAATTGGGCCACGTACTATATTGAGCACATTATAACCATTAGCTTTTTAAATTTTTATAATTTTAGAGGGTAGATATTATGCTTACATTACAGATGAGAAAATTAAATGTTACTAGTAAATAGAACTTTGGTTCAAACCCTCATCTGTCTGATTGCTCAGCCTGTAAGTGCTCCACCAAACTCCTTGCTCTGTTCACCATTTGTCCTCTTTCAGGTTAGTCTCTCCTCTAAACTGATAGCACTCAGAAAAATTTTGCTATACATCAGTGGTCATGGGGAGACAGATACTTGATTCTGACTTCCTGTGATAGTATGGTAGTTTTTAGATGATCCTGCATACTAATTGTAAGTCTTACATTGAGTCATTATCATTAAAATCTTGGCATCCAACTTACAGCTCTTTATAAGACTCTAGGACCTCTGTGACTAGGAGCATATTTTGGCCCACGCTTTTGGGCTCATTTGGCAAATTTTTAGGAGGGTGAATTTTCTTTCAGTGTCCTGAACTCAGATCATTAACATGTTTATAAGCACGATGGGTCTAAGGTATGTCATCATGACATGTTTGCAGTACTTTGGAAAGACCAAGTATACTCTTGCTGGTTTCCACACCAGATTGCTGCTTTAGAACATCATAGATTTTCTTTTGGCATAACAGCATTGCGCGGTAATGCCCGATACATTTAATTCTTCAGAACAGATATTGTAATGCTCCAGTGCCTACGAACATTTGGTGTTCTCATTATTTAACAGCATTCTGTTCTCCCTCTAACTATTTAATAATGCATATGTAATTTGGTATAGTCTCTGTAGGATGTGGAGAAGTGAGAATACCTCACTTTATAGATTATTTTTTGTATGGATGAGTAACTTGCCTGCTTGTTAAGCTTCACAGGGGAGATAACTATGAATATGCCTTTTATTGTAGCTGTTTTTGCATTCTGTCTAGGATCTGTTTCTTGAGTTTTGACCTAATTGGTATTTAAGTTATCTCTGATAGGGTTCTTCAGTCTTCAGGTATGTTTGAATTTTCAACCTTTGGCAGGTGTGTTTTATTACTGACTCTGGGCTTTTGGATTAATATGACCAATTGTGTAGAAAGCAGCCCAAATTTTATAGTATTCCCTGGGATTCTTCCTTGGTTGACCCATCTCTCAGGAGTCGTTAGTATTTCAGGTTTTCTTTTTCTTTTAAGATTTATTTATGTATTTTAGAGAGGGGGGGGAGAGGGGGAGCATGGGGGTAGGGGCAGAGGGAGAGAGAGAGAATCCTGAAGCAGACTCCCTGCTGAGCTTGGAGCCCTATGCGGGGCTTGCTGTCACGACCCGAGCCGAAATCAAGAGTTGGAGGCTCAACCAACTGAGCCATCCAGGCACCCTGGTATTCAGTTTAATGAGTACATTAGGACAATAAGAGACATAGTAATTCTTCTCTTTTTTTCCCTCCTTCCTCTTTCTCTTCTTCCTTTTCTCCTCCTTCTCCTTCTTCCCCACGCTCCTCCTCCTTCACCTTCTTCTTCTGACCTATTTCTAACTGTTGAGGTTATTAGTGCCTTTGAAATAGCTTCTTGAATTGTTCACGAAAGTCTTCAGAGAGGAGCTCTCCTTGAGACAGAGAGGAAAGGACAGGCCTCTGAAGCTAACGATACTTCTTCATTGCTTTCACTAGTTGTCTTGTGTAGATAGTCACAAAATCACCAGTAGAGCCCTAGTTAGACTACAAGAAAGACGGTTTTCTAGGGCTTGGGAAAAAAAAATGAAATATAGTTTAGGAAAAAAACAAGGAGGAATGATTTATGAGTGGATACTTGATAAAAAGTAGCAGGATGATTTTACTCAGACCCCACATTTTAAAGAAGACTGTCCCCAACATCTCCCGTCCCTCCTGTCCTTTTGATTGTCCCCAAATACAAGCATGCTTTTGTGAAGTTTTATTCCAGAATGAAAGCTCCGTGAGAGCAAGGAGTGTGTCTGTTTTGCTCACTTATATTTCTTCAGTGCCTAGCATAGCTCCTAATACTAGTAAGTGCTCAATATATGTTTTAAAAATACACGACTAACAGCCAATATGTAGCCTCCACCTCTTGGATGCTTACTCCCTGATAGGCACTATGCTGGACACTTCACACACAGGTTAAAACAATAACCCTTGGAGGTGAATATGATCATTCCAATTTTAACAGAGATTGAAAATTAAGGTCTAGAGAAGGTAACTGTCTCAAACTATTAATATGTGAGGGCTTCCAGCTTCTGCCTTTTCCTTTGCTGTCTTTGCTTCTTTCCCTGACTCACTAAGGAGAAAAAGATAAAAGCCAAGCTCACGAATTCTTGTAGGAAAAACAAAAACGGAGCAGAAACCTTACCATCTTTAGGGCATTGTGCATAAGGGTGGGGGTGGGAGGAGTCAGGGCATGCCTTGTCTCCTTGTCTGGACCATGCAGGACTGTGCATGGGTAGAAGAGAAGGGAACTGAGAGAGCAAGATGGCGGGCATAAGACAAAGTGGACAGGAGAGTGAAATTGGTAGGGTGGAAGAGAGCGCCTGGGAAGTTAGTAAGAGCTTCTGTCACCTAAGTATTTGATTCTCTTCAGTGCGTGGTAGGCAAGTGTGTCAAGAGTGAAATTGCTGGGGGGTGGGGGGGACAAGTGCTTCTCTCAACATGGCCATGTACCTGGTTTGACTAGAGCCTCCAGGATTTCTAGACATTTCAATCTGCATTGTAGTAGATTGAAAGATGTCTCTATGGCCATAAAATGTAACTGTGCCACTGATTCCATTAGGACCTCCCTGTGGACCCCAGGCTGCTTCTCTCATTAACTTTTCTTAGGCTTATTTCTGTCCTAGTCTCAAAGGTCTCTGTACTCAAATTAGCAGGCCTCCAATCTGGCCTATTGCCAGTTACCCAAGATTTGATGCCCTCTGGTCAACTATCTGGCAAAGGCACTGGACTTGAACACTGGTTGTCTTTCTTGTCTTATAAGGGCCTAAAACAAGTTAATGTCCTCAAGTTCACTTTTCCTCCTTTGCAAAGTGTGAGTAACATCCACCCCTACTAGTTGGTAAGGTGCTGTGAGAATTAACTGAGATTAAGATCTATATAAGTGATTATTAATCAAGTTTATCCCAGCCATTTAGCTTTGAAAACTTGTCATTCATTCATTTAACAAATACTTACTGAGCACATACCATGTAACAGGCATTGTTATAGGTCTGGATTGATAGCAGCAGACAAAATTGATGCTGGACAATCTCCCTGCCCTCGTGGAACTTGCATTCTAGTGGCAGGAGACAACCTATAAACAAACAAAACACATAGTACATCAGAGGATGACGAATGCAATGGAGAAGAGAGAAGTTGGGAAACCAGGATCACCAGTTTAAATACAGTGATCAAGGGAGTCCTCCTGAGAAAATAAGTTAAGCAGTAACCTTAAGGAGCTGAGGAAGCCAGGGCATGGGGATATCTGAGGGAAGAATGTTCTAGACCAACATGAACCACTGGTGGGGGTTTGCAGAAGATCCTTTGGATTGCTTGGATTTTTTTCCAGCTAGATGGGACACAAGACCATTGGCCCCGGAAGGACAGGGAAGAAGTAATTCCCACCCCCCTTTTTTCTTTGCCGAGTAACCAATTAACCACTCTTGTCACTTCCAACATTGGACTGTTCCCTGCGTCCCTCCCTCATTCCCATTGCTACCATTTTAGTTGAGTTCAAATAATGGTGTCAGTGTTGTAGTCTCTCAGCCACCAACCTCTTTCTGTTGCAGTCTGCTAACTCTTCCTAAAATACTTGTGCCCTGCTCAAGACCCTTCCTGTGCTCCCTATTGGGAAGGATGAAAGTGACTTTTTCAGCGAGGGCTTCGGGTCTCTGTAAAACACCTCTTTGTTCAATGGGACTGGCCATGACATCCCACTGCGCCCCAAACTGCCACCCTGACTCCTGCTTCCATACCTCTCCTTGCACAAACTAGCTCTGTGACGCAAGAGAAACCACAGACTTCTCTACGCCTTGTTCTCCTCATCTGTAAAATGAGGATATAACTACATACCTTTTATGTTGTTTTTAGGATCTGATGAGATCATCACAGTAAATTATATAGAATAGTTCCTGGTATAGTGTAAGTATTCAGTCAATGTCAGCTATTCTTATTCTGTCTTAAACCTCTTACCTCCTTCTTCCTGATCAAATCTTCCCTCTCCTCTAAGACACAACTGGTGTGTCCTCTGGCACGAAGTCTTTCTTGCACTTCCTTTCCTCCCTCTTGCTGATCTCTCACTTCTCTCCGCCTCATCTTGACACATAACCAGAAATGCTCTGTGAATGAGAGTTTAATACCCCAGGGTCAGAATGCTTCATCTTTTCAGCTAGACTGTGAACTCTTGAGGGCAAAGGTCACACCTCTTCACCTCCTGTGGCCCCGTTCCCTTGCAAGTTGCTGTACTACTCTCAAGGCCTCAGATTTCATAGGGGCCATTCACCTGTTCAACTTGTTGAAGAAGTAAATTCCATGTTATTTTATCTGTATTATCTGAAGCTCATATTCCTTCTCTCTTGTGCACTGTTTCATGGTGTGTGGCCAAAAATCTGCAGCCTGGCTCAAGGGACCTCGCGGCCACCCTCTGCCAACATTTCCTCTTTCCGCCCAATTTTTTTCAGGACTGTGTTTAGTTCCACTCCCTTTTATGGCCTCATCTTCCTTTCCTCTGCATCCTCCAATATTAGAAACCCGTCTTTCCCTTCTCTTAAGAGAGCACTTACCCACCCAGGCCTCTTTGTTTCCTCCTTTCGTCTCTTTCCCAAGGCACCTCTGCTTTGAAGAGGCTGCTGCTGAAAAGGAGTAGATTTATTTCATCTTTTATGATCAGCAAAAGAAAAAGTAGGAGGCTTCATAAGGAAAATTGGCAAGATCTAAAGTTATTTGCATTTCATAGGAATCAAGAGTTTTCTAAGTTTTTTTTTTTTTTAAGAACTTTCAAATATACCACAAAAATTTGATCTGAACGTTGAAACACCTGCTGCAAACCTCAGGGCTTTGAATTTAGCAGCTTTAGTTTGGGACCAAGAAATTCTCTGAATTAGAAAGTCTTTTGCTACTAGTTGGCTTGCTGCAGCATTTCATCCCTCGGTACACTTCTCTTTCCTTTCAGAATACAGCCACGCCAAAGAGCTCGTCTGTGTGCCTGTGGATGTGACAGACACTTTGAGATGTTTTAGAGAGACCCTGGAAAAATCCAGATATCATAACAGATCAATCCGACACAGCAGAAAATTACTTTCGTTATTCCTTGCTCAGACACAAGGTAAAATACTTGCTCTATATCCCTCGCTCCTTACAGGACACCACCCTGTGGACCCACCATATTCTGCCATAGGTCCCTTCTTTCCCCACCGACATGCCCACTCCCTGCTGCCCTTCACTTTCTTCTTCTTGTCTAGTGGATCACATCTTCTCTCTCACACCCCTCATTCCAACCAGACTGTCTCACTCATCTGCTTTTATGCTTTCTGTGAAATGAGCATACTCCCTTGAGTAGATATAGAAACAGTATTGTTTTTGGTTCTGTACATCTATGTTCTTACCTATCTCTTTGCAAGTATGGTGCTGTAGTCTTTTTAAAAAAATTTTCGTAAGTAGATGACTTGATTCCTACTGAATTAACTAGAACCTATTACCAAAACCCTACTTTATTAGTGTCAAGGAAATAGATGCATTTTAATTTAAGCATCAAAAAGATTTCTTATCGGGGCGCCTGAGTGGCTCAGTCATTAGCGTCTGCCTTCAGCTCAGGTCATGAGCCCAGCGTCCTGGGATCGAGTCCCACATAGGGCTCCCTGCTCAGTGGGGAGCCTGCTTCTCCCTCTCCCACTCCCTCTGCTTGTGTTCCCTCTCTCACTGTGTCTCTCTCTGTCAAATAAATAAATAAAATCTTTAAAAAAAAAGAAAAAAACAAGATTTCTTATTAATACCATAGATTTTCATCTTAGAGATTTCTTTTAGCTTAAAACAAGATATTCAGTATCATTGGTTACATCACGTTTATTTGTTTTCTCCCTTCTCAACATTTATTGATCTGTGAACTCAATCAAAGCAGGGCTTTGAGTGGTTAAGTGGTAACCCCAGAGAGGAAGAATATACTCAAATTTAGGTGGGGAAAAATCTTGACTTACGTATGTTTAGGTTATTAAAAATTTGTTTAAAATTCTAATATATGTTTATGATCCTTGCTATTCAAATTTATTGGAATAATAAAAATAAGCTTAAAGAATAAACTTAAATTTAAAAACTTAAGGTAATTATATTTTAAAGTTATTTAAATGTAAACCTGAGATACTAATACTCACTGAACTGATCTTTCAGAAATCTGATCAAATCTTGTTTTTACAATCACTGACAGAAGTTTTATTTATGTATGTATATATGGATGTCAGTATTTGTTGTTGTTGCTGCCCCTGCTCACCCCAAAAAAGCACTTGCTATGCCATGTACCCACAGATTTTGGTTGTATTGCCTATAGACTCACATATTAAATTAGCTCTCTGTGTTATGTTTAAACTTCTTTCAATTATGGCATATGTTAATAATGGTTAAGGGCATGAATAAAAAAAGCAAATATAATTCCTAAGAATGGATTACACTGGTTGACCCTGCATCTCACCTGGTATTAAGATATTCTCAGCAGTTTATCCCCAGTCCTTGGGCTGCAGACTTCAAACTCTACAATAGCTTCTCTTCCTCTGTAGCTTTTGACTACTTCCCCTAGAATAGTTTTCCTTTTTTTCTTGTGTGTTCTCTGATCTTATAAAGAGAGCGATTCTTTCCCACTTTCTCCCCCTTAGGTGAGAACTAACTGTGGGTTGCTTCTACCCCAGAGGTCTCTGCCCCAGAGGCAGACTAACATCTTACTGTTGGAAGCCCTTAAAAAAAGACAAACCCAAACCATGTAACTTCCAGAATCCCCACGAGAAGCAAAGCATTATCTTAACATTACTTTCTGGCACACTGCCCCTCTGTAGTGTTCTTTATGAAATAACAGGTAGAGAGCCCATACACACGTACCTAAGCTCCTCAGAAATGATATTAGATACTAAATTTAAGGAAACAACGTCCCTCAAACTGCAAAGAAATCTCAGCTATACACAGAATTTTTCTTTTTCCTCCCTGCCCATTTCTTCTACCTTTTCCCTCCTCATCACTTCCCCTTCTATCTCCTTTGTAAATTTCTTCTTTGGCATGCCTGGGTGGCTAAACTCAGTCGGTTAAACAACCAACTGTTGATTTTGGCTCAGGTCATGATTTCAGGGTTGAGAGATAGAGCCCTGTGTCAGGCTCCACGTTGGTTGAGGAGCCTGCTCAAGATTCTCTCTCTCCCTCTGCCCCCCCCACCCCCCTCACTAGCTCTTGTGCTCTCTCTCTCTAAAAAAAGTAAGTAAATAAATAAATTTTTTCCCCCATGAATTTAGGAGATAAAGGAGGAATAAACAATTCGAAATTTACTACTGGAAAGGTGGAATTTTGCCTGGGGACAGAAGAGATGCATATGCCAACACCGCCCAACCTCTCTCAGGAACACTTCAGAGTTTTCAGTTCAGTGGAGAAAAGTAAACTTCCCAATTCGCAATTGGGACTCGTAATTTCCTCTTATTATGAAACCATTGGTAAGATTCATTCATTATATATTCATTTTCAGGAGGATCTTGCACATTAATGTTGAGATTGCCTTTGGGCCTGAAATGCCACCTTGAAAAGTTAGATGAAAGAGCTTGAACTTAGAATCTTGTAGGCAGGGCCAGAGCAGTGTTGGGACAAGAGCCTTCCAGCCCCTCCCAGTCTCCACTCTCCCAGCCTGGGTTGTCAGCATGGTGAGGTTCTAGGCCCCTCTTCTGCTCATCCTCCTTTGAATGAATCTGTGAACCCCTTGTTGGAATGTGGCCACTGTTGTGTTCTTTTGCTCTGCCCTAGCTGATCCCACTTTCCTTGTCTTTCTGTTTGATTTGGCTTTTCTACAAATTCAGCAGAATATACTCAATCCATGTTGTAGACCCAACATCCCCCTTTTTTTATAACAGACATTTAATAATCCCCCCCTTTACTTCCTGAAATAAAGTGTATATTTAATACAGTCTCTCTACACACATTATTTCATACAATAAATATGAAGCTCTAAATATAAAATAAAGATAAATAATATTATTTTATAACAAAACAATCTATTTGTGGCACTTAAGTGCTCAGGCACTAGAGAGTCTAGTGAAGCAGGATGCTCATATCCTGTGTGTTGAATCACCATGAATGTTATAGCTACAAATACAGAGTGAAACAGCTTAATTGTATTGGTGACGCAAGTACTATCAGCACTGTTAATTTTAGTGACAGTGTTTTTCTAAAATGGCAAATAAATCTGTGTGCAGTATACAATAAATCACTACAGTGAGTGGTTGCATTTCTGGAAAATTCAGAGAATTTTGAAAACATGCAAAAATGCCCTATTTCTATGTAAAATGAAGTTAGAGGTTAGACTCAGGCAATTATAAACAGGGTTTCTCACCTTTTTCTTCATTGTAGGGGAAGCTTCTGTGTGTTACAGACCACCCAGTGTCTCTGGACAAAATGCCAGGAGATGCCCCATTGTGACAACTAACAAAAGCTTCCTCAGATTTCTAAAATACCCTGTAGGAGTCAGGACTAACCTCATTCAAAACCACTGCCTTGTTGGTTAGGTTTTGTTTTGTTTTTGCTAGACCTCTCTGAATTTATGCATTTATCAGAAAACAAAACAAAACAAAACAAAACCTCAGATGCTATTAAAGATGTGCTTCTTTTTGCATTTGGGCAAAGGAAAAATCTGATAAGCTGTGATCTTATCCCATCAAATGCTTCGAGGCTTCCCATCCGCTATAGGATAACGTTCACATTTTTCCACCAGGCATTTAGACGCCTCCACTGTCCTACCACTATCTCCTTCTTCACACTCCCAAGAAAACCATAGTCCAGCCACTCACGTCATGTCCATATACACCCCACCCTTTCTCCCTAGCATGCCTCTTCTGAATTTCTCTTGGACACCACCTCCCCCTGCCTGACTCTTATTCCACTCTCCTCACATTTCCTATCTCTTAGATCCAATCTCTTCCTCCACAATGTTCAAGTAGAATATCATTTGCTCTCTTTCTGTATATGTATCAGGAGACCTGTGAAGGCAGTATTAGTTGCAGTTAAGGACACAGTTAAGGAATGATGCAGTTTAAATATTCTTGAGACTATGAGGAAGATATTTTCTAGGAACTGACATTTGTTCTTCTACTTGACTAAAATACAGATGTTCTCCAAGTCAGCCATCAAAGAAGTCTTAAAGTTCAGGCATTGCATGAACTTGGAAGCCTTCTCGTCTTTGCTGGAAAGAAAAGGTAGATTTTTAGGAGTCAGTGGAACAAGGGAAAACTTTTTTTGGTTGTTTATTGGAAAGCATTTTTAAGTATTAAGAAAAAATTGTCTTTCATAAATTTTAGCTCTTCGATAATATTCCATTGCTACATTTTATTCACCAAATGCTACCTGAGAGAAACAGTTATGAGCAATAAATGGTACAGATTCATTCTCTAACATTTCAATTAAAATACTTCTTCAGTGCATTTGCTTCCTCTTTTGGAAGATAGATTTAATAACATCGACCTTGAAAAACGTGCTGCTTGATGTTTGTTTTTCTTTTAGGGCTGCTTTTAGATGTTGGTGTCAAGCTCTTGATGACATATTCAAAAAAGAAGATGTGCTGTATACGTGGAAAGAGTTTGGTACCTCGCTCACCGATGCCACCAAAAGCTATTCACCTCCAGGTTCCAAAGATTATAGTGAGGAATTTCTGTCAAAAGTTGGCATTTGGGGATGTTTGCAAGGAGCAGTCATATCAGCAAAGATAGCACAGTGAGTGTGGCAATGGAGTGAGCTTCCCTTTGTGGGGTGCCCACTGTGCCATGTAGAGCGCCATGCCTCAGATGCATGGGATTCTTGGACAGCTATGTCCATATCATACAGAACTATACAGTTTACTTATTTGAGATGTTTGTTATCTATGGCCATCTATACCCCCACCCCCGGATGTGGGCCTCCACATGGGCACAAATCTTTGCTTGTTCACCGGGGTATCCTGAGTGTCTAGCATGGAGTTGGCATTTAATTACTACTTGTGGAATGAATGAATGAGTGAATGAACAGTTGGTATGGAATCAACAATAACGGTGTGAGGCAGGCCAACTTGGGCCTTATTTGAGGATCTCCTACTGACTCTGGGACCCTTGGCTCACTGCTTATTCTCTCTGAGCCTCAGTGTTCTCATCTGTAAACTGTGGTGGCAAGAATTACATGACATACTATATTAGTTTGCTAGGGTTGCCATAACAAATGACCAGTTGGTAGGGAATTTATTGTCTCACAGTTTCTGGAGGCTTGAATTCTTGAATTCTTATCTAAGGGTATTGGTAGATTTGGTTTCTTTTGAGGCCTCTCCTTGTAGATGGCTCTCTTCCTGCTGTGTCCTTATGTGGTCTTCCCTCCATGCATGTCTGTGGCCTAATATCCTCTTCTTAAAAGGACATCAGTCATGTTGGATTAGGGCCCACCCTAGTGACCTCATTATAACCTAATTGCCTCTTTAAAGGCCCCATCTTAGTCACATTCTGATGTTATTGGGGGTTAGGACTCCAACATATGAATTTGGGGGGCATAATTTAGGTCATAGTGCATACTGATTAGTTTCCTAGTTCTGTAACAAATCACCACAAAATTTGTGGCTTAGAACAACACAGATTTATTATCTTACAATTTGGGGGGTCAGAAGTCCTAAAATCAGTGCCTTGGGAGGGTTGTGCTGTCCTCTGAAGGCTCTAGGGAAGAATCTCTTTCCTGGTCTTTTCCAGCTTGTCTTGTTATTTTTCCCTCTCTTCCCTTATGATCCTCTGTTCTGTTTCTTAAATTTCACATACGACTGAGATCATATGATAATTGTCTTTCTCTGATTGACTTATTTCGCTTAGCATAATACCCTCTAGTTTCATCCATGTCATTGCAAATGGCAAGATCTCATTTTTTGATGGCTGAGTAGTATTCCATTTTGTGTGTGTGTGTGTGTGCGTGCGTGTGTGTGTGTGTGTGTATACCACATCTTCTTTATCCATCAATCTGTTGATGGACATCTCTACTTTTTCCATACTTTGGCTGTTGTGGACATTGCTGCTATAAACATTGGGGTGCAGGCGCTCCTTTGGATCACTACATTTGTATCTTTGGGGTAAATACCTACTAGTGCAATTGCTGGGTCGTACAGTAGTTCTATTTTTAACTTTTTGAGGAACCTCCATACTATTTTCCAGAGTGGCTGTACAAGCTTTCATTCCCACCAACAGTGTAGGAGGGTTCCCCTTTCTCCACATCCTCACCAACATCTGTCATTTCCTGACAGTTAATCACTGTGGCTTTGATTTGTATTGTGATGTGGAGCATTTTTCATGTGTCTGTTGGCTATCTGTATGTTTTCTTTGGAGAAATCTCTGTTCATGTCTTCTGCCCATTTCTTGATTGGATTATTTGTTCTTTGGGTGTTGAGTTTGGTAAGTTCTTTATAGATTTTGGAGAAGAGCCCTTTATCTGATAAGACATTTGCCAATATCTTCTCCCATTCTGTCAGTGGTCTTTTGGTTTTGTCGACTGTGTCCTTTGCTGTGCAGAAGCTTTTTATCTTGATGAAGTCCCAATAGTTCATTTTTACCTTTGTTTCCCTTGCCTTTGGAGATGTGTCTAGCAAGAGGTTGCTGTGGCTGAGGTCACAGAGGTTGCTGCCTGTGTTCTCCTCTAGGCTTTTGATGGATTCTTGTCACACATTTAGGTCTTTAATCCATTTTGAGTCTATTTTTGTGTATGGTGTAATAAAATGGTCCAATTTCATTCTTCTGCATGTGGCTGTCCAATTTTTCCAACAGCATTTGTTGAAGAGACGGTCTTTTTTTTCCATTGGATATTCTTTCCTGCTTTGTCAAAGGTTAGTTGACCAGAGTTGAAGGTCCATTCTTGGGTTCTCTATTCTGTTCTATTGATCTATGTGTCAGTCCTAAGAGGGAAGTATATAGCAAGGAACAAGAAGGACTCAAATACACCACCTAACCTTACACCTAAGGGAGCTAGAGAACGAACAGCAAATAAAGCATAAACCCAACAGTAGAAGAGAATTAATCAAGATTAGAACAGAAATCAATGAAACAGAAACCAAAGAAACATAGAACAGACCAATGAAACTAGGAGTTGTTTCTTTGAAAGAATTAATAAGATTGAAAACCCCTGGCCAAACTGTGGAAAGAGCCAAGATGTCCATCGACAGATGAATGGATAAAGAAGATGTGGTATATATACACGATGGAATATTATGCAGCCATCAAAAGGAATGAGATCTTGCCATTTGTAACAACATGGATGGAACTGGAGGGTGTTATGCTGAGTGAAATAAGTCAGTCGGAGAAAGACATGTATCATATGACCTCACTAATATGAGGAATTCTTAATCTCAGGAAACAAACTGAGGGTTGCTGGAGTGGTGGGGGGGTGGGAGGGATGGGGTGGCTGGGTGATAGACATTGGGGAGGGTATGTGCTATGGTGAGTGCTGTGAATTGTGCAAGACTGTTGAATCACAGATCTGTACCTCTGAAACAATGCAATATATGTTAAGAAAAAAAAAAGAAGAAGAAGATAGCAGGAGATAGCAGGAGCAGATGAAGGGGAGTAAATCGGAGGGGGAGATGAACCATGAGAGACGATGGACTCTGAAAAACAAACTGAGGGTTCTAGAGGGGAGGGGGGTGGGGGATGGGTTAGCCTGGTGATGGGTATTAAAGAGGGCATGTTCTGCATGGAGCACTGGGTGTTAGGTACAAACAATGAATCATGGAACACTACATCAAGAACTAATAATGTAATGTATGGTGATTAACATAACAATAAAAAAATTAAAAAAAAAAAAGAAAACCCCTGGCCAGACTTATCAAAAAGAAAAGAGAAAGGACCCAAATAAATATAATCATGAATGAAAGAAGAGAGATCACAACCAACACTGAAGAAATACGAACAGTTATAAGAACATATTATGAGCAACTATATGCCAACAAATTAGGCAATCTGGAAGAAATGGATGCATCCCTAGAAACATATAAACTATCAAAACTAAAACAGGAAGAAATAGAAAACCTGAACAGAACTGTACCCAGCAAGGAAATTGAAGCAGTAATCAAAAGTCTCCCATCAAACAAGAGTCCAGGGCCAGATGGCTTCCCAGGGGAATGCTATCAGGCATTTAAAGAAGAACTAATACCTATTCTTCTGAAGCTGTTTCAAAAAGTAGAAATGGAAGGAAAACTTCCAACTCATTCTATGAGGCCAGCATTACCTTGATTCCAAAACCAGACAAAGAACCCACCAAAAAGGAGAATTACAGACCAATATCCTTAATGAACATGGATGCCACAATTCTCACCAAGATACTAGCCAGTAGAATCCAACAGTACATGAAAAGGATTATTCGCCACGACCAAGTGGGATTTATTCCTGGGCTGCAAGGGTGGTTCAACATCTGCAAATCAATCAATGTGATACACTACATTAATAAAAGAAAGAACGAGAACCATATGATCCTTTCAATAGATGCATAAAAAGCATTTGACAAAATACAGCATCCTTTCTTGATTAAAACTCTTCACAGTGTAGGGATAGAGGGAACATACCTCAATATCAAAAAAAACATATATGAAAGGCCCATAGCAAATATCATTCTCAATGGGGAAAAACTGAGAGCTTTTCCCCTAAGGTCAGGAACACGGCATGGATGTCCACTGTTACCACTGTTGTTCAACGCAGTACTAGAAGTCCTAGCCTCAGCAATTAGACAACAAAAATAAATGAAAGGCATTCAGATTGGCAAAGAAGAAGTCAAACTCACTCTTCACAGATGACATGATACTTTATGTGAAAAACCCAAAAGACTCCACCCCCAAATTACTAGAACTCATACAGCAATTTAGCAAAGTGGCAGGATATAAAATCAATGCACAGAAATCAGTTGCATTTCTATACACTAAGAATGAGACAGAAAGAGAAATTAAGGAGTTGATCCCGTTTACAATGGCATCAAAAACCATAAGATACCTAGGAATAAACCTAACCAAGGAGGTATAAGATCTGTACTCTGAAACTATAGAATACTCATGAAAGAAATTGAGGAAGACACAAAGAAATGGAAAAAACATTCCATGCTGATGAATTGGAAGAACATATATTGTTAAAATGTCTATGCTACCTAGAGCAATCTATACATTCAGTGTAATCCCTATCAAAATATCATCCACTTTTTTCATAGAGCTGGAACAAATAATCCTAAAATTTGTATGGAACCAGAAAAGACCCAGAATAGCCAAAGGAATGTTGAAAAAGAAAACCAAAACTAGTGGCATCACAATTCCGGACTTCAAACTCAATTACAAAACTGTCATCAGCAAGACAGTATGGTACTGGCACAAAAACAGACACATAGATCAATGGAACAGTGTCTTATACCTAGTTAGCACTGACAGATATCTTAAAGACTTGAGTAATGTGAGAAATTTAAAAAGTATGGAAGGAATAGAGGTACAGTTTTCTTTCACCTTTCCAGGTACATTTTTCCCTTATCTATAGGGTGTGGTGGGCAAAAATATGCATAGTATCTCGATATGTAGAGAAAATTAAAAATTTTCTATATATGGAAAAAAATCTAGAAGGAAATTAGCCAAAATGTTATCAGTAATCATGTTTAGGTGGTAGGCTTATTGGTGATATTTCATTTTGTGTTTTATGTTTTTTGTGTGTTCTAGATCTTATATAAGTGTGTAGCACTTTTAGAGTCACAAAGTCTATTTTAATTTTGGAAAATCTATGAGTATTTATATGTATGTATTTATATATGTATGTATGTATATAGATGTATTTATATAAAAGTATTATTGGAAAATTGTCCATGAATCCATTTCTTTTCTGTTATACTTATTTAGATTTATTATGATCTCGGAGGTTGACAAGAGAACAAACTGTTGCATTTTGTCTGCGTTACTCTTTCAGGTAACACTTCATGTGTATCTTCTGACAGTAGTGACCATTCAGAAAAAAAAAAGTGCAGTGGTTTATCGTAGTCAAAAAACTCATAGGTAGGAAGATAGCACGGACCTTGATGAGATATCATGAGTCCATCTTTCCTTCAACTAGCTGAAGGTGGCATTTTTACCTTGACTATTCAGCAGAATCTCTTTCTCCTTTAGACTCCGGAAGGAGGTTTGCAGATAAGGAAACTGAGTCTCTCATCATTAGTAAGACTGTGTTGCTAATGAGCTGTGAAGCCAGTCTGTTTAACTCCAAATGGTGGCCTTAGGTTATCTCATCTCTAATTAAAGTTTTGCTCGATTGCACAATGTGAAGTATACCATATAATGAAAGCAAGAAATAAGTTGAAGACTACAGAAGTAGAGAGTGTTGGCAGCTCTTAGAATTTTGGTTTGACTTCATTGAAGAAGAAAAGAGCTTTTATCTGAAATATAAGACGTTTTGAGATACAGGGAGGTAGCCAGGGGCCTTTGCCATCTACTAAAGGTTCTATTTACCTTGAAGGGTGGACACGCTTGTTCTGTGTATCAGAGGCCTCTGATAGCTTATGAAATCTAGATAGATAAGCTCTATGGAAAGCCTTTTCTGGATGTAAGGCCAGACTTTCCAGTTTTCTTATGCTCCATGCACCTCTTGCCTGTGCTTTAAAGAGAGGAGGTGGAGGAGGCAAGAGTGCAAAGGGCATGATAATCTGATTCTGACTCCTTATATTGCATTCTTTACTGTCTGATACTGCTTGTTCTTGAAGATAATGCTATTGTTTTAGAAAATAAGCAATTTAAAAAATTAAATTTTTGCTTACTGTGGGCATAATTTTGTAGTAATACTGCACCTAAAATAAAAGCTGGTAAGATTTATTTAAAAAAATCTTAATTTTTTTATGATTTTAAAGCAGATTTATAAAATTAAAAATTTAAACAAGTGCATAGTATTTTAGAGTAGGTACTTTATAACTTTAATGAACAATCTGATTAAAATTCTTTTCTGATATATACATTAAAATAATTTTGTATTATATGTCATCAGTTAATGTTAATTATTTAGGATAACACCAGAAACACTCCTAAATGTAAAATTTGATTTTGTGTATCAATTTTGTTTCCCAACATCGAATACAGTGTTGGTCACATAAATTACCTAAGAAATATTGGCAGAATTAAACAACTCATCTTTTTACTTAATTCAGTTAAAAATTCAGAATTAACTCTCTTTGATTTAGACTTCTGAAATCATCTTTTATCTCTGAAATCATTTGTTAACTTATAGGTTGGTATAGTGGAAAGAGCTTAGATTTTTTTTTTTATTTAAATAGATGTGACTTTGAATCTTCTTTCTTTCACCATTAGCTCTGTGACCTCGTGTAAGTTAATTGTTTAAGCCTCAGTTATATCATTTATGAAGTAACAATCCTTCTAGAGGTAGGCTAAATGAGGATTAAATGAGGTAGTGTTTATAAAGAATTTACCAACAGTGTCCAACACAAAATTGACTCCAACAAATGATAATATAATGATAATTTCTTCTGAAAATGATAAGTATCCAACTACCATGGAATTTAAAAGGCCCATCTTGAGTGATGATGGAAGCATTTGGAACTATAATGATGATAATGTTAATGATAAGTACCATTTATTACAAGGTACAGTGTGCTGGGCATATGCTAAGCACTTTAGGAAGTAATACGTATACTTATCTTTTTGTTTTGGTGTTGCAAATGCAATTTATAGCTCTTCATTTCACCTGTTTTCATTTTCAGGGTTTGCTTAGAACCACACTTCCACACCCCAAAGCTAAACATTGCTATGCTCAGTATGAAATCACTCAGCTTCTCCCAGGCATCGAGCTCTTCTCAGACAGATACAGGGCTGATATTTGCTCTGTAGTCGCAAGTCTGTATTACATTATACGTGAACTACACTATGCTAAGCAAAATCTAATAGTAAGTTATTTGTAAAATCAACAAATTTTAATTCACTGTGGTATTTTTGCCTTACCTTAAACCTTTCAAATTTTGCTAATGTTCTCTTGGCTGGTCTTGTTTAACTCTCAAACTCTAGATTCAGGATTCTTACCTGTACTTCAAAATAAAATATATTAATTAATATTCCTTCTTTGACATCATTATTTGCACTGCATTTTGGATACAAAGTCAATGTCTGTTTGATTTTGTTCCCTTTTTACTCTATTACTTTATCTCTTTTCTTCCTTCTTAAGACAGTTGGGGAAATTGATCAGAATATTTCCCTGGTCTCAAACAGAGGAACCTAGTGCACATGGAACTCACTGCATTAACTGGTGCAGGTCATATCAGTACCCAAACTATGAGAGTATTTCTTTGTGGAGATAAATTGATCTTTGGTCTCTTGTCTTCTCCCTGTTCTAAGTGAACAACAGATTCAAACTGTGAAATGAAAGACAAATACTTCTTAATATCCAAGGACATTCAAAACCTCCTACAATTCTCTTCCTTTGGGGAAATAAATCACAGTATATGTCATAAATTTGAAGTTGGTTGCTTTTAAAAAATAAATCAGTATGTTCTGGTCATTTTATATTTTTCTCCTTTATTTTATTTTTCCTATTTATTTCCTATTTTTCTATTTTCCTCCTATATGTTATTTCTTCTACATTTGTATCTCTCCCCCACCATATTTGCTTTTTAATACCTATTCTTTCTTTTTTTTCCCATAATTTTCATACCTACTTTCTTTTTTCCCTCATATATTGTTTTCTTTTCTCTTGTTCTAAATTCACTCTCTCTTTATATTTAAAAGGTTTATTGTCCCCTGATATGAGTTGTTAAATTATAAAGCCATGTGTTAAAGGGAAGAGATTGATAAATGCTTTTAACACTTGGCATATTTGGCAAGAAATTTTTTATTAGGAAAAGATAACAAAATGGTACTCCTCTCATTGTTAAGGGGATTCACTTCTGGATTTAGAAAATAGTTCTATCCCCTGGGTAACCTTTAGCTGCCTAGTCATATTCATATATAATACATATCATTGCACTGGAAAAGAAATGAGACTTTTTTTCTCTGAAGCTTAAGAAATTGAGAACATTTTTCTGAATAATTGAGCAGTTGGCAGCAATAAAGTGGTGTTTTTTTATTTCTCACTAAAGAAAAGAAACAATTTCAAAGGTAATAGCCAACTCTTATTGTTTTGTGCTGCATTAATTGTAGAAAAAAGATACTGTGTTATGTTGTAGTGCATAATTGTAGAAAAATGTACTATGTTTGAAATCATTTAAGACCAGTTCTAAACCGTTTAAAAAGCTGTTGCTATTAGTAGCTGCCAGTTGACTGACAATTAGAGGTTCCTTAGCTGAACTTGCAAGATGTAAACAGTTTCTATTTTGTATCACACTACCCTCCAGAAGAAGCCCAGTGAGTAAGGAGACTGCTGTCACATACAGAACTTGCTGGGGGACCCATTGCTGTGGAATCATGGGAAATTGTTTACTAAATAATGGGGATCCCAATACTCTTCCTTGCTCTATCTCCCTTTAGTAGAGAAGGGCCCAGTTGTAGGAACCAAGCTTGGGTTTTCAGTTGAGATCAGAAACTGTTCAGAATTCTAGGCAAACACCTTTCCCCTCAACACCTGACTCTGGCCGGATAGTGGTTGGATCAACCGCAGTATGGATAGTTTGTACGCCTTCACCCATATCCACGAGATTTCAAGAGGAGTTGAACTTTGGGGGTTAATTCTAGGAAAATAAAAATACTATGTGAAGAGTAAGCTTGGGTCATCAATAGAATATGTGCTCTGTGAAAGCAAGGACTCATTAGATTTTGTTGTCATTCAACAGTGCTTGATACATAACGAGCATGTTATAAATATTCTTTTGCTGATTGAGATATTCCAGTTGAAAACAAATAGCAGCTTCCATGACTGAGTAGGTGACATGGATGAGAGTTCCTTTGCTTTAAATTTAGTAGTTATTTGATAGCTCATTTGCTAGAATGTTTCTACAGGCCTCAGTGATTCATACATATGTGTTAAATTAATTTTTTTCAAGGAAGATAATTGATTGGATTTTCACTCTTCCACGCTTGAAGAGATTTGAAACCTAGGTGTGGGGTACCAGGTGGCATCTACAAGTCCCCCTGATGGCACTTTTAAGTTCTCACAAAATTACAAAGCATATGCTAGGCAGATCATTTCACTTAGCTAAACAGTATAGTCTCTTAGCATGGCAGAATCAATTGCTGTTTTATGTAACATCTCCCACATTAATATTTGGCTACATTTTCTATTAGGTTATTAACTTGATAAAACATGTTTTAGATTAAAAAAATGTTTTTACCATTGGTAGATTCTGCCTCTCCTTGCATTGTACCAATATTTTGTGTCTGGAATTTGCCAAGACCTCGTCAGAAATCTAGAAGCAAGGATCCTCAAGGTATGTGACAAACTTTTAAGATGTTTGATATTCTTGAACTGTAAAGATACTATCATAAATTAATTTGGTTCTAATACTCATAATAATAAGCTGATAATAATATGGTGTGCTGATATTAAAAAAACATGCCCATTATTATAATAGGGAGCTAGTTAGAATCGTTAGCTTGTTTTATGCTTGGGCCACAGTAAAGTGGGGAACAGCGACATGTGGGAACAAGGCTCGTTCAACATCAGTCAGCCTGGAAATCACCTCTTTTGGAATGTTGGTTTCCTAGTGGAAACTAATGAGTCTGTTTTCTGAAGTTTCTGTGACCTTTTTGCAAAGGGTCTTTATGTATATCATAATATGTGAGAAGTTTTCATTTACAGGCAATTGAAGTGACAAAACACACAGATGCTAAATTATAACTAATTCTGTAACCTAGAAGTCAGGTGAGACACTCTGTCTTCAAGATCCATGTACAGTTGGCTTGAACCCCATGTGGACTGGGAACCTCAAGCACCTCATTTTCTTTACCCTTTTCCTAGTTAGCTATGGTCACAGTCTCTCACTTCTGTTGAATTTGTTTTGCACGTGGATCATCTCAACATCCAGCAGATTTACTCCCTGTTCTGCACCTCCTCATCTTGAATATGGAATTCAGTCCTAATCCACATTCTATACACATACACACACACACACACACACTCACTCACTCACTCACTTACACATAAACATACACAACACATTCACCTAAGGCCTTTATTTTCATACTGGATTTAGTGAAAATTTGGAACACAGGAAAATTTAAGTTGAGGAAAAGCAAACAATTTAAAATAGAATATTTGGCATCTCTGGGTTTAAAATATTTCTTAGCCAACATCTCATGCTTTTGCCTCCCATCCCATGGCTTAATCAGCTGTGTGCTGGTAAGTGTTTCACACCTCACTCTAAAAAAAAGCCCTGATTTGTAGCATTTTCAGTTTCCATGGTGCAAATATTCCCACTATAGCTGACTTCAGCCTACCAACTGGGCATTACTGAATGTGGAATCGGGACAAGATATGGACGATCTCCTCTTGCAATTGGGAGTAAGTGGCTCCCTCACACCACTGGCTTAACCCTCCTTATCCTATTTTGTAAATACCCTATACCTTTCTTCCCCAAATCTTTCCTATTATCTTATGAGGGAAAATTAGACTTCCCTCTGAACTCCTCTCTCTATCTGGACCCTGCCCTTGGGCCTATGATTTCAGACCCAAAGAGTCCATAACATTCTATTTCTAAATAAAAACAGTACCTTCCCTAAGAGGAATTCTGGTGCTAACTATTAAGAGGATATATTTTAACTCAGGAATAAATAACTGTTTGTCAGCCATAAAGATTTCTGGATCACTCTTTCTGACTTCCTGAACTCTTAAGAATTCTCCTGCTTTTTGATTTCCAATAACACTTTTTTAAAAATGGCATATAACTTCCCTCTCTCTTTTTTAAAAACAGTGTTCTGTTCAAGACTGCAAAATTCCTGAGGTTAGGGCCTGAATCTTACTCATCTTTTAGTCCCCTATTGATTGTATCTTGAATAATAAATTCATATATCGATACTCAGTAATTAATTATTGAATTGATTTTAAAATCTATAGCCATTTATCAAGTGCCTACTGTCCACACTTTCCATAGTGTTTAGTGGGAACTCATCTAGAAGATCCTTGGTAAATATTTATTGCTTTACCTCTGAAACAACATTTATTGAGTATCTCCTATGTAAAAGCACCATGTTCGTAACTAATCAAAGAAATGTAACCCATGGTCCTTGCTTATAAGGAAGTGAAAATAAGGGAAGAAAGACAGGACATATAAACAAGACAATAACACATGCATCTATCCCTTGATCATTTCCAAATGAGTATCATGAGCACTGTCTCCCGGGGTTTGAAAGAGGGAAAATGGCTTTGGGTCTCTCGGTTTTACTAAGTAGGTAAGATTTAGTGAAGAAAGCAGAACTAACTGAGCAGAAGAGAGGAAGAAAGGAACATTCTTGGCAGGTAACAGTGTGAAGCATATAGAGATGAGACAGTATGGACTTGTTAAGGGGGCAGGGGTGGTTCAGTGAAGCCAGAGAGGAGGTTTTGAGGAGGGAGAACGTAATATGAGAATACCACAGATCCATGTTGTGGTCCATGATGTCCATGAGCAGCGGGGTCCAGTCCTGAATTCCAAACTAAGGCATAATGTGGAGGCTGAGCAGTGAGAGGAATGAGGAGATTATGGAATCAGAATTGGGTAGCTGTTTTGTTCTGGTCTGTCATTTAGAGGCTGGAGAAGCAAGGAAGGGTTGCAGTGACCATTAGTAAAGTGTCAGAAGGAGATCCAGAGAGGCACTAAAAGATATAATCTGCAACAAAGTTTTTGATTAAATGACCGTGTTTTATTGGATTGTTAGCACTTGGCAACTTTTTGTACTAGGGTAGCTTAAAAGCCTGTGAAGAACTGTGGACTCTAGTCTGCAGCCTTGGGTTGAGAGGTGGGATGAATTGCAGAATCTTGGTCAGAAGAAGGACACGATCAGATGTATCGTGGCAACAGTGTCAGGAGCAGAGTGAGTCGGAAGTGGCATCTTATTGGCAATAGTAGAACAGAAACATCCAACCAGGGTTTTGACAGAAGCAATGAAAAAGGGCAACTGACACATCACCCAGAGGGAGAAATGACAGCCTGTTTGAGTAGAGTTTGCCTGACCTTTCAGAAGTAAACTGGGGTCAGTGAGTGGGAAGAGAGAAAAATCATAGTCAGGAAACAGCAAACAGTGTTTTCTGACAAGTCAAACAGCAATAGATCATGCTGTTAAGTTTCTGTTGTGCACTAGTGTCTTTCAGGGCAAGCTTTAAGACCTCTTTATGATCAGCCGGTCTGGCTTCACTTTAGAACTCTCACCATCTTGAAAGATTTATTAGTCTCAACACATCCAGCATTCCTGGGAAGGCCACTGATGGTTCTGTATTTGTGCAAGTGAAGGGTTGATTTAAGGGTAGTTCTTTTATCCATCTGGCTTGTTTATGTTCACACTGCTGGTCATTTCTGAAAATACATGTTCATTGTTATCACCATTGCTTTTTCAAATGGCCAGATTAGTATGATAAACCGAAACAGAGGTAGCCTTAGAGGTTACAGGTAGTTCATGTGGAGGTGTCCCACAGCCAAGATCAGTGGAGACAAACCTCACACAGCATTTCCTCCAAGGGATAATGAGAAAGTGTTCATCTAGAAGTCTAAAAGAGCCCCACTAATGCCTACTTGGATATTATATGGCACTGGGGAGATTAGAGCCCAAGGTATTTTAGGCAAGAACCAAAGTGTGCAACTCAGTAGACAAGGAGAGTTTTTTCTTCCCCACTGCAAATATTCTTCTAACCTTTTATGCTTTATTTTCATGCTATTGTCATATCCTGTTTCCTCCTAACTTACCTTCTTTTTATTTCTTTAAAATTTATATGCTCTTTATTGCATGGAGCACTGGGTGTTATATGCAAACAATGAATCATGGAATACCACATCAAAAACTAATGATGTAATGTATGATAACTAACATAACATAGTAAAATAAAATTAAAAAAATTTATATGCTCTAAAGATTCCTATGGTAGTACTTAAAGGAAAAGAGATAATAAGTGTATGTGTCTGTATTATATGTATTTTATATATATATATAATATATACATATATATATATAAAGGCCACGTGACCTTTGTACTTGATTGAGACCTCTCAGCAGGTTTTCACATGTCTCTCTTTCATGTCATTCCCCAATTTTCTCTTGAATGTCTCTCAGAGAAGTCCTTCTTGACTGGAGCTCTGAAAGTAGCATTTTTGTTAGTAGCCTCTATCCCTTATAATACTGTGTATATCTTCATGTATCACTTAAATTAGCTCAATACACATCTGGGAAGGGATGTAACACCCAAGAGGGCTTGGTGGAAATGCCCAATAAACACGCTGAATGAATGAATGAGTTTTGTTCAGGAACTTTTCTTCCCATAATTTCCTGATTGAAAGTCCTGCTGGATAATATTCAAAATAAGCCATGTACAATTTATAGTTACCAACTGATTAACTTTAAGGATATGTCTTTAAAACTGACAGTGCGCATTAATTATGGATGACAAAACAAATGGTTGTCTCTATGTTGATACATTATAGAGTTCATCTGGTTGGTTTGACTTTCCTCAGAGTATTAGAGAACATCAGGAGTGTTTTTGTTTTGTTTTTCTTTTAAACCATAGTTCACCATGGGAACAAAAAATAAATTCAATTATTTTTTTTAACTGTTCTATGCCTATCATATTTTTGTGTTTGCTCTGATGAAGTAAGACACATCTGACAAATGTCCATTGTTTTGAACAGTTGCTTACTGTTGTTTATTAGCTTCCTGGTCCATTGCACATATAAACTAGCTTACACACAAACACATACATCTCCATTGTGTTTACCAAGCATTAATTTATAAGGCATTACCAATTATATTAAGCAGAAATTTTGGATCTCAGAAAATTGATGATTTTTCTCTAAAATTTTTATTTTGTAAGTAAAACAAATTATTTAATTAAAATCTCATTTTTTTTCTCCCTTCCTTTAAAGATTCAGGTCCTTACAGATTTAAGATTTTTTTCTGAAGCCTTTTATGAGATATCTCAGATTTTTTATGGAAAAAACATGCCTTCCTCGATACCCTCTGGCTGTAAGGCTCCTGGAAAAGTAAAGGTAAATCTGCTGCTCTGATTCAAAGCCATTTCTTTACCTTTTTGAAGGCTACATTCTTCAAATTTAGGGAATGCTTCCACAAAAGTGTATTTATAAGTCTCTGGTACTGCAAACCTCTTTGTTAAGCCTTGTTATAGCTAACCATAGGCTCTTACAAGGTTTCATTGGTCTGGAAGGGAAGGGTGTCATGTGGGGGAGTACGGCATTGGAGTCAATTTTTATGATCTCTGTGTTACAGACGGTCTCAGTGGACACAACAGCCACTACCTCTTGGACTTTGGCATCTAATCTGATAATTTCTGGTTAATGTTGTTAGTCAAAACAGTCTCTTCTCATGTTTTGTTTGGATATTTTGATTTATATACTTTATACCAGAATGTTAAACATGCATTGTTCAAATTGTATTCGTAAATGAGATCACTGAAACATCCTTGCAAATGAATACTAGCATTTATATTTAAATCAGAGTGAGCTGTTATTTTCTTGTTTTGGGTTTCATGAGAATCACTGAGTGTTCTTGCAGACGCTTGGACCCTTGTGATCTAGCAATAAAGGAAATAGGAGGTAACAAGTCAGTTTCCTGGGGAAGACGGTATGCGTGAGGAGTGAGACTGACAGACAGTACATACTGGTGGGATTCAAATTTGGAAGGCCTAGAAGAAGCTGGGGAATAGGCTATCAGTCTTGAAAATTACTTGTAGAAGCTGACATTAAATATACATACAATGCATTCATTACTTCAGTGTACTCCCCTAAAATGTCACTGCTTAATTCTCAGTATGACTGATACAGCATTATAATTTGTTGTACCAGGGTAAGTGTGAGGTTATCTAGAAATAAGCCTAAGAGGGACATTCAGTAGGCAATAGGATACATCTGTGTGTGTATGTATATACATCCCTATCTCTATCTCTTTCTATATATATCTCTCTATCTAGAGAGAAAAGAGTTAGTTTTTTGCTCATTTTTTTGGCATGAACTAACTCATCTTCTTACCTGGGTTAAATGAACAATATTTTCTTGCTTGCTTCTCAGCCAACAGCCTTTCCCTATTGTAAATGATTTGCATATTAAAATTATATTTTAACTCATTTAAATATTTTATTGAATGCTTACTGAATAACAGGCACTATTTTAGCCATGGGGATTGACCAGTAAAAAGATAAATGGAGTTATTGCCTTTTGGGGAGCATGTTACTATTGGACAGCCCAGTGAAGAAGACAAACAATAAACGTATTAAGCGCATAAATATATGTCAGGTGATGATGTACTATGAGGGATAGTCAAGCTGAGCTGAGGGGACAGAGAGTGATCAAAGCAGTGGATTTTATTCAAAGTGGCTTGAAGTATCCCTTATTAAGGGAGTTTTGAGAGTGAAAGATTTGAGGGACCAACCTTTCAACTAGGAGGAAGTGCAAGGGCAAAGGCCCCGAGGGGGATGCCTGCAAAATGTGGTTGAGGAAAACCAAGGAGGCCCAGTGAGGCTGATAAAACAGAGAGGAGGAGCAGATGGTGGGACTCAGGAGCTACGGTCATAGCAGACCTCATGGGGCTTGGTGAGGAACAGGAGTTTACTCTAAGTAAGATGGGAAACCTTACAGAGTTTTGAGCAGAGGAGTGACAGCATAGAAATTACTTTTCAAAGGGCCACTTGGCTTGCTGTTTGGAGAAGAGACTGTGGATGAGCATGGGCATGAAGAGGGAGACCAGTTAGAAGGTCTTTGCAAATAATCTGAGTTAGATATGACAATGGTTGGGGTAATATTGGTGAAAGGAGTGAAAAGTGGTCTCCTTGGTGGAGATGGATCCTAGTAAATTTTGGGAGCATTAGCATAGAGATTTAAAATTATGGGACTGGATGAAATCAGCCAGAGCAGAGAGAGCAAAACAGAAATCCGAGGACTGAACCTCAGGGTCATCCACACGTAGAGTCCAGGAAAATGAGAAGGAAAGAGAAACCAATGGGTAGAATGAGGAACAAGAGAAAGTTGCCTTTTGGTTTTTAGGTGTTTGTTTTTTGTTTTTGTTTTGTTGTTTGTTTTTGTTTTTGTTTTACGAGAGAGAGTTTTTAATGTTCACTGCTTTCGCCAAAGCAAACAGTCTGAAACTAATTTTTAACAGGTGAATTCCAAACTTCATTTTTATTAACCAGTTTTCATAAGAGAAAAGTGTGGGTGAATTGTCTTTCAATAGACTGTGACTTCAAATTTTGTGTTCTCAAAGTTAATTTAAAGCCTTCCAGCTTCAATTGGGAATTTAAAAAGTGTAATTAAAAGAGGAAATGCATTCAGGGTTTATAATTAAAATAGGTGCCAATGTTATTAGGCTCGGGGCTAGTTGTTTAAAGAAAGGATTAATTAACTAGATTTTAGTTGTAAAAGAAGTAACTGAAAAAGTCTTACAGATTACTATTTGACTTTTCACAGGCTTCTTAAGAAAGTCTGTCTTTTAACATGATACTTGTACTGGGATTCTGCTCTTAGCGCCAAATCTAAAGTCCCATCATCAACTCTCTTCCAATTATATCACCAAAGGTCTTCCCCTGGATTCAGTTACTCACTTTTCAATGGATTAGAGAAGATACAGGATATCTTCGAAAAAGGGAAAAAAATTAACACTTACCAACACTTTATTCCAGTAAGAGCTATATGTGATGCCTTGGTTTCGAGGTCCCTCAAATCCCTCAGATCCTAAGACAAGGAATTGGGAGCAAGTAATATATTTGGGAGGTGATTCCAAAGAGAATGGTGAGTGTGTGGGAAAGTCAGATCGGAAGGGAGGAGAACCATCACAGAGAGCATGAATGTCCCTGCGTGGGCAACCGGGCCCTCAGAGAGACCAGGGAGAATAATCTTGTGCTTACTGGAAGGGGTTGCTCCCTGCACTCCCAGCCTCTCCTGAACACTCTTGTGGCCACAGAACGCCCTCAAGCAAAGAAATACAGGTACTTGAAGTAGGATACTGTCCATATGTGAATAACCTGTCCACAGAAGCTGCCGGTGACTTCCAGGTGACGGAGGGGTTATGGGTGGAGCATCAGTATTGACATCTTCAAAAAAGGGCCTTCTGTACCAAAAGGAATGCACCCTATAGGAAGATACATCTCCTGTGGCAAATAAATGGAATGTTCCCTAATGTAACATTGTATTTAGAGCCAAACATATAACAGGTCATTCACAACAAAGGAGAAGAACCACAAAAAGAGTTACTCTGAAGAGTAATATGATTCTGTCTCAAATTGGCAAAGATTCTTCTAAATGCTAATACTCAGTGCTAATACTCTTATGACCCAGCAGTTCTGCTCCCAGGAATCTATCCAAAGAGGATAATCAGAAATATAGACAAAATAGCCACCCGTGTTACTTAAACTAGGGCTGAATGGTGGGATGAAAGTGGGAATTAGTCCCCCTCAATGTCTAACAAAAGGAAAGGAATTAAGTTATTATGTTTCATTCATAGGATTGAACATTACCTAGCTATAAAACTGAGGTTTACAAATGACTTAATGGCATGGAAAAATGAGTATGATATAATATTTAATGAAAAGGAATACAAATACATATATGTAAAAATTTAGAATACATAAAAAATAAATTGGTAGTAAAGACATCAAAATATTAACATTGACAACCTAAAAGAAGTTGACTTATGTGTAATTTTTACTTTCTTCTTTATTCTATACTTGCTTTTCTGACTAGAGCATGTATTACTTTTACAATAAAAATTATTTTTAAAATACTTTCAGGACACATTAACAGTTTCATATAAAAATAATATTTTTGTTTCTAATGTTAATGTTTTGTATATTGACAGATATTTCAATCATTTGACTCAGGAAAACCTCTTACTAGTAAAGAAAATATACAGGTAAGTATAACAATATTTTATAAATGTTGGATATTTAGGAAGGATAATTTTTAGTCATTTCAATCTATTTAGTAGGTGTAACCCTTGTTTTTGAAAATCTCCTACATGGGGCGCCTGGGTGGCTCAGTTGTTAAGCAGATGCTACTGGGATCAAGCCCCGCATCAGGCTTCCTGCTCAGCGGGAAGCCTGCTTCTCCCTCTCCCACTCCCCCTGCTTGGGTTCCCTCTCTCGCTGTGTCTCTCTGTCAAATAAATAAATAAAATCTTTTAAAAAAAAAAAGAAAGAAAATCTCCTACATAATATGCTCTTCTATTTCTAATAATGGGATTTTATCTCCAAATGCTGAGGCCCGAGGTAAGATTGGACCGAAACTGATCTGGTTTTCAAAATGAACAAATATCAGTTATTACTTGTAAATTTTTCAATTATGTATATGTATTCATATTGTTTATCTAGCCATGTCAAGTATCTAATTTTAATATTTATCTTGACTACCTAGACGAGAATGGCTGACTTCAATTGTAGGAAAAGGATTTTGTGTGTTTTGCTCTTAGCTCACTTGTTCAATACTGCTTTTACTCACATCCTTTCTCCAGTCTGAGACTGCCTCTCAGTCAGTGGTTTTCTTTTTTTCTCCTTTATTGAAAATAAAAAAAAAATTACAAAAATAAAAAAATTTTATTGAGACATAATTGACATTTAACATTGTATAAATTTAAGGTGTTTGAATGGTTTGATACATTTTCATACTGCAATATGCTTACTACTGTAGTGCTAGCTAATGGAAGGTTTTAATATGACATTTTGTTTTTTTTAACTTTTTTTTTTTTTAAAGATTTTATTTATTTATTTGACAGAGAGAGACACAGCGAGAGCAGGAACACAAGCAGGGGGAATGGGAGGGGGAGAAGCAGGCTTCCCGCTGAGCAGGGAGCCCGATGCAGGGCTCGATCCCAGGACCCTGGGATCATGACCTGAGCCGAAGGCAGACGCTTAACGACTGAGCCATCCAGGCGCCCTTTTTTAACTTTTTTAAAAGATCATTTATTTATTTAAGAGAGAGTGAGTGAGAGAGGGAGAGAGAAGGAGCAGGGGATGGGGCAGAGGGAGAAGCAGACTCCCTGCTGAGCAGGGAGCCTGACATGGGGCTTCATTCCCTCCACTCTGGGATCATGACCTGAGCCAAAGGCAGCCGCTTAACTGACTGAGCCATGCAGGCACCCCCATATGGCATTTTCATAAGAAACTCCTCTAACATCCCAGTGTTCTTTACATAGAAAAGACTAGACTGCCCATCTCAATATGTTTGTTCTTGTCAGTAATTGAATGATTAGGATTTAAGCTTTTGATAACCTAGTAGCATTTAAATGTATTTTTTGTTTGTTTCAAATTTTTATATAAATTCTAGTTAGTTAACATATCGTATAATATTAGTTTCAGGAGTGGATTTAGTGATTCATCACTTACATATAACACCCAGTGCTCATCACAAGTGCCCTTCTTAATCCCTGTCACCCATTTAGCCCATCCCCCACCCTGCCTCCTCTCCAGCAACACTCAGTGAGTTCTCTATAGTTAAGAGTCGGCTTTATGGTTTGCCTCTCTTCCCCCCGCCCCATGTTCATCTGTTTTGTTTCTTAAATCCCACATGTGAGTGAAATGATATGACATTTGTCTTTCTCTGACTTATTTCACTTAGCCTAATACTCTCTAGCTCCATCCATGTCCTGTAGCATTTAAATATCTTGAAATCATTTTTTTAAAATCTTAGGAGTCTTGTCAGTTTGTCCGCTAGAAAGTGTTAGAACAGAGGAGTGGTAGTGCAGCCATGGTTAAGGGGTTACAAACAGATAAGGCATTCACGCAACCAGGTGTTAGTCAATGTAGAGAGACAGATGCACGTAGTTTTAATTTTTTTAAATGCTAGGAAACAGCATTCTGTTTCATGAAGTAAGCTATTTTTATTAAATAATTTTGAGAAACATTTCTCAATATTGCTTTAGTTTTATCTTCCATAATTTTGATAGGCATTATAGCCACCTTTTATTAAATGTAATCTTACTACTTTTCCATTATTGTTCTTGTTATTCCACAAACTTCATTTTTAATTTTGCTTCAGATGATTCATTGTTTGGCCTTAAAATTTGTTTTGATTTATAAGCAAGTTGCCTGCAATGAAAGAATTGGTATTAGGAAGATACACATACATATTCATATTTTGTTTCAGTGTTCAAGACCTTCGGATGTTTAAGAATATTTATTTCTTCCCAGTCATAAATTCCAGGCATCCTAAAAATACTTTTTTTAAGGAGTGTTTTTGGGTATAAAGGGAATGTCTGCCTGATCATTTCTTTTTAAACAAAAAGAGACTGACAGTAAAATGGAAAGCCGATTTCTATTAGCTAATTAATTAAAACAAAACTGTTGGTCTGCTTAAGACTCTTCAGATTACACTTTATATTTTCTGTATAGAGGGCGAGAAATGAGTGTTAAGTAGCATTACTAATTAATCTTGTTTTGATCCTCAAGTGTTTGTGTGTAATTGTCAAGGCTCATTAAGACACTGTTTGCTAGGGAGAAAAAAGAGAAACCTTCTCCCCTCTCCTCACACCCCCAACCAATCTGAAGTTTATCCCCCCCCCCCCCCCCCCCCCCGCCCGATAGAGAACGTCAGCCATTTTCCTAGTATGCAGTTTGTTGCCTGCTCAGACTCAGTGTGGTTCCATGTCTGGTTCTTCTGCGGGTAGTGATTTTCACCTTTTAGAAGAGAGTAGAGAATCAACAACAGCAATGGACTTCTCCACTGCCAGCGTTGCCTCAAACTCTCCCAAACAATGAGACTTTTCTTTTTTAATTCACATAAGGCAAATAGTTTCCCTTTCTTCTAGAATAGACAGCCCCAACATCTGAAATTATTAATTTAACAAATATTGTTAATCCAGCAAATATTTAATAAGAGCATATTGTGTGCAAGGCACTATTCTGGTGCTGTCAAAGAAATACATCAGTCAGTCAGCAACAGACAAACTCCAAGCCTTCAGAGAGCTTAAATTTTAGTGGGAAAAAACATTATAATTAAGTAAATTATATAGTAAGTTAGAAGGTGAACCATGGTAAGGGAGAAAATAAGCCCAGAAGCACATAAAGGGGATTGGGAGCTTGGGGCTAGGTTGGGGGTTGTAGTTTTAAATGAGGTAATCAGGTTAGTCTTAACTGATGTGGCATTTGTGAACAGGTAATGGTGCAAGTTTAGGAAATCTGGAAATTTAGGAACCATCTAGGAAGAGAGTGCAGTGAGTGCAAAGGCCTTAGAGGCAGGATTGCCTAGCTTGGTGAGATGGTGAGGGGCATCTTAGTGTGGCTAAGAGCCCCGTGAATGATGCGGAAGCTGTAGGAGACAGGGTCAGAGAGGTAACGGGGCCAGTTCGAGAAGAGCCTTGTAGGGTCTTTGTAACTTGGGTTCTTTTTCTGAACAGCATGGGGAGCCACTGGAAGGTTTAGAGCAGAGGGGTGGCCTGATCTACCTGTTTAAAGGGATCACTTTAGCTGATCTATTGAGTCTACTGTGTGCTAGGCACTGTTTCAGTGCTGTCAGTCAAACACATCAGTCAATCAACAATACAGACAAATTCCCAGCCCTCATAGAGCTTATATTTTAGTGTGAGTGTGTGTGTGTGTGTGTGTGTGTGTGTGGTTGTGAGGAGGCTGGGAATACAGTTTGGACATGTTGAGTTTGAGATATCTCTTAGATATCCGAGTGGACTATTTGAGTCAGAAGTTGGTTTGACTTTAAGAAGAGAGATTGGAGCTGGAAAGAAAAACTCAGGATTTCATCAGCATTTAGATGAAATTAAAACCATGAGCCTGTTTAAGATCATCTAAAGGGGAAAAAATAAAAGAGATCATCTAGGGGGAGGGAGTAAGGAGAGGGAGGAGGACCAAGCCCTGGGACACTCTGGTGTTTAAAAATATAGGAGAAGAAGAGGAAGCCGCAAGGACTGGAAAGGAATGACTGATGGGATAGGAAAGAAACCAAGAGAATGTGGTGACTTGAAAGCTGAGAGAAACATTTTCAAAAGAGGAATTGATTAATAGTGTCATATTTTGCAGACGAATCAAGCACCACAACTCACTGAGTCTTAAACAGGATCTTTTTTCACATTTAATAGCTCTGAAATTAGAATGCATTTTATAGTTGAGGACCTGTGATGGTTTAATTGGCATATAAGATAATGATGTCTTAGATTAAAAATAACATGGCTTATGAGGACTAAGAATTGAACACTGGTTTAAGGCAAGTACAGGCCATTGGTGACCTTAAAGGGTTTCAGTGTAGGAAATAAGTGGGTTTAAAAACAAATGAAAGGAGAGAAATTGGAATATTGACAACTCTTTAAATCATTGCTATAAAGGAGAGTGAGAATTTGGGTAGTAGCTGGAGAAGGAAGTCAAAGTATAGGCAATTTTTGTTTTTTTAAGATGGAAGAGAAGACAGCATGGTTTGTGCTGATGAGAATGTCTGCAGCAAGGGGACATCATTTATGATGTAGGAGAGAATGAATAGACCAGTGGGGAGAGGATCCATGGCCTAATTGGCAGGAGGGGAGGCAGGGCAGATGCTTGGGTAGGTGGGAGAGATGGAGCTGTAGGGTCTGTGGACACTACTCTGGCTGCTTCAATTTTCCCTCTTAAGTAGAAGAAGCAAGATCATTAGCTGGGAGGAGCATGGGGAGGAAAGGTCAGGATTTAGAAACAGAAAGAACATGAAATGGTTGTCTAGGAGAGAGGGAGAGTGAATGGACTGGGAAAATGTAGAATGATGACCAAGTAGCACTGAGGTTTGGTCTGGATCTTACAGTGGGATGGCTTAGCCTGACTGCATGCTTTTCTTCAGTCTTCTTCAGCTGCAGTATGCACACCTAAAGAAGGTCCAGCTTTGGATTTTACCATGGCTGTTTTTTGCCAAGGACGTGTATATGCACCGGAGAGGGACCAGGGAGTTGACGGGGTGTACACGAGGCAGAGTTCTAATGATTGAGCTTGGCATCGAAGCTGGGTAGGGAGTATGCTTGTCTACCCGTTCTTGCCCCGCTCCTTCCTAGTACCTCTGATTTACTCATGTGAAAGCAGAGCAGCCGGGCGTGCATGGCTGATGAGCTTTTGTGGGTTCTTTATTTTGATAAGACGTTCCCTCCCTTGCTCTCAGCACCAGGTTCACTCCTTATGTGGCAGGGCTGGGCTCATGAGGCACAGGTCACAAACTGGTGGGGAATGGCAGAGGCACTTAGAACTGCTGGGATAGTTCTGACGTTACAGGTCTCCTGCGATAGACCTGTCACTTATGGTACGTCGTGTCTATCCTGTATTCCACCATCTAACACCAAACGGTGAATGCAAAAGGGGATGAAAACTAATATTACCTGAAAATAGTATTTTACTGATTTGCTTTGTTTTCTTCTTTGTTTCATTTTTTTTTTTTTAGGCACTTGATGAATTAATAAGTAAAGGATTGCCTGTAATTCTGGTTACACTTGGCCAGCAACATCTTTTAAATAAGTTTTCTTTTGTTAAAGCATACTTTTTAATAAGTATGGCTGCAACAATAAATCGTGTCCCAGAAAACTCAATGAAAACAATCTACCATGGACTTACTTGTGAGAAGGGTAGAGCCAACCTTCCAAACTTGAAAGGTAATCTTTTGTTTTATTTTTTTTGCTTGTTTTTCTTTCTCCTCTTCTCCAACCGTTTCCACTCCACTCCCAGTAATCCATATGAACAGCCTAGTATATATATATTCCATATTTTTCTCTAATCTCACTTAATGATGCACACGTTAGGTATATGCATATCCGTATCCATTCATATATGTCAGTATTCATAAACTTTTTCATATATATATATGTACAAAATAGGATTTGTCATGTATTTATAAAATGATATATTTTACATTTTTCTGCATCTTGTGTTTCTTACCCAGAAAAACTTCACTAAAACCACTTCAGGTCAACTGCTTTGTTCTGCTTTTCTGGTTCTATAGTATTCTATGCTGCATATCTCACTGTTTATTCAACCATTCTACTGTTGATGTGCATTCACATCAACTTCTAGGGAACAGTGTTGAAGTGCTACATATCCATATCATATAGTGTGTATTTCTATGGGATAAGATGCCCATGTATGGGATTTGTAGGTCATAGTATATACGTATTTTTCAACTGTTTTGGATGTTGCCCTAAGAATAGTTTGTTTTTCACCATTAAGTATGGTGTTAACTGTGGATTTTTTATAGATTATCAGGCAGGGAAATTTCTTTTTTATTCCTGGTTTGTTGAATGATTTTATTTTAAAAGGGTGCTGAATTTTATTAAGTGCTTTTCCTGCATCTATTACGATGATTCTTTTTTTTTATTATTCTGTTGATATGGTGTAGTAAAGTAATTACATTCTTGGGCTAACTCCCATTTAGTCATGGTGTATAAACTCTTTTTATATGTTGCTGGATTCCATTTCCAAGAATTTTACATACTTATTCATTACAGATATTGGTCTGTAGTTTTTCTTGTGGTATCTTTGTCCAGTTTGGATATTGGAGTAATATTGGCTCTGTTTTAAAATGTAACTCCTATTATTATTATTCGGGTATGATGAGGCCAACAGATCAGGAGATGATGGCCACTAAAAACATAGTTTGTTATTTAATCCTCCAAGAGGAGGGGCAGGTTACTACCTGGGAGGGCCACACAGAGAAGCACCAGGGTCACTCAGAAGCAGAGAGAGCAGGAGAAAAACGTGGATCACGCTCTTCCTAATGTCTTTCATGTTCAGATACATCTCCCAGGATTCTTTCATAACAGTCTCCAGGCATTTATTTCTATCTTTCTCTGTCTCTTCCTTACTTTCTCCCTTAGGGGAGAAAACCCAGCCCCAGATCTTTCTGCTGGGCCTTTCCCGATTCTTAAGCCCTCTTTCATACTCAGCTGACCTCTCACTCCAGAACCCCCTATTTTAGGAGACAGCCAGGTAGGTAGGAGTTGGAAGAAGAGGGGAAGGCAAGGATATTCAATTCCATGTTATTTTAGACTTCCTTTTCTTCCTTGACAAGTTTGGTCTCTTTAGGTGGGTATTTTTGGCAGTAATTCCCAGTCGTGTTTTTTTTCCCTTCTCTCTCTCCTGTAGTCTGGAAGTTAGGTTTACTAAAGCAGGCAGAGTCTGTGATCTCAGTTATCACAGTTTTCCCTGGCTCAGAATATGGACGGTCTTCAGATTGTGGTTCGGTATTTTGGGATACTTGTGGATCTAATGGACTGTACTATTTCAAATGGTCTCACTCTCTGCTCTTAGTATGAGAGGCTTATGCAAATCAGTAGAACTGACATTTCCAAGGAGATCTTATTGAAATGTTATGAATATCTGGAAGACCCAAAATACTTTGGGGACCTGAAGGGGTCCTGTGATCCCAGGGGAGGAACCACTACTCTGTATCAGTAGCCAATAATTTAAAGAATATCATCAAGCATCCTTTCAGAATTATCTGATGTGTTGTAAAAATCATCCTCAGTTTTTGAATATATGGTATTTAGGGACCATTTGATAAAATAGTATTTCTAATTATCATTGTGGGTTTTTTAAAATATGAAATGTATGGATGGTTTCCCAACCAATGTTGAGTTTTATAAACTAGAATTAATATTTAAGTTAACCACAGATATCCTTGGTTCTTCCAAAATTTTGTGTCTTACAGAGCTATGTTTAAAGGATGATGGAAGCTCACCTGGTCAGTTTGTAAAAATGAAAGATGACTTCACTTTTAGCACGGTGAAGGTAAGTTTGGAAGATTTTTCAAATCATACTAAATTGGTTACCAAAATGTCCACTAATAGGCCCTGGACAGGCTCACTTTCAGGGCTGTGTTTGCTCTTGGGAGACCAAGTAGCTTTTCTTGCATAAGCATGGATTGAGGCCAGAGATGGAGCCTACTTCTCATGAGAAAATTAGATGCCCAGAGGTTGTCAGACTTTGACTTTACAACCTGATTAAGGCACTGTGGAAAATATGATTCATTATTTGATGAGATTTGAGTATTCCACGCCCTGTGTCTCATTTCCTAATAATAATAGTGATGACAATAGCAACACAAACAGTTACCATTTATTCAGTGCTTACTACATGACAGGCACTTTGCATGATTAATTCTTACAACTCTGTGATGTAGGTGTTAATCATTTTTGAACTATGTTGTGCTGAACCATGAGAAAATTGAGGCTTAGAAAAAAATTCACTAATGCCACTCAACTAATAAAATACAGATTGTGTTCTTAACCATTATACTAAGTTGTCCCAGTACTTATATAATATTTACTGTACAAACAAGTTTTTAGAGACCTGTTTCTTGGAAGATTGGCTGGTCCCATTTTCCTCTGCCATGCCAGGCTGCTATTTACTATTGATTGTCAATTGTAAAATCTCATTATCTTCACATTACCAGGTAGATGACCATAGTTTAACTTGAAATCCAGCCAATTCTCATTATTCCCAGATTCACTAATTGCTAATTTGCCTATCTGCTAAAATTTACTCATAACTCCAGAATTGATACTCGTGGCTCATTTGTGGTCATTTGTGAACATCACAGAGCACAGAAAAATTTGAGTTGCCCAACACACACATTCCCAGCTGAGTTGGGCAAGGCAGTGCTCTGACTTTTTGTTTCTACCCTCATACTGTAGACAAGTATCCCTTCCATGGTCTATTTATTGCCATATTTTTTTTTTGCATTTTTGTGCTTTTCGTTGGTGATTTCACTGTTTGAAATGGCCCCTAAGCATAGTGCTGAAATACTGTTTAGTATTCCTAAATGTAAGAAGGCTGTGATGTGCTTTATGGAGAAAATAAATGTGTCAGATAAACGTCAGGCTTGAGTTTTAGAGCTGTTAGTTCAAGGTTAGTGAATTTATGGTATATATTAAATAATGTGTCTTTAAATATAAACACACACATTAAACAAAGTTATGTGTGGATCAGTTGGCAAAAATGTTGTGACCCGAGGCCAACAGGAACCTATCCTTGTATTACCTCTAGGAGCAATGCTTTAGTATTTGCTAATTCAGTATTTGCAGCCACTTTATGGAAGAGTTTAAATACTGTGAGTAATGAGCGTTGGCTGTGCCTACAATAAAGGGTAACTGTGATACATGCTTACTCTTGCCATTACCCTCCTTTCCATTTCCTGTTGCCTTTTTCCTGTTTGCTGAGCACTCTTCTCTGATGATTATGTTCAAATTTCCTATCTGGTCTTCCATTCATTGTTACTTTTCTCAGTACATGAAAAACACCTGGATGAATAAGGGTGAGATATTACTTGTATTGTTTCTGAACTTACGTGGTTATGTGGTGCTCTTTCTTTAGTCGATTTTACTGACAGAAGCTGAGGACAGACTAAACTTCCTTGTGTCAGAGATAGAGCATCCAGGCCACAAGAACCTCTCTCAGTGTTGTGCTGGTGAGTTGGAGATTGTGGTGGAGGCCAGGCTTCAGCTGGCGGCAATCGCCCTGCAGAGACACCGGGCGGCATACAGGTGAGTCTCTTTAGGCACAGAAGAGAATTTCTTCCTCACCCTAATTTGTCAAATACACCTAAATCTTATGTGAGTTTTATAAATTCCAGTATTAATAGAGCTTACTTGTGTTTTCTTTTTCAGGGGAGTTTTCATATATTATTACCCTTAAAACTACAGTTCTAAACAAAATGATTGCTTTATTAAAGCATACAGCTAGGATGTTTTATACAAAGAATGAACAAATTAACAAAGCTTTGCTTTTTAATTTTATTTATTTATGTATTTATTTTTTATTTTTTAATTTTAACTGCAGTATAGTTAATATTAAAAACAAGCTCTATTATTAAAAAGTAACATTTTCTGAATTATGTTTTGCTAAACCATTTAAGAAACAGTTTTGGGTAGATGATTATTTAAATGTTATGTAATTGTTAGTGTCAGATCTTTCATTTGACTTGTTCATTGATTCACTCATTTACCCAACCAGTATCCTTTAACTACTTCACTGTTAGGCTCTGATCTAGACACTGAGGATATAGAGATGAATAGAATATAGTTCCTGTATCCATATGCTGAAAGATATATAAACAATTAAGTGGGATAATAAAAAAATATATAGACCTATATTTTCAAGAACTTCTCATATCATTTGTGGTAAATACCTCTATTGTGTGGCCGTCTGACATTTCAGTAATGATTCTTTGAATAATGCACAAGTTTATTATCTTACCATTCATTAATTCATTCAAAAAATAATTTGGGGGACCTACAATATGCTAGTTACTGTTCTAGGTTCTTGAGATATATCAGTATCCCAATACTGGATATATACTATATAGGCAAAATATTTAACAATATTGAAAACAACCCTACCCTCATGGAGTTTATAAGAGGTAATAAAGGCTGACAATAAACTATGAGCTTAATAAGCAGGTAAATTATATAGTATGGTCAGAAATGATACATGATACAGAGATATCGGGAGTAGAGATGGGGGAGGAGAAGGAGCTATCGTTTTAAAATTGTGTGGTTATAATAAAGAGTATGCCTCCAATTTGATGTTCAATGGCTGACAGCTTTCAAGCCCCACCACTCCCCCTTCTGCCCCACATCTGGGCAGGCAAATAAGAAAGCCCAGCTGCTTTCTTTGTGAGAAAAAGAAGCATAGCTATAGCTTTTGCAAAGGGGAAACCAATTCAGCAGAAATCTCACTTTGCTTTGATTAGAAACATACAACCGTCTCATCAGTGTGAGCCTTGACCGAAGACCGTCCCATGATTAACCACATCTAAATTTGATTTTATGCTAGAGCAGTGTAGATTTTTGGACATTTATGATTTTTGTGGTTTCTAAACAGTGATGAAAATCCATTTAGTCCATTTTGGAGCAGTGACTCTCAAAATGTGGCCTACAGATTTTGAGGGGAGTCTCCAAGACCCTTTCAAGGGGAACTGTATGGTCAGAACTATTTTTATAACAAACCTAGGATGTCATTCACCATCTTCATTGTGTTGTTATTTGCACTGATGCTCCTGGCATCTCACTGGGAATCACAGCAGTGGCACCAAACCGTACTAGTGGTCGTTGCATTCTTTACTGCCGCACACTTGCAATTAAAAAAAAAAAAAAAAAAAAAAAAAAAAAGCAGGGGTGCCTGGGGGGGTGGCGCTGTCGGTTAGCATCCAACTCTTGATCTCATTACAGGTCATGGAACCTACCTAAAAAAAAAGGGCCTAGTTTCATTTAAGAATGCCTTTGATGACCCAGTAGAATCTGTGTCATTTACAAATCCCGATCCTTGAATATATTTTTAATATTCTGTGGAAATATTAAATGGGAAATACCTCTAAAGCATCTTTGCTGCATATCAAAGTATGGTGGTTGTCTTGGGGAAGAACACATACGTGATTGAAATGAGAGCCGAAAAAGGAGTTTGTCTCATGGAACACTGTTTTTATTTGAAAAACCAACTGACAAACTGGTTTTTCAGACTTGGGTATTTTGACAGGCATTTTATTGAAAATGAGCAAAATGAACATGCCACTTCTAGGAAAACAACAAATAGTATTTGTTGCTAATGATAAAATCTGAACTTTTGGTCAGCGGAGAGTGCAGGCGGCTTCGTGGTGGGCTCTGGGGAGCCGAACGCGGCAGCCATGCAGGCCCTAGACGACGGCGACCGCAGCGGCAGCGAGGCCCGCGAGGCCGGTGCGGCGGGCGGAGCGGGCAGAGCCCGCGGCCAGGACCGCCAGCCTCGCCCCGGAGCTCCTGGTTGCCAGGGGCGCTCTGGCAGCCCCATCAGCCCTGATGGGGGCCCCGGCGGTGGTGAGAGAGCAGAGGGCGAGGCGGCCGGTGCCCCTCCTCAGGCCGGGCAGGCACCACAGGCCCTGGGGCCTGGTGGGGATGCGGTGCCCGTAGCTGTGGCAGCGGCAAGCCGACTGCTGGAGTTCACGCTCACTGTGCCTTTCCGGTCACCCCTGGAGGCAGAGAGGGCCCGCAGGTCCCTGGCCCCACATGCCCAACGCCACCAAGGGGTGGTTCAGAAGGAGCTTAGAGTGAAGGGCAGCGCCCTGGCCGTTAGATGGACTGCTGAAGACCCCCGTCTTCTTCCGAATTTCGATCAACTCCTTCCTCGACTGGCTTTCCCTGGTGATCCGAAACATTCGGGGCTTTGGGTCCCCTCCTCCAGGAAGCCGAGGCCCAGGAAAGGGAGCTGAGGCCTAGTCTTGTGCCCCCTACTAGGCAAGGCACAGGGAGTTGGTACTTGGAGTTAATTGCCACTTTGTTATCAGGGTTTAATTTTTTGCCCGTAGGGGCCCTTGGTCCACTTGATTTCTTTCCCTGTTGCTAGAGGAACGGGCCCTTGTTTGTTACTGCAGAAAATAAAACTGAGCTACCAAAAAAAAAAGAAAAAAAAATCTGAACTTTTGTAGGGAAATGAGAATTTTGGAAAATTTCTATTTGCTTGACAGTTTTCTAATGCTTATATAACTGTTCTGAAGAGATTGGTGGTAATTAATATTACAAGCATCATTTTTAAAATTTATATAAAGAAATGTTTCAACATCAAGGGGATTTGCATAACTCAGGGAGTTAATATTTTCCAAATCAGTGGATAATGTTCCAAAATCCTGGGTAACAAGATAGACCAATAGGTTCTAATGTAACAGAGGAGGAAATTTCATCAGTGTGTGATATTAGCTTTCACATTGTAAGAGACTTTTAAAAAACTATCACTTGTCACATTTTGGTATAGTATCAAAGAAGAATATTCACAATTATTTTAAAACGATATGAAAATACTCTTCCTATTTCCAATAGCTATCTCTGTGAGGCTTCATATACTTCAATCAAAACAATATGTCACAACAGACCATAGAAGCAGATATGAAAGTCTCCTATTAGGTAGATTTTCTCTTATTTAGCCAGACATTAAAGAGATTTGCAAAAACGCAAAATGATGCATTCTTGTCACTATTTTTGTTGTTGTTTTGGGAAATATAGATGTTTTCATAAAAATGCATTATTGATGTGCACATGTAATGGGTTTATTGTCTTTATTTTAAAATGAATAAATAGTAATGAAGTTAAAGTTCCAATATGGTAAATATTGATGGAACTCTGGGGATTCTCAATAATTTTTAAGGATATAAAGAGTGCTGAGCTAAACAAAAAAAGCTTGAGACACACTGATTTGAGAGTACTGTTACATTTGTAGCTATTTTTAAGAATACAGTGGTAGTTGATTGATAGTAAATGGACTTATTAGCACAATAATGTACCATTTTCCCTTTTGAAGTTTGAAGAGAAGGAACTTTTACTAGGTGATTTATTAATAGAAAATATACCTTGCATACATATATATATATATATATATATATAAATGTATAAATACATCGTCTCCCTCGCTCTCTAAAACATGACTATATGATTTCCTATAGAAGAATATAGAACTCTTCTCCAGACTATTTTAGAGAGCAATAGCTGTCCCAGAAAATGATTCTTACTGTTTACCTTCCGTCCCCAGCCCTCCACATGTCTTACACTCATGGAAGACATGAGTGATTTTTTTTTTTTTTTTAGGAAGGAAGAAGGAAACAAGAAAATAAAATTACAAAATGGCCACAGAAAGGAATGTCATTACAGAACTTTAATTTGAAAACCAGATAGACATACGCAAATAATGTTCAAGTGTATCAGAATCGCTCCTATTTTAAATACATGAACCTGGCCCTTGGGACAAAACCTGCAAAGACTTTGATGTTATTGCCTTTTTGCTGTGGAGTTGTCATTTGGGGAAGCCTACTGTCAAGATGAATGAGTTTTTCTTATGTGAACTTTACCCCCCACAAGCTTCTGTTTGGGCGCTGCTGAGAGTGTTGGACAGTCCCTTTCCCAAATGATGGTTAGCTTGACATTTTATGATACTTCTAATAAAATTATGTGTCAAGGAAACTGAAAGGCACATTCCCTAGGGTGACAGGTAGAGTGAGCTGCATGGATTTTATGAGAACAAACTGACCATTTTTGTCATGAATGTTAATAAGAAATAAATGGGATCAGTTATTCCAACTGTATTTCTACTTCTTTTAGGGATGTCTCTCTCAGAGTCCTATCTTTTTTTTTTTTTTAAATAAGTTCCTTTCCATTCTCCTTTATATTTGATTTATTGTCTAAATGGGATAACATTTGAGCCTTTTAATTTTGTGTCAGAATGAAACCTCCTTCCTTGGGGATTTTAGAGTTTATAGTGAGTAATCCTCCTACACTTTCTGTCTTTCTGATGGAGAGCAGAAACTAGAAATTTTCCATTGCGCACCTACACGGCACCAGGAGGATTAGGACATACTAGCATGTTTATATTTTATTCATTAGGTTTTTGGGTTAGCAACATTCCAAACCTCATACCTCATTTCTCTTGAAGTCAGAATTTAGCCTTCAGAATCAGAACGATGGGGTGGGCACCACGTCCGTCCTTCTTCCCAGGCCCTCTCGGAACCATCCAGTGCTCACCTCTGAAGCTGCGCAGGAAACAAGGGACCTCCGAAATTGGTGTGAATGCTTGAGTGGGGAAGCATGTCAGGGAGAGGAAATTGCATTCCCATATACGTAGTCAATCTGTGTTACATCTTTTGTTGTTTTCTTGCTGTTTGTTTAATTTTATTTTATTTTAAAGTAAATTTTATTTATTTATTTGACAGAGAGAGAGACACAGCAAGAGAGGGAACACAAGCAGGGGGAGTGGGAGAGGGAGAAGCAGGCTTCCCGCCGAGCAGGGAGCCCGACGCGGGGCTCGATCCCAAGACCCTGGGATCATGACCTGAGCCGAAGGCAGACGCTTAACAACTGAGCCACCCAGGTGCCCCCGTTTTCGGCTTTTAATACAACATATAGACAAAAAAGAGGGTTTAAAAATATAATTTAAAAGTTGAGTATATGTACACACTCTGGGAACCTACAAACACTGTATCTTCTCACAAGCACCCATGGACACGTATGAAGCTGATCTTATACTCGGCCAGAAACCTCAGTAACTGACCCGTAGGAAGAAGTGTACCGACCACAGTCCAGGGACACAGGAGGCCTCAAACATATATGGAGGGAGGTGGTAGGATCTGATTTGCCTCTTGATGGGGTCGCTGTGGCCGCTGTGTGGAGAACAGAGCTGCAGGGACAAGAGCCAGAGAAGGAAGCCAGTCAGGAAGCTCCCATTCATGCAGCCTGGAGATCATGGTGGCTTGGATGAAGGCACTAGCCCTGGAGGAGGTGAGGAGCTGCTGGCTGGTACCCATATGTTGAAGGTGAAGCTGACAGAACTTGCTGATGGGTTGAATATAGAGCAAGGAAGCAATGGTGATCTGGACTCTGCCTCTGGGACGGAAGACAAAGAAAGAGGGGCAGGTTTGGTGTAGGAGGCAAAAGCCAGGGGACCTGCTTTTAACCTATTCTATCAGTTTCCTAGGGCCACCATAACAAAGCACCAATAGCATTTTATTGTCTCATGGTCCTGGAGTCAGTGCTCCAAGATCAAAGTGTCAGCAGGGCCAGGTTCTATCTGAAGGCTCTAGAGGAGAAGCTTTCCTTGCTTCAAGTACCTTCTGGTGTTTGCCTGTAATCCTTGGCATTCCTTGGCTTGTAAAGGCACAACTCCAGTCACGTGGCTGTCTTCTCCCTGTGTGTCTTCGTGTCACCTTCCCTCTGTGTATATCTGTCTATCTGTCCAAATTTCCCCTTTTTATACGAACAGTGGTCATATTGGAATAGCGTCCACCCTAATGACCTCATTTTAACTTGATCATTTCAGATTACCTCCATTCTGAGGTACTGAGGGTTAGGATGTCAACATACCTTTTTTTTTTTTTTAAAGATTTTATTTCTTTATTCGAGAGAAAGAGAGAGAGAATGCACCTGAACTGGGGGAGGGGCACAGGGAGAGGGAGAGAGGGAATCTCAAGCAGAACCCCCGCTGAGCGCAGAGCCCAACATGGGGCTCAGTCTTACATCCCTTGGTTCATGACCTGAGTCAAAATCAAGAGTCTGATGCTTAACCAAATGAGTCACCCAGGTGCCCCCTTTCTTTTTTCCTTCCTTCTTTCTTTTTTTTTTTTTGAGAGGACACAGTTCAACCTGTAACACCTGTTAAATATGATAATTAACTATTCAAGTGGGGACTTAGATAGATAGGTATATTGTCCATTTGGCTTTCGCCCAGTTCTTTCCATGTTATAAAATAATGCTACAAAGCATCTTCAGGTATACAGCTTGTTCTGCATTTTGGATTTCATTTTGGAATAGATTTTCAAAAGAAGAAGTCTCTCGATATATGTTATTAAGGTATTTTGAAGAAGTGTGATATCAGTTATAAATTGGTTTAAAGTGCAGACAAACTTATGTATGGAGCAACAGGAAGTCAGGAGAATTCCTATCTCCTAACTTCTGTTTTCTTACTTTAGTACATCTGCCTTCTGGTACTTCTAGACACTGATTAAGCAATAATTTAGTGTAAGAGTTTCTAAGTGTATAGCTTTAAGTAACAAAGTTCTATAACTTTGAAAGACTGGAGAACCACATTGTGATACATATGAAATGCATATGTGCTCATTTTATTAATGAGATTGTCAGTACTAATAAGATTTAAAATATATTTTCTCTTTTAGTGCTGCAATAGTATTTTCCACACTTAGACTTATCCAGGATTCAAAACTTTTTAAAAAGAAGGGAGTACAAGATGACACAGAGAATTCTGTCTCTCCAGGAGCTTCTGTATGTATGAATTTAATGTTTCTCTTTACAATACTTACTATATAATAACTGTTAGCATGCTAGGAAATTGCCTAATTATTTGGATGAAATAAAAGGGTAAAGTAGAAAAAACTTTGAATTCAGGGTAGAAAGGTAAGTGTTGAAGCCCCACTTATGCTCTTCATTTAGTGGTATACTTGGGCAAGTCCCTTAAACTTAAAAAATTTTTTTTAATTAAAAATTTTAATTTTTCATTTAAATTTAATTTGTGAACTGATGGAATTGAATGTAATAATGACTAAGGGCCCACCAGATACATCATTCCAGTATTCTAGAACTGATTTCTTTAGCAAATAAAGTTGTTTCACTTTATTTGGCTCTTTATTTCATTTTTGAATTTATTACTTCAGCATCACCAGTATGACACCTGCGTTATTTCCTACCTTGGATTTCTCATAGATAATTCTTCCACATTAAAGCTCTGAAATCTGTTTGACGACCGGTGTCATGAATTCTTTGACATTTTACTGGAGTTTGATAAGACCAAGTAATTTAATAATAAAGTGTTGTTTAGGATTAAAACATAAAGATTCATCACATAGAATCCTTGCTCATTATTTTAAGCTTTACTAATAAAATTGCTAATATCTAGTGTCATTACAAATAAGCAAAACTAATTATCCTAAATAGAAACTCATTTCTTACTATATTAAAAGCAATAAAAATGCTAAAAAGCAATCTAATTCAAAAATTGACTTAGAGGAATGGTTGTCAATTGGGGGCTGTTTTGCCTCCCAGGGGTTATTTGGCAACATCTGGAGACATTTCGGTTGTTACAAGTAGAGAGGGTTCTCCTGTCATCTAGTGCATGGAGGTCAGGGGTGCTGCTAAACATGTAATGTCCTCCACGGCTACCCATAGTGCTGAGGTTGAGAAATCCTGATTCAGATTAAGTGTGACGTGGCTCTTCAGTAGTCACAGGAACTGTAAGCGCTGAGAGATTAAGGTATGTGGATAGGCATTTTGTCCTGTATTGCTAATCTAAATCCTAGACTTCTGGAGTACTTGATGTGCCCATTCTAGTCACCGTCCTGCCTTGAGGCCTCTGTTCACTTCTTACTCTGTTCCCAGTGCTGGCTTACCCTCCCCTTCTGTGCTTCCCACCTGTCTCTCCACATTCCAGCCTCCCCCAAGTCCTGATGGCCGCTCCTTGATATTACGTATTGCCGATTGATTGGAGCTGTCAGAGATGCATAGCAGGAAATTCCTAGAACAAATGGGCATTGTTCTAGATGATTTTAAAGTTCCCAAATGTCTAAAATGGATTCCCCGCCCCCACTTGGGAAAACTTGCCTTTGTCCTTCCCTCTCAGGAGCTCTGAACATTGGTCACCCCTTTGTAAAGTACAGTAATGAAGATGGGAAATCATTTATAATACATCTTTGGAACGTGAGCAACATACAACAGTGGATTAAGACTGGGGGTTCTAAATTCAGAAGGACACAAGTTTGAATCCTACCTCTGCCAAAACTTAATGGCGTTTAAGTAAATATTTTTTTCTTCTTTTTTTAATTGTTATGTTAATCACCATGCATTACATCCTTAGTTTTTGATGTAGTGTTCCATGATTCATTGTTTGCATATAACACCCAGTGCTCCATGCAGTATGTGCCCTCCTTAATACCCATCACCGGGCTAACCCATCCCCCCACCCCCCTCCCCTCTAGAACCCTCAGTTTGTTTCTCAGAGTCCATCGTCTCTCATGGTTCGTCTCCCCCTCCGATTCCCCCCTTCATTTTTCCCTTCCTGTTATCTTCTTCTTCTTTTTTTTTAACATATATTATTTGTTTCAGAGGTACAGGTTTAAGCAAATATTTAATCTTCCTAGGTCTCCATTCTCGCATCTGTAAAACAGAAATAATAACTCCCCTTTGGCTTTTCAGCAAGATCAAATAAGATAATGTGTATAAGATACTTGGCATAGTGCCTGGAACATAATAAATACTCAATAAGTATTAACCAGCGTTATTTATTTTTTCAGCCATTAAGATAATGTTTACAAAATTTTTGAGGACATAGATACCGCTGATAATATAATTTGCAATGAAAAATTCAGAGTGCAAAACTATTTTCTACAATGGGTATAGAAAGTAAAAGAAAAGTTGAAAATCAGTATAACCAAATATTAATAGAGGATGGCGGGATTGTGAATGATTTTATTTTGTGTGTGTATTTTTTACATTTTATAGAATGTGCAAGACAGATATCCAAAATTAAAAATTTAATAGTATTAAATGATATCAGACACTTCTCTTAACATTTAGCATTAGGCTAGACCTTTAACATTATTAAATGGCAAGATAACCATCATTTTCGTACTGTTTAGGCTACTGAAAATAAAGATGATAACGAGTTTTTAGATCCTGTTTCCCTAAATTCTCGAGAATATTTCAACATTCATCTCTGGTTGAGGTGCCGCTTAGCACTGGTGACTGCGTTTGTTGCACAGATTCATGGCATTGGAATGGTGACAGGTACAAATATCCTATTTTCTTAAGCCAAGTTTTCATAAACATTAGTTTTACTCAGGTAATGGAGGTTTTATCGAGATATATTTTATTATTATAACATTAACATTTTCTAACTTTATAGTTTGATCTGTTTCCAGAATAAAAAATTCATGTCCTTAAACAAGAATAATCATGTCAGTAGTCCCTTGTATCACTGAAAATGACATCTAGGTTTCTGATGTATGCAGACCAGGCAAGGAGATCAAAATACTAATGTGCAGGTCTTGTCATTGAGGGAGGCAGCATAGTGTAGGGGTCCCGAGCACAGGCTTTGGCTCCAGGTACTTGTTCTGGGTTCAAATGTTCGGTCCACCACATTCTCCCTGTGTGATCTTGGTCAAGTCTCTTAATCCCCCTATGCCTCAGTTTCCTCCTCGGTAAAAATGGAAATAACTGTACCTCCTTCTGAGGGTTTTTATCAGTCTTAAATGGGTTAAATTTATAAAGATTTAGGTTATAGCCTGGCACATATACATGTTCTTGCAGTGACTGATAAGTATCTATTTGTAAATCTGTCTATCCACCCATCTCTACCCATCTTCAACATTAATTTTTTTCATGTAGCATCCTTACCTTTGCAGCACTGGCGTACCCTAAAGTACTTTCTCCTAAATTGCAACACATTTATTTTTCATGTTTCATGTAGAGTCTGTTTTCCATCTTTATATCTTCCTGTTTTTCTGTATTATACAATATTCCTGTGATGAACATTGGGGGTGTTATGCATATGTAATTTCTTACTTTCCCGGGGTACTTTAAATAACTGCATTTATTTACTTTAGAAAACGATATGATAGATTACGTCAGCCTCATCAATGAAGTGTGCGAGGAGGCAAAAAGTGCAGGTGACAGGGAGCTACAGGCCGAGTTCTTAATGCAAGCTGTAATCATTGGCCTCCAAGAAAAGCATCTAAAGGCAGACATCATAACCAACCTTCAGGTAGGAAGGAAACCTCGGGCACATTGATATTTAGCTACTGATTCTGATTAGAACAAAAGGAGAGAATCTTAAATTCCATTAGGTGCTAAATGCATAACAGTTTGGCCAGCTCTTGTTTCAGTGAATTGGAAATGGGACTATCAAAAGGAATAATTTTATTTTAATAGGCGATAATACATTTGCTTGAAGAAAGTGAATTTATTTCTCCTCGATCTCATTTAACCCTGGTGAGAAGCATGCTTTTGCTGGATGACTTAACAAAAGCCGAGAAATTCAAGGAAACTCCTTTAAAAACAGAAAAATTACATTTGTTGATTCAGTCTCACAACATTCTTATTGAACAGGTGAGCATGCTTTTGTGTCCTCAAGACTTGGAAACTTATTTTTCTATCTTCTTATTCCAAACTATGTTAGCTAGTTACTAACTACAATGTTCCTTCTACAGATGCTAACTTTTGGGGAGACAATTGAATTTCCTTTATCAAACACTGACTATGCAAGTCCATTACAGCCTTTGAAAAATATCTATCTTCCTCATGTCATGTTATTGGCCAAAACAAAAATGAGAATTGGTAAGAACACTTAAACCTATATTAGTCTCAAGTCGCTGATGAAAAATTTTTATTTTCAGGCAGGTTGTCATAGGAGTGCATTAAAATGGGGCAATATTTATGAATACCTAGGCTCCGTTTATTTTAACAAATAGTTTTTGATTATTTACCATGTGCCAGACTCTGTGTGAGGTCCTGGGAAGTTACTGGAGATTAAATGGATATAGTCCCTGATCTTAGTGTGGGAGACAGAAATAAGCAAGTAAACAAACCATATGGAGAAGTGCATATTATATTATAAATATTAACATTTGTAAAATATTTCTAAAATTTTGTAAACATTTATAAAATTTGATAAGATAAATATTGTATAAAATAAAATGTTTATTTGATAACTACCAGACAGAAAATCGATGAGGATATAGAAAGCTTATGTATGGTACTGAATTATGTATAGGTATGTAGTTATAAATCGTGGTCAGTTTTATGAAAGATGTGGATGAATTCTGCTGATAAAGAATAGTGAAGGGAGCGATGCCTATTTAAGTAGAGTCATTGGGGCAGAGCACTCTGGGGAAGTGGTATTTAACCCTAAACCTTAAATTGCAAGTGACTGGTTCTGCACGGTAGAGGCAGAGAGAGCCTTGAGTTGTATGTAGGTTCTGAGGTCCAGGACACGCTTGACCTAGTCTAGAACTTTGGGAAACCAGTGCAGCCTGATGAGAGTGGACTAGGAGCCGCCTCATGGGAGGAGGCGAGCTGGGATGGTTTATGTTTCAGAAGATTACCCTGGCTGCTGGGTGAAGACTAGATTGGGAGGGTAGCCTGGAGCCAGCCACAAGTGCGCCTAATGGGAGTTGTTGGAGCAGGAAGCAGGAGGCGTACAGCCCTTGGGAACCAAAGTGGAACCAGCCGGTGCTGTCCTCCTCAGGAGCTCACAGATTTTTCAAGCTTTCTCTGGGACACCGTCTCTGGTCTTTGACTCAAGGCTGCCTACCTCTAGCCCCCCAGCTTTTGCCCAGTTCAGAGGGCAGAAAACCTGGTAGCAGCTCTCTCTTCTAACCTATATTAATCCTGCCTTTTTAGTTTCTGTATGTCTGATGCTTTGACATCTGGGGCCCTGCTGACCAAGGAGGGACTTCCCAGGGCTAGCCAATTCCTAGAGATTAGCTGACCACTGTCCTGTAAGCATGCCTTTTATATGCAGATTATTCCAGAGCCCATCCTCTGAACCGTTATTGGGCTCCCTTATTGTCCTTTGTTGGGCTCTGCCATGCCAAGGCACGATTTTCCTGCCCTAATCACCCAGGGGACAAGTATCAGACTACTAGCAGAGCCCACTGAAATTATTCAAACTAGCCAGTCGTAAACCTGCTTGGCCTGCTTACCCTAACCTGGTCAGCCCCTCCTAAAATCCAGAATAAATGTTCTTGGCCACATTCTCCCCTTGCTCCTGCCTGACTCATGTGCTTTCCTCTTTGGGGTGGTGTGCCCCATCCTCTTGGGAAGTGTAAGTAACAGACTGTCTTTTCAGTGGTAGTTGTCCCCTGGCCTGCTGACCTCATCACACCTGAGCAGTAATAAAACCTACATTTTGAAACATTACCCTTCACCTCTTGGGGCCCATTTGCCTCCTGTCCCGGCGGCTGCTCAGTTTAGGCTGACGGTTAGACTAGGATGGAGAAGGGAGGGCAACAGAGGTGTGGTCAAATCACCATCTGTCCAGAATCTTCTCCCTTCTGCTCCTCCCCCTCATGACTACTGGTTGTGATTAGTGTTACTATATGATTCATCATCATCATCATCAGAGAGGAATTTTGCTATTTTGGGTAAATTGCATCACCTCTACATTGCTGAGTTGCCTTATTTATGAAATTCGGCTGGCCTAGCTGACCTCTAGAATTCCGTCCAGCAATTTGATCCCAGGAGAGCTATTTTTGTGCACTTTTGGTCCACAGTTTTTGTTATATTATCAGTATATTCGATTGCTTCAAGAGCTTAAAGTACAGATTGTGTTAAATCAAATGTATTCTCTGCTTTCATGACTTCCTAATCTTGAAGATGTGTCACCACTCAGTGACAATGGTGCCACCATTTTTTAGACTCACTTGAGGCAGAACAGCTTGCTTTCTGTTATATTATATTAAATACAGACTTAAAAAACAAAACCAAAAGCAGATTTTCTGTCAAAATAACATCAGTTTCACAACTTCTTTTTCACAGAGTTGCTATTTATTGGAAACAGGAGCACTTCAATATTATGAAGCATAAAATCATCTGATCTGATGCTTTCTTGACAGTTCTCCTTTATAGTGAGCATATAGATTGCATCACAAGAATAGAGCCACTTAAGTAATTGTTTTTTCTTTGTGAAAGCCTCTGACAGAAAAAGGCACTTTGAGATTGTTTTTCTAAAACCAAAAATAAACATCATGGTTACTTGAGATGATTTTTCCAATTAATGGCTAAACCTTGAGCTTTCTCATAAGATGAAAAAGTAGATTACTGATTAATTGTATAATAGGAGTGAAGAAAGTTACAAGAATGATGCTGGGGAGTGGGGATGTAAGAGGGAACCAGTCACCATCTCTGCCCTCACAGAGGCTGTTATCCCGTTAGGGGGACAGCGAAAGGAAACTGTCGGTAATTTCTGTAACAAGTCTCTTCCTAATTTTCACAAAAATCTAGAAGACAATTCAAGTACTTTTATTATATATTAATACTTTATTATATATAATACATACTTCATATATAGTACATGAAGATACTTGTTATTGTCTTATATTAATAAGCAGCTGTAGTATAATTTGAAACAAGAAGTGAGACACATAAAAATAGGAGCTGTGTTGAAATATGAGGTTGTATTGGACAGATGATGTTAGCATATCCTTGCCTGGGATCCACTCACAACTGGTCACTGTCGGGGTGAAGAGCACGGACTCTGGAGGAAGATTTCTGTCCACTTTCTTTGGGCAGGTCACTTGAACTTCTCTGTGCTTCAGCTTCCTCTCTCATAAAGTGTGGTTAAGAAAAATACCAATCTCACAGGCTTGTTGTGGGATGAAGTGAGTATGTACCTTGTCAGAAGGGTACCTAGTTCGTTCTAACAGCTTTGTAGGTGGTAGCGATTCTCACTGTTCCATGCGGGGCCTCCTTGCTCTCCTGGGAGCACCCTGGAAGCAATGCTCAGTTTCTTCATCTCCATCTTCTCAGCAGCGTGCTACCAACCTGCCTTCTCCAGAGTCAGGGCTCCGTACTGTCTCCCTGGATAAGAGAGAGAGAAAGAGGGAGAGATATACTTTTTCCACCATCCTTCCTTTCATTTCTCAACTGAAAATTTATAAAAAGTTCTTGGTTTCTTGAAAACTCTTTGTAGGGCATAGCATTTTGGAATTGAGAAAATTTCAGAACCCAAAGGGACCTTAGATATTTTCTGGTTCTCCTGCCTCACTTTTCAGAGGAAGACACTCAAGACCCAAGAGGCATGTTGGGACTTGTTCAAGGCCTCAAATGACATGGTAGCACCAGTGACCAGCTTGAACCCACCACTTCAGCTGGGACCCAGCCGCTGTATCATTCTGCAATCCCACACTATCTTCCTGTTTATATTTCTCCACTGTGCTGTTGAACTTTCCCATCAATAAGTATTTTCCCCCATTGCCTTCTACTCTTTATCTCTACATTTTCCTTTTGTAAAATTACCAAAAGACAAGGCAATCATCAGCTGCCAGCCCCAACAGCCACATTCCCTGGGAAGGCTTCCCTAGCCTTTCTGGGGTCTGGGCGAAGGCCCCTGTAACCTGCCACCACGTTGCCCTGTGCTTTCCCTGCTACATAGTTGACCACACAGTATTTTAATTGCTACTCAGGACATTCTCATTCCCCATTAAACACTAAGCTCCACCATCTGACTCTTGTCATAGTTTAGAGTGTGGGTCCTGGAGCCTGACTTGCCTCAGTTCTAATCACAGCCCAGCTACTTACTAGTCACGTGACGTTGGGCAAATTACTCAAACCTCGCTCTGCCACTGCTTTCTCTCCTCTGTAAAAGGAGTGTACTAATGAAATCCAGCTGGAGTTGGGAGGATTACATGAGAAAATGCTTAAGTCCTTGGGAGGGTACCTGGATTGTAGAAAGCACTTAATAAACCTGAGCTCTTATTTTTCTCTGTTCTCATTTTTTTTTCCAGTGCCTCCTATTTTATCCAGCACTTGGAAAATACATGCTAAATCGATGTCTGTCTGTCTGTCTGTCTGTGAGCGCATACAGATTAAATCTAATGCCTCTTCAACAATACAGCAGTCCTTCATTATGTTAAGTGATGATGGGACCACACAAGAAGTATAGCACATGGCCCTTATCCAAATAGCTTTTTCCATCTAGTTGCAATGACAAAATATGCATAGCAAGCAACCGCTAATAGAGCTGAATAGAAACAAAATTACTGCCTATTAATATATGCAAATTTTTATTGGGAACAATATAAAACTTCATAAAACTTCCAGATGTTTCCCTGCTAACAGCCTCATCTTAGGAACACAGTTGTTTTGTAGAACATAATGAAATTTTAGAACTGAAAGAGACTGGAGAAATTATCCTTCATTTTAAAAATGAGAAAATGTCAAAATTTATCAAAGATAAAGTTGCGAAGGACAACTGTTATAGTTCATTGAAATATTTGGGTACTGAGTTTTAAGAAAATATTTCTTAGATACTAAAAAGTAAAAACTACCAGAGTTCTTAATAGAACTGGCGGTGAGAGAGGTCTGGTAACTTGGAGGCTTGTTATGAACAACCTATTCCTTGTAGGACATACAATGGCCAAACAAGTATCTTATACCAGTAAAAAGAAGGATCCCTCGAAGTGGTTCCCTGCCCTTCATCTTTTTGAAATAGCACTGAAGCTCTGTCAGGTATCAGCAACAGAAGAACATGAGGTGGAAGCTGAAATTCTTTTTCAGAAAGGTAAGATGTACTTGGGGTCAGAACTATGATAAAAGTTTGTGGGATTTTTTTTTTCCGATTAACAATAGACTTCTTGAAAACCTGGTCAGTGACTATAAAAAATACAGATTTTACAAAGGGCTTAGTGATGCAAAGACATTGGTACCTCTGCCAGACTTAGTCTGGGATAAAGAGAACATTGCTTATTTTAAGTTTATATCAAGAAAGGGGAGAGAAAGTGCTACTTCTTAGTTTCTTTTATGATTACAATTGACCCTCCTTAAGCAAAATTTCGTGTTTGACTCAAAAATGTCATCATTGGCCAATTAGCTATAAATATTGTTTCTTAAATAATGCTTGGAAGACATTTTTTATGCATAATTTCATTGCTTAGCTAGGCATTTTAGTTAATTTCTACAAAAGATACAAACCCATTTAAATCAAGTGGCTATAGCACACCTATATTTATATCTTATGTACAATACATATTTGCATAATACATTCATATAATTTTATTGTGGCTATTTTCACCATGAGAAGAGTGATGATGATGATTGCTATCATTTATTGATCATCTACTAGATGCAAGGCCCTGTAGTAGCCAGTATTTAACATCTCATATTGCTAATTCTTACAATAGCTCTATAGGATATGCATGGCCAATCCTAGTTGACGGATGAGGAAAATGAGGTACAGTCTGGTTGAGTAACTTTCTCTAGGACAGCAGCTACTAAATGATAGTACCTAGAGGTGAACTTAACACTGGGAGGCTTTGTGCCGTATCCACATGCTGCATGAAAACTGTGAATCATTTTCATAGTGATAAAAGATTTCCCTTTCTTGCCCTTTTGGCTACAGAAGTGCCATTCCAGTGAAGGCTGTGGCTCACCATGAGGTCTGAGAGCTGTGCGAGCCCTAAAGCATTTGCATCATTTGTGATTGTTTTCGAGTGTTTGTTGACTTTTTAGGATTTATTTTAACAGAGTTGTTTTCTATGATATCTGTAATACTAGACAGAGGAAAGAGGACGTGGATGTAGACAAAGGGAATGAGCCCTACAGAGGAAAGGAAAGTGCAGAGTAAGGAATAGAAAAATAAGATAAGAACATTTGTGTCTGGCAGCCAAAGGAGGCTTTGACTCAATGTTGCTAACTAAAGGCAGGGCGAGCCTGCAGACTCATGGGGAAGGAAGCAAAAGATCTTCCACTGTTAGCTGACCTTACAGCAAAACAGCAGACAGATGGGCAAAAAGGCCAGCACCTCCAGTTTTCTGAAGTTCCAGCATGAAATATTTATTCTGAAGTTCTAAATGATAGAAAAAGGAAAGACCATTTTTGTATGTTTTTTTTTATTCTTTCAGGCAAAATAGAACGTCAAATATTGATGGAAGAGAAATCTCCAAGTTTACAACTTGAGAGTTTATTTGAAGCTATACAGCTAAGCTTGAGAAATGATCAAAACTCAGGGTAAAGAAAAAAACTTTCCATCATTATAACAGTATATGTTTGGATTTAAGCCCCATGTTTTTGTAGTGCATTGAACATTCAAGGCTGGGATGACTGGGAGACCCCCTTCCCGCCGCAGGACTCATTCACTGGGGTCCCTTGTCCAACAGGCTTACTGACTTCCTCTTCAAGATTGTTGACCCTGGCTCTGACCCAAGGCCTTGTTTACAGTGATGGTTGATGATGGCAGTTATCAGGGTGGCATACTGGACTGTGAATTTGCTTCTAGTCTTTACTCACATCGACCTTCTGCCTGTCCCAGGATTCTAGCAGCCTCCCATGGATGTGAAATTGTATCTAGAAAGGATTTATGTGGATGTTCTTCTGTCAACAGGACCAGGGCTGGCCAACTTAATTCTCTATAAAAATCATTTTAAGATTGAGAATAAGCCACCCTTACTACAACTATACTGATTTAAATGGCCCCAACAGACAGGTTTGATAGTGAATACACAAACCTAACCCATACCAAATCACCACTTTCTGCATAACTGTGTGTGTCTCTTTCCATTTTAATTAGTGTAGGAGGATAGAAAGAGAGATCTGCTTTGTGAGGCAGATTCCTTCAGCCCTCATGTTCACTTCTTTAGTGCTTTGTGGGCTGGACTATTCTAGAATGGTCCTGATGCTGGGCTTCAGAGCAGTCATGTCATGGAGCGTTGCCAGCACAGGACAGGGTAGAATGTCTCTTCAAGAGCTTCCAATTTTACTAGGGAGGAAGGTACTGGTGTCTATGCCAAAAGTGCTATGAAAAGAAGGTGTGAGTTTGGGACAGACACTGTTTTTTTCTATTTTTCCCTTTCATTAGCTCAGAAATTATGGAAAATGATGCAAAATGATTACAAATGGTGAAGCTATTTAATAAGTACAATGTTATTTAATTTTAGGTTGATAAGAGACTCCTACTTAGAAATGGCCCTGTTATTTTTACATATGAGGAGGCCAAAAAACAAACTTTCAATATCACCATTAACACTTAAGGTAATGAACTATTTTATTAGAAATCTTAAGTTAATTATCTTTGAACTTGCTATTTTGGTAACTCTGTGCTATAGAACTAATGAGACTGATTTTCCTGTATGACTTGGAGAAATTAATTCATTACTTTATAGTCACACTGATGTTTAGATACTTCTTTGGGTATTTTATATAAGGCTCTGGAAATAGAGTTCATGTGGACATTTTTACCTGTTAAAATGTTATACATGAAATGTAGGTGTGTGTAAATACTCTAAGGTATTAGTATTAATCAGGAAATTACAAGAAATGATATACTGGTTAAGCAGATGGACAAGTAAGATTTTCATCCCTGATATGGTGTACAAACAGATCACCTTTAGATAGAGTCATTCATTTATTCATCAACATGCCTATTGAACATCTACTATGACCCAGACAATATTCTGGAAGGTTATTAAACGTGATTAAGACAAACTTAGTCCTTGTTCTCATGGAGCTTCTTACCTTTTTAGTAGAGGGAGACAGGCAATAAACCAGTAAAGGAAGAAGCACGAGGAAGAAAGGTGGGAGGGAGGGAGGGGAGAGAAGGAAGGGGGGATGATTTAGGTGGTGAAATGGGGGATTAGGACAGAACTTGGGTTGGTGGGACTGTGAATGATTCTGTTGGGAAGACATACGGTTCAAGGTGGGATTTGTTGGATGAGGAGAGTTGCAGAGGCATGTCATCTGCATCATGCATCTGTCTAGAGCAGTGCTTCCAAACTAGGGGGCAGAGGCATCTCTGGGGATCCTGTGAAAATGCAGAATCTGATTTGGTAAGTTGGGGCTGGGGTCTTGAGGTTTGGCATTGCTGAGGAACTCCAGGGTGATGCTGTTGCTGCTGGTCTGGGGGCCACACTTGAATTCCAGGGTTCTAGACTGAGGGAGAGCCTGTGGGCAGGATGTGGGTGCATTGGAGATATATGAGCCCAGTAACGTTTAGTTTTTACTTTTTAAATTTCAGTAGGCTTTTTATAATTCATCCCAATTAAGTAATCCTTTGACCCACCAAGAGATTTTTCCAGAAAATTTCGGTGTCAAATCTTTAATTTTTGAGACAACATAGACTTGATTTAAAACCTTTAGGCAAACAGGCTTTCAGTCAGTTGAATTATTCATATGGTAGCTACTTAGGTGGATATAGCAGCTATTATTTTATTTTATTTTTTATCAAGACGATTACATAGAAAACTTTTTCTGGTGTGATAAACATGTTTATTTCTAGTAAGAGAAAACAAAAATCTTTGTTTCCATGGCAAGTAACAATGCAAATTAATAGGATGCTAGGATAATAATATATCACCTTTTTGGCCTTGACTAGAGAAGTAAGAGCTTGAATAAGGTAGAATTTGAATGAAAAAAAATAGCATAATTCCATACAATGTCACATTATTTTTTGTGTGACATAATATCAATATTTTAGCAAGTCATACAATTACTAGAAGGACAGAAAACAGCCAAAGACAAACAAGAATTTATCCAGACATATTCAACCTTTAAAATACCACATTAGAAGTTTGTCCTAATAAAGACAATGCTTTATAAACTCTTAAAAGAAAGCACTATTGCTTCACTTTTATGGAGAATCCACATAGCAGAGTGACCAGGGCACTGGTTTGGGTTTGAATCCTAGCTTCATGACATACCCGCAGGGTGACTGGGGCCTTTCTAAGCCTAGTTTTCTCATCTGTGAGATGGAGATGAGGATTCTGACCTCTTAGAGTAGGTTGGAGAATTAAACAAGATAATGGACATGGCACATAATAAGTACTCAAAAAAGAGGGATGCACTGTTCTCTGTCAATATATGACTTTGGCTAAACATTCCCATTTTATCTTTCTAGAGTATTTTGTATATAGTAGGTATTCAATAATTTTTTTTTTTAGTTAAATGGAATTGACTATTTCATGAACATGTATTCATTCATTAACCAAATACTTACTGAGTGCCTAATGTATGCCAGGCATGTTACTCTCTTTCTCTGAGAAGCACAGAGGAGCAAGGGAGAGAAATAATTGTATCAAAATCTAATGAGGACTGTAATCAAGATATGTCAAAGTAGAAAAGTGGAGCAAAGTGGGAACTAATTTTGCTTTGGGGGAATGCTGGGAGAAAGTTTTACAGATGAGATGAATTTTGAAGAAGGACTAGAAATTTTCCAAGTAGTCAAGCAGGAGGAAAATAGTTCAAAGAAAGAGATTAGCAAGCACACATACTAAAAATAGATTTATTGAGGTACAATTTACATTCATGAAATTAACCTGTTTTAAGAGTGCAGTTCACAGATGTTTAGTAACTTTACAGAGCTGTGGAGCTGGCATCACCATCCAGTTTTAGAACATTCCCATTATTCCAGCAAGATCCCTAGTACCCATTTGCAGTCCCTAGCCCCAAGCAACCATTAATTTGTTTTCTATCTCCATAGATTGGCCTTCTCTGGATATTTCATATAATGGAATTCCATATAAACGGAATCATACAATATATAGTCTTCTGTGACTACTGCTTTCACTTGGCGTTATGTTCTTGAGGTTTGCCTATATTTTAGCGTGTAACAGCAGTTTGTTCCCTTTGATTGCTGACTAGTAGTCCCTTTTTTGGATATATAGTATTTTCTTGGCCCATTCAACAGTTGATGGATATATGAATTGTTTCCACTTTTTGGATATTTTGATTAACGCTGCTTTGAACATTTATATACAAGTTTTTAAGTGAACATATGTTTTCAATTCTCTTGGGTGTATATCTAAGAATGGAATTGCTGGATCATATGTTAACTCTATGTTTAGCCTTTTGATGATCTGTCAGATTGTTTTTGAAAGTGCCTGTACCAGTGAATAAGAGTTGCAGTTTAAAAAAAAAAAAAAAAAGAGTTGCAGTTTTTCCACAGCCTAGCCAACACTTGTTATTATCTATATTATTGATTGTAGCCATCCTAGTGGTTATGAAGTGTATCTCACTGTGGCTTTGGTGTGCATTTCCCAGCTATCTATATTGAGATCTTTTCATGTGCTTACTGATCATTTCTGTATCTTCTTTGGGGAAATGTTTATTCAGATCTTTTGCCCATAACCTAAACTGTCTTTTTTTTAATCACAAGAGTTTTTAAAATGTATATTCTAGATTCAAGTCCTTTATCAGATATTTGATTTGCAAATATTTCCTCCAGTTGGTGGCTTGTCTTTTCATATTGTTAATAGTGTCTTTGGAGACAAAGTTTTAAATTTTAATGATTCCAGTTTATCATTTTTCTTCTTTTATATATTGTGCTTTTGGTTGCATATCTAAGAATTCTTTGCCTAACCCCAGGTGTTGAAGATTTTCTTCTATGTTTTCTTTTAGAGGTTTTATAGTTGTAGCTTTTACATTTAAGTATGATCCATTTTGAATTAATCTTTGTGTAAAGTGTATAAAGATCTAAATTCTTTTGCACATAGATATCCAACTGTCCCAGTACCAGTTGTTCAAGAGACTGTCTTTTCTTCATTGAATATCCTTGGCACACCATTGTCAAAAGTTAATTATCTTAAATGTAAATGTTTATTCCTAGACTCTTGATCCTATTCCATGATCTACAAGTCTACCTTTATAGGAGTATCCACCCTTTTGGTTATTGTAGCTTTCAGTAAGTTCTGAAATTGGAAAGTACCTGTCCTCCAACTATGTTCTTCCTTTCCAAAATCATTTTGGCTACTTTGAGTCCTTTGCATTTTTAGATACATTTTAGGAGCTGCTTTGTCAATTTCTGTAAACAGAATTTTGGTAGAGATTGTGTTAAATCTGTAAATCCATTTGGGGACAATAGCCATCTTAACAATATTGAATCTTCCAATTCATGAATATGAACTGTCCCTTCATTTATTTAGATATTAATTTCTCTCAATAATGCTTTTTACTTTTCAGTGTACAAATTTTGTACATTTTTGTTAAGCTTATCTCTTTTGTGAGTGGAATATTTTCTTCATTTCATTTTCAGATTGCTCATTGATGATACATAGAAATACAATGAATTTATGAGTATTGAGTTTTGTGTCCTATGATCTTGTTATGCACATTTATTAATTCTAGAGGTGTGTATGTATGTGTGTGTCTTGGGATTTCCTACATATAGGATCATGTTTTCTGCAAACAAATACAATTTTACTTCTTCATTTCGAATCTAGATGCATTTTCCTCTTTTTCTTGTTTGTTTGCATGAGCTAGAATCTCATTCGCAGTGTTAAACACCTTCTCCATCTAAAAAAAAAAATACTCTTTATATTCTTCTCTGTCCACATTTTTCCATTCTGAACTCAAGTCCAACCTTCTTAATAAAGTCTCCCTCTCAATTCAAAATGAACTTGTTTTAAAATGTCTGTGTCACTAATTGTTCTTACATTGTAATTATTTAATGCTATTATGTATTCTTCATTTAATGTCTGTTAGTCTTGTTTCCAGAATTTAAGTAAATTGCCCAAACTTACATAGCCAGTAAGTTGGCAAGGGCTACCCCAGAACCCAAGTGGTTTCATTACAGCTAATGAGTAGAGTCTTCATATCTTGGGACAGGGCTGTGTTGCTTAGATTCTCCATAGGCACACTTCTCCGGGTTTCATCTACTTCCAACCAATCTTAGCACTTGATCTAGGTCAGGCCACATTTGCACATTGTATTCCTTGCTCTGGCATCAGCATTATTCATTGACTTTCTTTTTCCTTGTTATTGAAGTAAAAGAAAGATATCTTTTGTTATTGTTTGTTTTATTCTGCAATCTTATTGAAGATTAAATTGGCCAAAATATGAACATCAAAAAATTAGAACCAAGCAGTCTAATTGAATAGTTTTTTCCAGATTAGTTAAATCTTAAGAATTGACTATTAATGCTTATTTTAGTTATCTTTAAAAATGTAAAACAGGCAGATACTATGTTACTAGTGGAGTTTCTATTAACTTTTGTAGCATGGACTTTCTTATGTTTAAAAAACTGAACACACACAAAACACAAAACTGAACACACACACAGTAAAAATTATCTCCATTCATTGTTACTTTTGCTATTCTGTGGAACTTTATGATTACATTGTCCCTTTAACAGTTTCCCAGTTGAAAAGATGATAGCAAATACCTATCAAAAATCTTAAGTAATGTTCTTATTTCTGACATCCCTATACACAATCAATTCAACTTATAAATCCTCTATTAAAATGGCAAATATCATTTTAAGTAAATACTTTCCTTAAAATGCCATTTGTGTTTATTTTATTGTTATTCAAATAATACATGCTCATTATAAAAAACTAGAAAAGATGATAAAAATAATCACCCTTAAAACCCAGGATAATGGGTGTTAATAACTTTCTCTGCTTGTATATACAGGGAGTATATGTGTGTACATGTCTTTTTAGAAATAGGATCATATTTTGCATACTATTCTGTAACCCCCACTTTTCTTTCTCCAATATGCTTTGAGCATCTTTTTCATGTCAATAGATACGTATACATTATTTTTTTTATATTATTATTCTTAATGGCTACATAGTGTTCCACTGAAATGTCATCTTCAGAGGATGAGAAAATTAATCATGGAACTTCACGATATCTTTATCTTTATCATAATGCATGTACTATATTTTTTAGGCTTCTACCAGAAGGCATAGTTCTATTAAAGAACCAATAGTAAATAAATTTGAAATGTACAGTTCACTGGCCTGGATTGTGATAAGAGCTGCTGCCCAGGTTGGTGTGATTTTTATTTAATCTTTTTCTTCACTGTCCTATCCATATCCTCTACTACCAGCTGTTAGGGTAGCACAACGTATCTGTGAGAGAAAGGAAAATTCACATTCTTTCGGATTTATGCTGGTGATGTTTCTTGGGAAGATTAGAAATGCTCCTTATATACATAATGTTTTTAATCTTTATTAGCCAGACCTGGCTTTGTTTGTTTCAGCTTTCCTTTAATGAGGGTACTGGCAGATACATATGTGCACATTTTGACATTTTGGCAAATATCTGTTGTAGCTAGGTGAGAGAGCCTATTTAAAGTGGCTCATACATTAATTAAATTGTCAACAGTAATGATTTGTTTGACAATGATATATACTACATGTTGGGGATCACATGTTGTTTTCCAGATTATCTTTATTTTTTTCCCAATGTATATTGAATTTTATTTTATGAATTCACTTTTTCACATTATTTACCTAATGGATAATCTATGAATGAGAAAGGTTACATTTATGGATTCTGATTATGTATTAATTTTAGGCCAGTGAAGCTGTGTTGGAAATTAATCTACTTATTGGAAAGAAGAATGCTAGAACCGATAAAGTTAGCCAAGGGGCATTACCAAATATCCCAGAATTTGCCACCGTGGATCTTCTGTCTTCATACACAGATTATTTGCTTGGTATGTTTGAAATGTCTAGGCATTTTATAAAAACCAGATATATGTAATGTCCAATCAAGTGGCAAAGGTTTAATTGTGGTGATTTGTTGGGTTTTAGCTTAGAGAGGATAGTGGTGTGAAGAACCTCAGGAAGACGATAGGGTTCTTAAGGCCGAGCTGCCAAAACGAAGGGGGCATCATTTCCTTGTACGTATGTGCATGTTACTCAGTCAGCTCCTGCATTTCAGATGCAGGGCTATGTGACAAATGGTTTTCCCTTCTGTCTGCTTCTTTTCCAGTTCACAGATGTCAATGAAGCCTTTGAAAATATTTACTTGTGGCTCCTTTTCTGATCCTCTGAACTGTGTACTTGCTCTCGTAGTCTCATGTAGCTCTCTGTGCTTTTTCTTATATTTTAAATGTGTGTGTGTGTGTACATGTATGTGTGTCTGCATGCACACGGGTGTACATATTTGAGCTCTTTCTCTCATTAAACTATCATCAGCTTCCCGAGGGTAGGGACTTTATTTTGTTTGCTGCTGCAACCACAGAAAATCACACATTACTTGCACATTACAGGCAGTCATATTTGTTAAACGAATTAATGAATGAGAGGTTAGAATTTAAACTTGACCTCACTGCTATTTATTTTTTCTCATTTAGAACTCCTTTGTTAATTGTAAACTATAATCTAAACCTCTAAGTCAGATGAGCAGTAACATACTTAATGTTCATTTGTGTGTTTGTCCATTCATTCATTTGAAAAATATTTATTGAGTGCTCTTATGTCCTGAGCGTTTGGATGGGTTCTAAGAAGTAAGGTGCTAGAGTCTTACTTCCAGATTGACATTTCAGTAATAACCATAATTAATTTTCCTTGGCACCAGGTGAAGCATTGAGCCAAAGGGATGAAGAGTGGTACTTGAACCTGGTGGGGGTGGGAGTGTTCTTCCTAAAGCCTCTGAGAACATATCTGTAGGCAGCAGCTTAGTCTGTTGAAGTGTTAAGTCAACTTTAGCCAAAGGGTTAGTGTCTGAAACTCTCCCCTTCCTTGGCTTTCTTCCTTTCCAGCCTAAAAATGATTGCCCGAGGTTAAACCATTAGATGGGTTTTTTATGCCAAGGTATCATTTTCTTATTTTATTGCTTTAATGTCTGGTAGAATTTTACTTCATCAATTTCATCTAAAATGCTGTATTAACCAGTTATTACCCAAATTATGCTGTATGCCAAACAGCCCTAAAACTTAGTAGCTTACAACAAGAATTCATTATTTGACTTGTCTCATGTATTCTGCTTCATTCTGTAGGTTGAGTTCAGGTGTAGTTCATGTACATTTGTTGTGAAGCCCAGGCTGAAGAGGCCGTGGGTATTTGGGGCATGCTCTTCTCATACTGTACACCAGAGCAAAGGGGCCATGCTAGGTCACAGAAGCATACTCAAGGCCTCTCTCCACACCACATCCCATTGACCAGATGGCCAAGTCCAACAGCAGTGAGGAATGGAAATCTACTCTGCCTATAGAGAAAGGGAGAGGGGCATGAATGTTTGCTGAATGATAATCTAGACTACCATACATGACAAGTTCAATCTATGGCTGGTAGTGACCTAAGAAGAATTCTGAGTCGCTGCATGGAAAGACAGGAAAAGGTGTCCCAGTGATGTACTAATGTTGTCCCCCATCAGCACATGCTGTGAGGAACAGCACCCCTATCCAAGTGGTCTTAGTTGGTCAGTTGAGCAGGTAGTCTTCATCTTAGCTATGCTTCATGCTACAGTAGATGCTTTCTTTGCCTATTTCAGTGGTTTTCATAGCATATTTCAATTTTTAGTTTCTATTTTGTACCATTAGCACTCCTTTACTGTTTTACCATAATACTAATTTGAAATGACCGAATTTTGAAGTCCAACCTATTTTGCATTTTGCCTTGCCTTAAGGATAATAGTTTTGCCCTCCAGTATTTTCCTAGCAGACTGATAATTAATTCATGTTGGTGATTTCCCTTACTACGGTAGTCAGGTTCCCTCCTGACTGCTACAAATACCCAGATCCAAACATGTAACAAGGTCGGGTAAAACAGAACCAAAATTGTTTTATTTTATAGCTGAGCATGAAATCAGGAAAAGAAAATCTTAAGTTAACAAAGTAAAATGAGTGATTATAAGCAAGGGCTGAAGGTGAGGACCTCATTGGAGAGGAAACAGCTGGGGCTGGGACTTCGAATGGCTGGACAAAGAGGGAATCTGGAAGGAGGGCCCTGCAGGTAGGGAAGGTCAGAACCCAGCTAACTACATAGAACTGAGGTTCAGAGTGGACTTGTCTACAAATTGAGGACAAGAAACACGTTGCCCACTGGCTTGAGTAGATGCAGAGAAACATGCCAAGTGCCCGGTCAGGGCCAAAAATGAGCCACTTGGGAGAAGTCAGAACCCCACCTGAGATGGTAAGGTTGGAATTTCCACCACTGGAAAAATGCAGGGAAATTAGCATAAATACTGGCCCAGAACCAGTGAAGCCCATGCAGCAATGGCTGTGGCTGGAGGGAAACTGTGGCAGTGGAATGCCTCCCACAAAAGTTCTGAGGATAAACGTATAGTGCAGATTATACCTGGACAAATTCTGGCATCACTTTGGGATTATAAAGACAAAGAAAATAATTGTAAGCATCCAATCAGAAAAAGTGGCCTTTCTATAAAGAAGAAAAAATTGAACTGGTATTAATTTTTCTCCTATGACGTTAAAGACCAGACGACATTGGTCAAATATGTACAGAGGCTCCTTTTTTTCCTTTTAATTTCGTTCAGTTTCTTTACATAGGTAATTTATTCTCAAGAAGCAAAACTCCAAAGGGGTACCTGGGTGGCTCGGTCGCTTAAGCGTCTGACTCTTGGTTTTGGCTCAGGTCACGATCTCAGGCCTGTGGGATTGAGCCCCACATCGGGCTCTGCGCTGAGCACAGAGTCTGCTTCAGATTCTCTCTCCCTCTCCCTCCCCCATGCTCTCTCTCTCCACTCTCTCTCAAATAAATAAATAAAATCCTTAAAAAATAAAAATAAGTAAATAAAAACTCAAGAGACATCAAAGGGCATGGAGAGAAAGTCTTCCTTCTATCTTCTCTGAAAATAACTGAGTCCTCTGCAGAGGCAGTTGGTGTTGTCATTGTATTGGTGTCCTATTCCTGCTCTAAGAAACAACCACAATTTAGTGGCTTAAAACAACACAAGGTGTATCTTCCAGTTCAGGAGGTCAGAAGTCTAAAATGGGTCTCACTGGGCTAAAATTAAGGTGTGGGCAGAACTACATCCCTCTGGAGGCTTTAGGGGAGAATCTGTTTTGGCCAGCATGCTAGCTTATATGATAATAGGTTCACAAATATTGCTTTTTTTTTTTTTTTGGTTTACACTGTCCTAGTACACACATGCCCATTCTTTTATTGTCAACCTTTCTAAATCATCTTATTTTAAATATGCCTCTTAAATAGAACACAGAATTGGATTTTCTTTGTTTTAAAACTTGATAATATTTTTCTTTTTGGTAGTAGGCAACTTTAGCTAATTTAAATTAGTTGACATGAAAGGTATGTTTGGCATTATTTTGTATCATTTTACAATACATACATAATAAACTAGGAAACAAAAACAATAAAATGAGGTAATTTCAGGGGAAAAAACAATAAACTATTAGCCAACTTATTTAGGAAAATTAATTACAGTACAAAAAGGATAAATGCTAAGAGGAAGGTAATCACTGATATGGAGAAATTCAATTATTTGAGTTTTTTTCTGTTTATTTTGAAGCAAATAAATTTTAAAAACTTGGTAAAATGTATAATTTTGGAGAAAAATATAATTTACCCAAATTTACTTCAAAATACATTATATAAAAAATTAGGCAAATCTATTATTATAGAAGAAATAAGGTTACATTAGAAATTAAAATTGAAGTTTATTAATTAATTTTAAAAGAACAGTAATAAATCCATTAGAAGTTAGCATAAGTAGTATTAAAAATCTCTCTAATGTCTGGCTTAATGAAAGAACTGGACTCACACCCACTTGTGCAGTCAGCCTGTTAGAGCATAATGTTTTGGTTGAAATATGTGAAGAAAATCCAGCTTCACACAGATCTGTAGATAGAAGGTGGAGGACTATTTTAAGAGCCTTTTCAGATAATTGTGGACATTCTTCTTTGGTACCAAACCAACACCGGGGTAAGTGGTAGTTTCTTAAAGGTTAGTTCCAATGTAGACTATGAAACAATTTCATTGAACTTTTTGTACTGTGTTACATTAAAATTCATTAGTCTTTCAGTCTGAATGGATCTTTTACTCATGCATGACTTTGTAATATCATGCACAAGATATTTGGAAAATAGTGGGTAAATACCCAGTATTTCCGGGGTTATGCAGGACTTCCGAATGTCTGTACAATTCACTGGACAGTTTTTAAAAAATCAAATTTTTAAAATACCACCACCATTCTTATCGGAAAGTATTGGGAAGCCCATGGTGGCATATACAAATTTTCCAAAATTCTAAGTTTTTACTTAAAAATTTGAATTTTATCATTGACAGTAAATACTGTCAGTTACTTTCCTGAAGGCCTACTACTTTATGGAAGGTGTTTGCCACACAGCTAAGTATGAAAACACTTAGTTTGTCTTCTCAGTTGTTCTTTTATGTAAAAATGGTGTTCCATGGTGGGGGGGCCGGAGGGGGTGTGGGGAGTAGGGCATCCCATTTGCAACTTAATCACAGAAGTGCTTTTCCTTAAGACGACCATTGTGTATTTCAGGATACAGCAGAAATTTTTTTTTTTTTAAATTTAAATTCAAGTCAGTTAACATATAGTAGTATTGGTTTCAGGAGTAGAATGTAGTGATTGATCACTTGTAAACACCCAGTGCTCATCACAACAAGTGCCCTCCTTAATACCCATCACCCATTTAAGCCATCCCTCCTCCCTCCTCCACCTCCCCTTCAGCAACCCTCAGTTTGTTCTCTGTAGTTAAGAGTCTCTTAC